TATCAGAAGTATTTGGATACATACTAAAAAAATTAAGATTTACAATATTTAAAGCATATAAATTATACATGAATGAATTATTTTAAAGTGATGATTTACTTTATGTTTGTTTTAAGCAAAATGATAAAGAGTTTGATATTTAAGATCATAATATTAAAAACTGTAGTCTCTTTAATGATGGAATTGTTGTAGAAAATCTAATAATTAGAATTATTTTGATTTCCTTTCAACAGTATTTCAGAGTATATAAATTATATTTCTAAAATTTAATTCAATTTTAAAAACTCTTTTTTAAATTCATATTAATTAGACTATACTAAAAACACTATTCAAGAATAAATGAATTAAACAATCTCAACTGTTTAAATGTACTGTAGAAGTTATAGTTCATCTTTTATAGGATAACCAAATGCAATTCTAACTGATTGTAACAATTCAAAATTTTATATTTTATTATTAGTAAAACTACATTTATATCAAAATTATTAAAGAATTTTAGCATATCAACTTAATTATTTATATTTTCTTTTATTTGAAAACGACTTAAAAATTATCATTTATGAATAAGCAGGTAATAACTAATATACCTCACATTCAAAATTAGTTTACATAAATAATATAATTATTTATACATCTCTCTATTGAGATAATACCTCAAATTTAAATAAATATCAAAACAATTAAACAATCAAACAAGTAATATTTAGCTTTAAAATCATTCCCTTTATATAAATATGGTAATTTATAAAATTCCTTTTAGGTTTTTAACAACAATTATTATGAAAATACTTAACATAACCTTAATTAATGATATCAATCACTAATTAGAACTAAAATGAACTGATAAAAATTTATGCTCATCAGAATCCAGAATATATTGAGATTTATTAATTCTAGTTATGATAAGTCTAATTGATTTGAATAATTTAAATAATATTCTAACTTGATCAATTCTTTTTTAAAATGAATAAGCAATTATTTTAATATTATCTTTTAAATTAATTAAGTGGAAGAAGATTAAAATTGCTTACATCCCAAATTACCAAGTGATTTATGTGTTCATAATAACATATTATCATTTTAATAATGAAATCTATTTGGAAAATATCTAACATTACAAACAAAATATAATACTCATATTGAATTACAAATATTTTACTATGTAATTCTAAATTGGGGTTATGATTTTTTTTATTTGCTATTTCAAATTGTATGATAAAATTTATCATCTATTTATTCTCTCTACTATTTTGTGTATCTATTATATTAAATACCAAAACTCATCTTCCTAATTTTTTTTATAATTATTAAAAAGTGCTTTTTTTAATACTCTAAATAGAATTTATTTCTTAAAATCTACTATTAATTATTTCTGAATAATANAGAATTATTTTGATTTCCTTTCAACAGTATTTCAGAGTATATAAATTATATTTCTAAAATTTAATTCAATTTTAAAAACTCTTTTTTAAATTCATATTAATTAGACTATACTAAAAACACTATTCAAGAATAAATGAATTAAACAATCTCAACTGTTTAAATGTACTGTAGAAGTTATAGTTCATCTTTTATAGGATAACCAAATGCAATTCTAACTGATTGTAACAATTCAAAATTTTATATTTTATTATTAGTAAAACTACATTTATATCAAAATTATTAAAGAATTTTAGCATATCAACTTAATTATTTATATTTTCTTTTATTTGAAAACGACTTAAAAATTATCATTTATGAATAAGCAGGTAATAACTAATATACCTCACATTCAAAATTAGTTTACATAAATAATATAATTATTTATACATCTCTCTATTGAGATAATACCTCAAATTTAAATAAATATCAAAACAATTAAACAATCAAACAAGTAATATTTAGCTTTAAAATCATTCCCTTTATATAAATATGGTAATTTATAAAATTCCTTTTAGGTTTTTAACAACAATTATTATGAAAATACTTAACATAACCTTAATTAATGATATCAATCACTAATTAGAACTAAAATGAACTGATAAAAATTTATGCTCATCAGAATCCAGAATATATTGAGATTTATTAATTCTAGTTATGATAAGTCTAATTGATTTGAATAATTTAAATAATATTCTAACTTGATCAATTCTTTTTTAAAATGAATAAGCAATTATTTTAATATTATCTTTTAAATTAATTAAGTGGAAGAAGATTAAAATTGCTTACATCCCAAATTACCAAGTGATTTATGTGTTCATAATAACATATTATCATTTTAATAATGAAATCTATTTGGAAAATATCTAACATTACAAACAAAATATAATACTCATATTGAATTACAAATATTTTACTATGTAATTCTAAATTGGGGTTATGATTTTTTTTATTTGCTATTTCAAATTGTATGATAAAATTTATCATCTATTTATTCTCTCTACTATTTTGTGTATCTATTATATTAAATACCAAAACTCATCTTCCTAATTTTTTTTATAATTATTAAAAAGTGCTTTTTTTAATACTCTAAATAGAATTTATTTCTTAAAATCTACTATTAATTATTTCTGAATAATATATTATTTGAATATAAAATAATACTAGTGTAATTTAATTTAAAATTTAATAATAATGACGGATTATTATAAATTTATGAGCTAAAAAAATTTTTAAATAATCTTATTATAAAATATTCTATTATTTAAAAATGAAAAGGCCATACGAAGTACTTAAAGAAGAAGGAATTAAACTGTTGAAAAATATAGTAGGAGATAATCTAGATTATTCTTGTTATTCTATTTCCTAGCCACATGTTGGAAGCGTTTGGATCACATATTAAGATAACTCTCTAAACAAAAAAGATCCCAAAGTAGTGAGCCTGTTCTATCATCCAAATTGTAGACACTTAACAACAACAAATGGAAAATTAGGTGAGAAAAAGAGTTGTGCTGGTCCAGGAGAATGGGCAATATCAGAATAAACAAAAGGAGATAAAGATAATAAAAGTGAATGCCGTACATTTTGATCAATTAATATTTTTATTCTATTCTATTATTAATTATGATACGTATTAGGATTTATTATTACGAATTGATGATCGAATTCAACCTTATATTTAAAGATAACATGTTCTTATATTTTATATCAGCAACATAAGTTATTTGAATTCTAGTTTTTCTGTCTTCTTATTTTTATTCTAAATATCTTCTATATTATCTTATTCTTTCTTTTCTAATAATAGATAATATGAAATAATTATAATCATCATATTTTAAAAGGATTGTTTTTATTCGCAATTATATAATATATACTTTGTTTTATTATTTTTTTTGAAATCATTAACATTTGATGCTAATAGTTTCTAGAATGAATGTGTATTTTTTTTAGGATTTTCAAAAGTCATAATATTAATAATATGATTGAAATTTAATTTAAAGTAAATGAAAACGTCAATAATCTAAATGAATTTTATGTTGTATTATTTGTTGATTGAATTATTATAATTTAGTTTGAATAGAAATGATTAATGAATATTTTATAAAATAAAAGTTAGTAAGTTTCTAGAATAAATTAAACAAAAAGAAAGTAATAAAATAAACTTGTTTATTTAGAGAAAAAGAATAATTAAATTTTTTCTAAATTTTTTTTAAACAATGTAAAATATAATTGAGATTGATCCATAAGCAATATTGGAATTTGTAGCAGAAGAGAATAGGCTTGGTCATGCTCAATTAACTCTAAAAAATCTAAGACAATAATAAATTGCATTTAAAGTATTTAGATTTTAGATTTTAGATAAAAACAACAGTTCCTTAATTGTTTTAAGTAAAACCAAGTGTTGGTGTAATTGAGAGTGATCAATCTATGATAATTGAAATATCTACAACTTAAGCAATTAAATAAAATTAAAAGTTTGATGCTAAATTCTAAATAAATGCTTGTGTAAAGAATTCAAATGAATAAGGTACTTTTTATATATAAAGGAGATTTGAGTACATTTTGGATAAACAGAGATCAATCAACAATATAAACATTATTACTAAAGAGCAAGTTAAAATACGATAATAGTCCATAAGATTAATAGATTCAATAATAATAATAAAATAGTGATTCTAAAATATTGGAATCAAGTGTTTTTAATTCAACTCATTCTGATTCAAAAATGTTTAAGTCTATAAAAGAAGAGAGTTAATAGGATGAGTAATTGAAATAATATAAAGAGCAATTAGATAAATTGGTAAGAATTAAATAAATATTTTGTAGTCTTAAGAATATTAATTCTTCAAAAATAAGTTTGAATAAAATCAATTGAATAGTTTATAAATGACAGGTATATGAAAAAAATAAAAGTAGATAAGAATAGAATAAATACAAAATAAGCATTAATTGTAGTAATAATTGCATTAGTAATTGGATATATTATTGGAAAATGATAAAAAATAATTTATATGAATCATCATTTTATTCTGGGTAATTTTAGAGGTGGAGTAGGAGGTAATGTATACCAAAATTCTTCATTTTTATCTTATTAAAATTCATTATTCAAAGAGTTAGCATTAACAGAACGTTTAGACTAAGTTAATTTGAATGCTTCTTCAGTTGAATTTGTTTTACTAAATTCATTATTATTGTTATTATTGTTTTTACCTATGACTTTATTTAATGTGTGTTGTATTTCTTTAACTTTTTAAAGTAATTCTTTCATTTCTTAAACTTCTTCCATTAATTCTTTTAATTCTTTATGTTTAGATGCTTATAAAATCTACAAATCAAGAAATTCTGTTTATTTTTAACTTAATTGATTACCAAAATCTTAAACTTAAGCTTAAGATCTTTATAACTATTTTTCTAATAAATGTAATTCTGTTCTTAAATTGGTATTGGTTTCTAATAATTCATCTACCATATATGTTCTTTCAACATGTTTAAATTTGGCAACATCTATTTATTTGATTAATTTTGCTTAAAATTTGGTTCCAATTTAGACAGGTTTTTCTAATTCAACAGCAATAATATTTCTTATCATTTATTCTTCATTATTTAATATTTGTTTTAATTCTTCTTAAGTTTATTCAATTTCTTTAGTAATTTAGATTCTATATTACTTTTCTTTTTGTAATACTTAGACACAATTTTAAGCAGTTTCCTAATTTAATGAATGAATATACTTCTAATTTAATGAGAGCATCTTCTAATTATTTGATCATAAAATTTATAAAATTAACAAATGAAAACAGTATTAGTATATAAATAATATTGAAAAAGTGTAAATAATATAGTATAAATAAACATTGTAAAGAGAGAAGTTAAATAATTAACAAATATGATCATACAAATAATCTCATAGGTTAATTTTACTATAGGATTGATATAGTTTTATCATAATCTTCTAGAAGATAATTCTTATAATTTTATCTTAATTATAATTTATTCGATATTGGATTGATGACAGGAGTTTCTCTATCTAGAATAGGTGGAAGTTTTAAAGGTTTATTCATATATTCATATTTAGGTTAATGCAATTCAGTGTTTTTGTTTTCAAATGTTTAATTTTAAGGAGTAGGTTAGATAGAATATGATTTATTCCTTTAAGGTTGCTTATCAATTTCAGATTGATTATCAATTTTGGATTCCAATTAAGATAGATAAAGTGCTTTATTATTTTATGCTCTTAGTTAGTCTCTTTCTTGTCTGAATTTTTAAGCTTTCTCTTAATTTCTTACAATTTTACTAGTATAAGTTCCAGGTATAGCTCCTTCTATATCTTTAGTAGCGAGTATTCTATCCTCTTAGAGATTTCCTAATATTAAGTCATAATACTTTGGTTAATCATAATAATTCTCTAAAGCTCTGTATTATTTGATTTCACCTTCATGTAGGTTGTAATGTTTCTTATGAGATCCATCAAAATAGTTTTCTCCTTAAGGAACACAACTATTACAAAAATGATGGAAATCATGTTAATATCTTCTGCGACCATATTGAGGATCTTATTTAGGAATTGTATATCTAAATAATGTTCAAAGATTGTATATACTATAATTTAGTTGGATTATTATAACGAATATCATGTGCGATGATTTTATCTAAATAAGAACTCTTTTATTTTGGTTATGCACCTACAATATCAACTGTTAACAATGATCTATCATATTAATGAATATTATTCATCTATATAATTATTATTATTATTCATTTATTAATCATACCAATATTAGTTAAATAAGTTTTAATAAATATTAATAACATCATCAACTCTCTAATTCTCTAGTATGTAAGAAATCTTTTACAAATTGTTTTATTGATCTAATTTTTTAAATTACTCTTAAAGGAATCATCATTATCATTGATCTTGTTCTCCATACATCTTTAGTCATCTTCCAAATTAGAGATAACCAAAATATAAAATAAATTATGAAAAGTAGAACTTCAAATACTATAAATATTGCCAATCTTTATGTTTTTGCATCTTCAATATCTTAATTTATTGATTTTTATAATTACTCTAATAAATATCTAAAAGTCCCTAAATTAATTATATTATTTTAGTACCTCTATTATAAACATCCTAAATTATTCTAGCTTCTTTAGACTAATTGAAATTATTTAAATTAAGTATATTATTTCTAACATTATCTAAATTCTATGTAATATTTTTAAATTTTGTAAATCCTCTAGCAATACCACTAAAATTGGCTTATGGATTATTCCAAAATTAATCATAAATTGTCATCATATATCTTAAATTTTCAAAATATCTTGCCATACCTACTGCCATTCCTTAATTAATAGCTCCATCAGCAAAATCTTTACAATCAGTCTCAGATAACTCTTTCAAGTAAGATGAAAGAATTGTACATGGTTACAACATAAACATTTCTTTGAATGCATTTACATATATAGAATTTGTAATGTCAATATTCAATGAATGTTATTAATGAATTGAAGAATCAAGTTCATACAATTTATCTACATTCTATTTAACTATCAAATATGCATCTTAATTCTCTATTGTTATATTTCTATCGATATATAATGATCTTTATGCATTATCAGAAAATCTATAAAAACCTTCAGCTCTACATGTAGCATTTATCTCTACTACTAATTAATCTATATTACTGAATAATATATCACTCATAACATAATTAAATATAAAGTAACCTTATAAAATTACCATTATAAAAAAGAATCCAAATATATAATTTCTTTACTCTTTATTTGTATTTTTAAATTTCTTCTTTTTTCTCTTACTCTTTAATGTTCTATTCAATTCTACTTATTCCTCCTTCTCTAAATCCTCTAATTCAGATAAAATATCATCATCTTCACCTATTTAAAGATTTGATATCAAATTTTCACTTTTATCGTATAAATATTTAACTGTTTTGTCTGGAATTTCTAAAAACAATGTTAGAATCTCCTCTTAAATTTTGTTTATTTAAAGTGTTATAATTATTAATACCAATAATCCCAAACCTAATGTTCCTGCTGAAATGCTTAAAATTATTTGAAATTTCTCTTTTTCTTACATAATCTTTTTTGACAAACCTTTAGCATATAAATTACTTGAATTTCTCAATTATAATACTAAATCATTAAGGAGATTATAAATTATAAACTAAACATCATTATCTTCATATACAATTTTAGATAATTCTTTATCTCTTATATTCAATGCTTTACTAACTATTTATTCTGTAGCTTCCATTATATCATAAGTTTCATATTGATCTGCAAATTTAATCTTTACTACATCTTGACTTTATAATTCATTTAATTCATCACTAATAAATATATCTGAAAGCATTAAGTTTTTATTCAATTAAGAAACTATTTATATTGAATTATTAAGTCTATTTTTTTGATTTCTTTCAAATTCATCAATATCTTCTGTAGAGTTCATCTACCAAATATTCAAATTTAACATTTACAAATTTTATACTGAAGATAATATAGAATGTAATTCAGCTGTTCTTAAATTAGTGTATTCAATTAATTATATTGTTTAATAAACTTCATTATTCTGAACTAAACTAATAAAAAAATCAGAAAAACTCAATGCTACTAAAGACAGTATGATTATATTAGTTGTCCAATTTAATTTTTTAATTTCTAAAGGAGTAACTTGATTATTAATTATCAAAGATAGATTTTTTCTTGATTTAAAAATATTATTAAAATCTTGTATTTATCCATCTAATTCATTATCCATATCTTATTATCTCTAAAAAACACTTTTACCTTATTGTTCATCTTCTTCTGAAATTATATCATCTCTATCATCAATTTCTTAAACTCTATTTTCAAACAATCTTACAATTTTTATTCCCTCACCATAATTAATATTTGTTTAAATTAAAATATTAATCTCATCAGATTTTTCTGATTTATTCTGAATCTAAGATTTTATCTATTCACTTCCTTACTAAATTGATGAAATCATAGAAGACTAATCATTTTGATCCCAAAGAATAGTTTAATCTACTCTTTAAGAATTAGTCTCACAAACATAATCACCTTAATATAAACATTTTTATGGGTTAAATTTAAATTACATATTATTTATAAGAACCTTCTAATGATTCATATCTAATTTCATACTCATATCCTATATTTATTATTCTAACTTTACTATATATCCTACAACTTAATCTCCAAGTTCATTAAACACTTCATTTATAAAACATTAAAATTTTATAAATTCACATTTTTTCTCATCTTCATCAAATTCTTAAGAAGCCAATTAACTATTACTTATTACAGAACAAGAATCTATATTAAATAATATTTGACCTCCTGTTTTTTATAGAAAAATCTACTTCTATTAAGAATAATTTGGAAAGATTTCAGTAATTGAGGTTTTTTTATTTGAAATCTATTTAATATGAAGATTTAACAAAGGAATACAAGTTGATGAAATTGAATCAATTATTTCTTCATTATCTAAAATTAAATAACAAGTTGGTTTAAAACTTTTGAGTACTCTAAACTAAGCAGCTAATTAAACATTTTCATCTAACGATTAAATTATTTTTAAATAAATATAACAAGGCATGATGTAATTTGATTTCATTTTAATATATATCAATCTATCCTTGTTAATATATTTATTATCGTTAGATTGAAGAAAATTTTCAACATAAGCATCATGAAATTTAGAATATAAGTTTGGCATAAAAATATTGATTTTTCTATTAATCATTTCAGATTTATTGTATCCAAATAAATTACATGCAGCCAAATTTAAATTTGTTATTTATGCAAATTTCTCAAAAGCAGCTGAAACTAACAATATAGGCTAAGATTCATATCCAATATCATCAATACTAATTAATTAAATTGCCTATATATGTTTCATTTTATTATTTTGATTTTAAAGTGCTTTTGATTTTGATAATAATTCTTCTCCAAAATCTTTATCTTAAAGTACTTCAATAATAAATTTAGCATATAATCTCATAGCTTTAGGTAGATTTTAAGTTAATTTTGACATTTTATTCCATAAATCTTCAACTTAAAGAATAGCTAAATTAATTTTTGATCCAATTTCATTCATTTTACCTAAATCAGGTGATTCTTCTTATAATTATGACCAAAAATCCATATGCATTAAAGTAGCTCTTTCTATATTATTTTAAAATTATTTCATATTATTTTAAAATGCTAATTCACTTGCAATATCTAAATTACCAAATGATTCATTTTATACTGTATTGATTTCTTCTTCAATAATTTTCTTGTATCTAAAGATAATGAAATCATTATCAAGTGATGGACTGAGTGTTTCAGCTTAAATAAATTCATTAATAGCTTGTTATCTTTGTTTCATATTATCTAATAAAAAAAAAGCATAACGAATTCTAAGAGTAATTTCGTTGGGAAATTTCTTAATATTATTAAAGTAAATCTATGCCATGATCATGAGAAGATCAGAATCTCTTTCAGTAATAGTACTTTCCTTAAGGATATGTTTTTGTTATCTTTAGTTGATAAGTTTTTTTTGTTTAAGATAACAATCTTCTCTTGTACAGGTAATTTTATGCATTTCTAAGAAACCATCAATAAGTAATGATGAATGAGAATAAAGTGAACTATTATAAAGAAGTTTAAGGAGATAATTAGTTAATTAAATAATTTAATTAGGATTTTAAACTTTATTGAGATTTAATAAGATTAAATCATAATGTAATTTATCACTTTTGATAATAGCAATAATCATTAGTGGAATACCAGCTATCCAAGCATAAATAGTACCTTGAAATAATATTCCTTCAAGAAATTTGGCAAAACAAATTAGAAAAACTCCCCATAAATTTAATGCAACAAGAATAGACCATGATTTTTAAATGTATAAATTATTAAATGGTTGTTGAATATGTATTTTCCAAAATATAATGAAACTACCAATGAGCATAATAAGAATCATAAAATAATCATAATTTCTATCATTCATGAAAGTATAACAAATGACCATAATAAATTAATAAATAAGGAAAGTTGCATTAGCCATTCCATTTTATTTAGAAGAAGCTTGATGAGGTTTATATCTTGGTTCAAAGTATAATAAAGCAAAGAGTAAACAAAGAACAAAGAAAATAATAATTCCAAAAATAGCCACTATAGAGTGAACAATATGAATATTAACCCAACATTCTATATCAAATAGTGAATGCTTTAATAGACCATTTTGATTATCAGTACATGATAACATGGAAAAGAGTAAATCAATTATAGGCATATATAGTACTTATAAAAATAAGGACATTAAAAATCTAAGTAACATGATTGGCCAACTAAATGAAGAATTTGATTTACTGATACTGTAACTAAGTAAAAATATTAACATTAGGACAAATAATACCATTCCTAAACTAACATACATCATAGCCACAAATCCTTCAAAATTAACCATTTCAAAATAAGGGGTTAACAGAACATACCTATTAAATTAAAATGATTCATTTATACCCAAAGATTTTGTTCAGTTATTTTGTTAAGACTTCATTTTGCCAAACCTTCCATAGCTGACGATTAAAGATTATATATGTTATTTGAATATACTGTATCACTATTCCTATACATGTTAAAATTATTGATTATTCCTCATCTTTTAACATTAATTGAATAACCCTGAAAAACACTCCTTTCATTTCAATCTCTAATTTCTCTAAAATCGATCTATCTGAATCTAAAGAACATTTAGAAGAACCTAAATTTGACTTAAGTTCCATTTTTTATTATTAATTATTATATCTCACTAATCTTCAATATACACTAAAAAACTGATAAATTATTTATATATTTCAATCATCTAAATCATTCTCAATTCAATCATTAATATTAACCTCTTCATTCTCTAACTATCTCTAATTATCCTTATACTTTAAACCAAACTATTAAATAAATTATAAATATCAGCATTTTTTATGAATATCGCCAATAATTAATTCTGCTTCATTTCATCTCAATTTTAAACATTCATCAATTCATCCAACAACTATTTAAAACCATCTGAATCTATTACAAATTTATTTACCATTTAAAAAACACCTTCACAATACACTAGATTATCTTGTATATTTTAAATTATAAATATAGTTTTTTTTAATTTTCACTTCTATTTCTAAACTATCCCATTCTATCAACTATGATATTAATTATATTTCTATATACCCATAAAACAAGTCATATATTTTCTTTACATCCCATTTAATACAAAATATATTGTATACTTAATATTCTTAAAATCACTTTTATTGTTACTCTCATCTCTTAATATATTAATCCATTTCCATTTTTCATAATACTTTAAAGTTTTCTCTCCCTTTTCTCTAAATCATAAGAATTTATGATGAAAATTTTCTCAATGTTTCATATTATTCAGAATTAATTATTTCTAACTAATTTAAACCCCTATAATACAAGTCTGAGTCAATCTGATGGTTTATTGAATATTATTATGTATGTAAATTCCAAAAAGGATTATTCTCTCTCAATTCACAAGTATTTATTAATCACTCATAATTATCTATCAATTCATTTTAGGTATAACATTTAATTCAGGTATCATCTATTACTTAATTTTATTACAAGTAACTTGATTTAGAAAATAATTAAATAAGAAATATCCTTAAAAAGTAAAAATCAATATAGATTATAATTAAAATTAGAGTTCTGATAAATAATTACTATTCTTAATCATTTTTTCTTTCTCTTTGATTTAAATGACTTAATAAGTTCTTATTATTCATTCTATTTACTGAAATCAGAGAATATATTATTATCAAAATGTATATTAAATAAATATTAATATATGAATTGATCTGTATTATTTTCTCTTTCCCTACTATTAAGTTTAAGATTAAGTATTTTCACTCTTGTTATATAAGTATTTAAATGTTGTATTAATTTCTATCCATATCTAATTTATCTAAATAATTATTAATAATATAATGAAAAAAGAGCTGAAAACTGCAATCATCAAAATTAAAAATATGTTTACATTATTTTTTTATAAATCTAATATGCTATCTTATTACGATATTAATATATTATATTTAATAAATGTAGCATTTTGATTCCTTCTAAAGGAGCCTTGTTAATTATTTATTAAATTTCTTCAATTAATACATAAGTAATTATTTATTCTGTCAATTTCTAGAATATATTAAAATTTGAATTAATTAATTGACTGGGATATTTAATTATATTTAGTAAATTACACATATTCACAAATACTTAAAGATCCTAAGAAATAAGATGTACAAAAAATATTAGAAAATTTTAAATAAATGTATAATTTTATAACTATCACTTATGAATTTATTCTATCTTCATCTTTTTTCTCTCTAAGATAAAATGCTTTTGTAAAAAAATATACTTTTATTAAAAAGTATTGAATCTTGGATTTTGAACCACTAATTATTGCTCTACATTAGTACATTAAGACTAAGTCTAATTGATTAGTCTTTTTTTCTAAATTAAAAAAATCCCTATATTTTGTCTTAAGCCTCAAATTAAATTTCAGAAATTTAAAATAAAATCTAAGTTTGATTCTCTCACTCTTCATTAATAATCATATTATTTTAAATATGAGAAAGTTTATAGCATAATTTGAGCTTGAACTATAATTGTATGCAAGTTGAAAGTAATTATATTAGGAAAAGTTGAAAATAGATTTCTTGATGGTAAATCATTTATTTCAATTTTGATATTTTATTCCATAAATCTTCAATTTAGATCATAGCCAAATTTATTATTTATTTTCAACTGATCTTTTAAAAGGCTAATTCACTTGCAATATCTAGACTAAAACAGGAATATCTTAGTTTTTAAGTTTAAATATTTATTATTAATTAAATTTTATTTTAAAATCATTTTTATATTCATTAAATTATCAAAACTTAAAATACCGTTAATAGTTTCATATTACTAGTCTTCTTAAATTATTTTTTTTATATAAAAAAAAATAGATTACCTAAACTGAGAGAGAGAAATAGTTTAAATTCATTTAATAATTATAATTTTTATAAAAAATACTCAAATAAATTAGGGGCATAAATAATTTTTAATCTCGAATTTCTATGATGTCTATTAAAATATTGTGATATATTTCTCCAAATAAAAATTCTATCTAGTAATTTTTTTGAGAGATATTTTCGTCCTTTAATTTTGTCAATCTTTAATTTAATTATTTTTTAATCTTAATAAAAATTTTATTTTAGTCTTTATATTTTCTACTTCTATAAATATATCTCAAATAATATTAAAATAATGATTAGTTTGAACCTTGAAAGATAAGGGTTTTCAGAATTTCTAAAATTCATTAATAATAGATATAATAAAGTAATAAAAATGACTCCAAACCAAGATTAAAAAGTATTCTTAAAAGTAGTGTCTTTCAGTAATGAGAAAAGCACATCAATAATAATTTGATATTATAATCATTTAATTTAATTAATTGATTATTGATAAATATATATAAGAAATCAAACTTCAATATCATTAATTTGAATGTTAGTCTTAATATACGTTTTAATAGATTTAATATTTTGAATGACACCAAGAGGTATCATTAAGATCATGGATCTAGTTCTCCATAAATCTTTAGTAAATTTGGCAAGCAATGGTAACCAAAAGACAAAATAAACAATGAAAATTAAACCTTCAAAAGCTATAAATAATCCTAGTATTTCCGTTTTATGGTTTTCCATATCTTATCTAATTCCTTCAATCATTTATGAAACAAGAAATCGAAAAGTTCCTCTATTATAATTATCTTACATTTCACGAGCCTCTTTTGTTTAATTGAAATTATTAAGATTTAAAATATAATTTCTTACATTATCATTATCTTTTGTTATATTTTTAAACTTTCCAAATCCCCTAGCTAAAAGAGTGAAATTTACATTTGGATTTCCCCAAAATTAATCATAAATTGTCATTATATATCTAAGATTCTCAAAATATCTTGCAATCCCGACTGCCATTCCTTAATAAATTGCTCCATCAGCAAATACTTGACATTCTTATTCAGTTAATTCATTCAAGAAATTTGAAATTATTGTACATGGTTGTTCCATAAAAATTGTTTTAAATGAATCTAAGTATAATTGACTAGTTATTTCAACATTTAATGCATGTTCTTAATGAATAGAAGAATCTAAAATATATAAACCATTAAGGTTGTTTTTTACAATTTCATATGAATCTTAATTCATAATAGTATGATTACGATTTAAAAATAATGATCTTTCACTTATATCTACAAATCTATAGAAACTTTCAGCTCTTGCTGTTGCATTAATTTCAGGAATCATTTAATTTAAATCTGTTAAAAAGTTTTTACTTAATAAATAATTTAATGTAAAATATCCTTGAGCTAATAGAATAATTATTAAAATTCCAAGAATAAAATTACGTTATTCTTTATTTGAGTTTTTAAATCTCCTTCGTTTCCGTTTGGCTTTCAAAGATTTATTCAATTCATTTTAACTTTCTTTTTCAATATCTTCTATATCTGATAAAAAATCATCTTCTTCTCCCATTTGTAAATTAGTAATAAAATTTTCAGCTTTGTTGAATAAATACTTGATAGTTTTTTCAGGGAGATCTATAAAAATAGCTAACATTTCTTCTTATGTTTAATGAACAGAAACAATAGCAATTATCATGATAATAAGTCCAATACCTAAAGCAGCAGCTGAAATACTTAATATCAATAAGAAAGTATCTCTATTATTTTCAGATTTAAACAACAACTCATTTGCATACAAAGTTGAAAAGGATCTTATTTAAAATATCAAACTATTTAAAGAATTAAATAAAACAAAATTGACATCAACATCATCTAAGTTAATGTTAGAAATTGGTTTATCTCTAATAATTAAAGATTTACTCAATAATTATTAGATAGCTTCTGATATATCAAACATTTATGAAGTACCGTCACTTGAAATCATACTTACAACATCATTATTCATCATTTCAATAATAACATCACTTAAACTAACATCTGTTAACATTAATTCTTTATTCAAATTGTCAATATTATTAATAGATTGGTTTAATTTCTTCTTTTATAATTCTTCATATGTTTTTTATTCTGATTCATTTTACAAATCCCAAACATCCATATTTAACATTAATAAATTTTAAATACTTGTAGTAAGGGTTTAAAGTTCTGCATTTCTTTAATTTTAATTTTTAACCAACAAAATTGTTTTATAAATTTCCTAATATTAATCATAGATAATAAAAAAATCAGTAAATGATAAAACAATTAAAATAATAGTAAGAATATTGGAAGTCCAATTTAATTTTTTAATGACTTTTGGTGTTTAATAATTATTAACTATTTAAGATAAATGTTTCCTAGATCTAAAAATATTATTCAATTCATTGTTTTCTTAGGATCTTTAAATACTAGAATCTTAAATCTATCTTCTTTCAAATACACTATTCTTATCTTCATTCTCATCATCCGAAATGATATCTATGTCATTTATATCTTAGATTCTATTCTCAAAAAGTCTCACAGTCACAATTCCTTCTCCATATCTCATCACTTCTTTTTATTCAACATTGTTATCTAATTTCATTAAATGTTTTTAAATCCCTGAGTTTTGTATATCATTCTAATTGGATGAAATCATTGATGAAAGATCACCTTAATCCCAAATTATTGTTTAATCTACTCTCTAAGAATTCATTTCAGCAACAAACTCACCATAATAATTAGCTAATCTAGGGTTGAATTTGAATTATAAACTTAATCCATTATAATGATGTTAATGTACATTTAATTCTTAAGTTGTACTTTTATCATTTCCATTTAATTCTAATCTTACTATATATCCTGCTGTTTCTCCATTAATTTCATTTGAGATTTCAGTAATAAAACATGTAAAATATATTTGATTTTCCTCTTTATCATCCTTGATATTTTTATTACTTTGTTCTTCTTAACATTTATATGATAATATTCCTCCATTTTTAGTTAAGAACTAAGCTTTTAACTAACTAAAATTTGGAAAGAGATCTCCTAACATTATTTTTCTATGAGATATTGCTTTATGATCAATATTTAATAAAGTAATACATGATGCAGAGACAGAATCAATTAATTCATTTGCATCTATTAATAAGTAACAAGTAGGTTTATATAGTTTTAAAGGTCGTAATTAAGCAGCCATTTATAAATTATCATCAAATGATTAAATAATCTTCAAAGTTAAAAAACAAGGAGCAATATAATTGGATTTTTATTTTATATATACTAATCTTTCTTTATTAATATTTTTATTATCGTTTGTTTCCATAAACTTTTCAAAATAATTATCATGAAATTTTGCATATAAGCTTGGCATAAATATATTTATCTTACGATTTATCATTTCTGTCTTCATATATCCAAATAAATTACAGCATGACATGTTTACATTAACTATTTAAGCAAATTTCTCTTGAGATGTTGATACTACTGTTATAGGATTTGATTCATAACATAAATCATCACTATTCAAAAGTGATATTAATTATTGATTCTTTATTTTCAAATTCTACTATTATAAATTTTTTGATTTTGATAATAATTCTTCTCCAAAATCTTTATCTTAAAGTACTTCAATAATAAATTTAGCATATAATCTCATAGCTTTAGGTAGATTTTAAGTTAATTTTGACATTTTATTCCATAAATCTTCAACTTAAAGAATAGCTAAATTAATTTTTGATCCAATTTCATTCATTTTACCTAAATCAGGTGATTCTTCTTATAATTATGACCAAAAATCCATATGCATTAAAGTAGCTCTTTCTATATTATTTTAAAATTATTTCATATTATTTTAAAATGCTAATTCACTTGCAATATCTAAATTACCATTAATGTTTTCACTTTGAGCCACATTCATTTCAAATTCAACAATCTATTTATATCTATAAATTATAAATTCATAATCAAAACTTGGACATAATTATTCTGCTTAAAATAATTCATTTAATGCTTACTGTCTTTATTTCATTAAATCAAAAAGAAATAATGAATACCTTATTCTTAAGGTCATATCATTAGGAAATCTTTTAATTTAATTAAAATATATTTAGCCTAAAACCATTAAAATATCTATATCTCTTTCTGATAAATTTTAATCTTTAAAGAAAGTTTTTTAAATTCTTTAATTTTAACATCTTTTTTATTTAAGATAACAGTCTTCTTTTGCACATGTAGCTCTGTGTATTTCAAGAAAACCATCAATCATTAATAAAGAATCTGAATCTTAAGCTTTATACAATTTAATTAAATAATCTGTTAAGTTTAAGACTTCTAAAGGATCAGCAACTTTATTTAAATTAGTTAATAATAATTCATAATTTAATTTATCAGCTTTAAATACTGCAGCTATCATAAAAGGTAATCCAAATAACCATGCATAAACTGTTCCAAAAAACAATTATCCTTCTAGAAATTTAGCAAAACATAATAATATAACACCCCACATATTAACTGCCGCTAATATAGACCATGCTTTTGCTATATATTTATTATAATGAGGATTCTCAACATGCATTTTCCAAAAAACAAAAAAACTGCCTATTACTATTATCAATATAAAGATATAATCATATTATTTTCCAACCATAAATGTATAACAAATTATCATTACAAGTTCATAAGTAAGAAATATAGCTAAATATCTACCATTCTTTTTTGATTATGGATTCATTTCCATATAACGAGGTTCATAATATAATAGTGAAAATGAAATACAAAATATATAAAAACATATTATTCCAAATATTGAAACAATTCCATGAACTGTATGTGTTCCTTCCCAACAATTTATCTCACTAAACATCTAATGAACAGAATTTCCTTTTTCATTTCTTATACATGCAAAGATTGAAAAAAATAAATCCATTATTGGCATGTATAAAATTGATAAAAAGAGTTTAATTAAAGTCCTTAACATTTAGGCTAATAAAGAATAGCTTGATTATAATCGATAATTAAGTAAAATTATAAGAATGAATCCTATTAACACTAAACTTAAACTAGTATACATCATTGAAATTAAACCAATAAAGGAAACCATTTCAAAATATGGGACTAACATTGAATATCTTCTTTACATCATAGTAATACCCAAAAAATTTATTTAGCTAACGTGACACTTCATAAGTCATCCAAACTGGCCATATTTGACGATTAAATAGTATGTATGTTACCTAAATAAACTATACTATTATAGCTAAAATGCTTAAAAATATTGAAGGTTCATCATTCTTTAACAATAACTCTGTGACTTTGAAATAAGTTAATTTTATTTCATTTAATAGCCTATCTAAACTAGACTGATTGAAATCTAGAGATTATTTGCCACCAAAATTAGATTTTATTTCCATTTTCGGTTTAAATATTATCTTGAACAATTTAATTATTTAATCAGAACACAAACTTTACTCGATAAGAATTAAATTAAAACTATTTAAACTATTTACTCAAAGCTCAAACACTATTTAAATGAATTTAAGATTTTTTATAAAAATAATTTAAAAATACAATATTATTTTTTTTCTATAAGTAATGGATTTTTTTCTCAACATTTTTGTTCTGGTCAAATTAATTATGGATTAATAATAAATACTGAGGATGCATTTTTTATATTTGAATAAGTGAGATTGAATTACATAAATTAATAATTAAATTACAACATTAAATAAAATTTATAATTAGAAATAGCCTATCACGTAATTATTATAAAATAAAACAATTTAATTCAGAATTAAAGAAGTTTTATTAAATCATTAAAATTAAATACATAAATAAGTCTGTTTGGAATATCTTTTAAGAATAAGACATGAGTTATTTATTTAGATATAAACTTGATGATTTTATGAAATATATCAATTTAATGTTAAAATAAATCCAATTGCTTAATATAATAATGGCATTAATGTAGGATGAGGAACTTATAGTTGCAAATTGATTGCAGTGGGTGTATGGATTACATTTACTAATAATGGCATTCCATTAACTAATGTAGCAGCATATGAAAGTAATTCAACACCCCTTTCATCCTTTCTCACTCCAATCAAGAAAAAGTAATTTCGTTCCAACTTTTCTTTCATCTATTAAATAATTATATTAATATAGTACTCTTTATGGATCGATTTAAATTTAAAGGACTTCTTGCTTTCTAGCCATATTTTATGCTTAGCTAAGTTCAATAAATTTTTATTAAGTTATACTAGCAGTTGTACTCTAAAAGCATAAATGATAAAAATACAAATAAAACACTTAAAGACATAGGAATAAAAATATAATAAACATCTAAATTAGTTTTTAAGGCAACTTAAATTTTATATGGCATTTATGGTGGTTCTTCTAATACAGGTCCATTTGTATTTATAGATGATTAAGCAATTTATTATTAACCTGGAAATACTGGTTGACATTAAACTTCAATTGAATCAGGTTATAATTTGAAAGGATTTTTATTAAATTTAATACCAAAATCAGAAAAAGTTTTATCCTAAGTTTTATTTGTAAATTTTAAATCAAGCATAATTTTATCTCCATTTTTTTGAAAGGCAGCTTCTATTTATAATCCTTAAATTTATTTTTAAGAACCAGGAGATGTTGCGTTTAATACTTCAGCAAAAGGAACCCTAATATTTTAAAATGAATTAGGTTATTAAACTTATTATTATGGTATTTATTATTATTATTATTATTATTATTATTATTATTATTATTATTATTGTTATTATTATTGTTATTATTATTATTATTATTATTATGGCTAATTATCATCTAATTCTAATAAATCAATTTTTTAAGTAATTTATTATACTTAAGATTATGGATTTTAAGATTATATTTATGATGAAGTATCATAATTATTTTCATAGATATTGGATTATGCTCCTTATTAATCACTATAATCTTCTGGTCTTCCTTCCATTAATTAATCTTAATCATAAACATCATCAATTTTATCAGCAATTTTAGAATTTAAGACATCTCTTAATTTTTTAACAAAGCTTTCAGGTTTTTTGGTATAAACTGAACTTAAATTTCCAATATTTTCAATTAATTTATCTAAGAGTTCATTTTCAATGGTATAGCTTGAATCAGAAATAGTAGGTCTTTCTGAGAAAACAATTTTTTTAGCTAATTCTGGATCAGTAGATAACATTCTCCAATAAATATATGCTCTATCTCTAAGATCAGGATTTTCACATTCAATAGTAGCAGTTTTAAGAAGGTTATGAATTAATTCTTTTCCATCATTAGGTCTTTATAAAAATAATTTCATAACAGCTACTAAGATTTAATGTTAAACATTTGCAGGTTCATCTTTAAAACTATTAATAAATAAATAATAAAGTATACTTTTCACTAAAATTGCCTAAAAGAGAATCAGCATTTTCAATTGTATCTACATATTCACCAATAATCCAAATCATTGAAGCTTTTGCTTCTGGATCTTCAAGAGCTTTGAGATTTTCACAAAGATCTTTAAGAATCATTTCATATTTTCTTGGATATTTTCTAAATATATCTCTAATAACAACTATGCTTTCCATAACAACATAATTAACTTTAGTTTTTAAACATTCCCATAATGCTGTAACACACTTCTCAGCTGCTTTTTCTAATTTTATTGCACATCTTCCTATTGTTCTCACTGATTTCCTTACAAATTCAACATCTACTTCTTAAGTGTATTCTTTTAATTCATGTAAAATCTATTAAATATTATCATTATTAGCTAGTTTAGATAAAACTTCTAATTTTTATAATTTAATATAGATTGGATCATTAAAATTACAAAAGAATACTTTTATATCTTTTTCTATTATTATTGGTCTTTTTTAAATGATCAAATTTATATTTTTTAATGCCACATATTAAATTTCTGGCTCTTTACCTAAACTTAATAATGAAATTAATGGTGCAGTCATTTTAAGAGCATTTTATCTTATAGTTTCTGGATTTTAAAGATAATCCAAAAATTTCATCATTATTTTACATGCTGATAAAACAACACCAGGATTATTATGATTTAATCTAGGACTAACTCTTTCTAGAATACTTTAAATAGATAATAAAATAATATATACGCTTCAGCTTCTTTTCCATCTTCTGGTATATACATTGCTAATGCATCTAAACAATATATCACACCCCATTCATTGCATTCATTCATTGCAGTCAATATTTTTTAAATTGTATAAGGATTTAATTAAAGCATAGTTGTACCTTTAGATTCTTATACAATTAATAATGCACAAACTGCATTTGCAACAACCATGGCATTACCATCATTTAATAAATTCTCTAATAATTTCAATAAACCCTATTCTTCTATAAGTTCAGGTGATACATCATATAATTTAGAAATACAAATAGCTGCTGTCTTTCTAACATATGAATCTTCATCCTTATTGTTAATTTACATTCATTACTTTTATTGATTCCTTTAATGGATCCAACAAATATTCTGTAATTAACTTTACTCTTATGCATCCCATTGTTCTGATAGCCAAAGCTCTCAAAAAAGGGTTTGTCTTATCTCTTGCATCTTTTCTAAAACTGTTTACAGCCATGACAGCAAGATCAGGCATAATTTTGGCATAATTGATGATATACAAGTATACCAATTTTTTTAATTCTAAATTTGATGTTTCCATATTCTTTGCCACATCAGGAAATAACATACTAACATCTTTGCCTCTTGTCATTGCATCAATAATCTATTATATATAATTCAAAGTACTTTTCTAATAGCATCTCTTTTAGATTCTATTTTATTTTAATTCAAGGCATCTTATAATTCTTTTACTTCTTTTCCATATCTTGATCTTGAACTTCTACTAGTACTTGAAGTTGAAGCTGTAGGACGACTCATGCAATTTTAATTTTAATTTAAAAAATATCTTTATATATTATTCAACTTCTAAAAAAGTTCCCTTTATTAGTTTCTTGAATAACTTGGATTAGTACATTTGAATGATTATCATTTATTTTAAAGGGTAATTTACATACTCCAAGTAAATTTACACTTATCAAATAATTATTTATTATATTGATGAGTCTCATAATTCTTTAACACTAGTAAGCTCATTAAATTCTTCACTTATTCTAATAAATCTTCTTTTTTTAAATAAGATTTCACTCCCTCTCAAAAGTCTCTAATTTATTGTATGTATCTTTATGCTTTTTTTTATTCAATAAATTCTCTCATTAAATATTAAGCTCTCCTTTAATTTCCTCAAACTCATATTCTTTTTCATTTATGGCAATTCAATTAGCGTAATAATATCTTATTTAATTTCTTAATTTTCTATCTATCTTTTTTATTCTTATGCATTTCCTTTCTTTTCTACTATAGATTCAACCTTTACTCTTTAAGTTTTATGACCAAAAAATCTATCAATCATTGAAACAAATGGAAATTGTTTATCTTTCTCAATCAAATCTGTCACTCTTGTACTGTTTTCTATTAAAAATATTTAAAATTTATTATTTATTGCCATTGGATCATCACAATATCTTCCAGTACTTTAAGTTTTTAATGAATAAGATAATTTGGTAATTCTTGAAGGCATCTTTATATATTATTGTATTTTTATATTAAAACTTATAAATTTTCAAATTAAATCTTTAAATTTTTTACTCATTTTAGTTAAACAATGTAATTAATCTTCTAAATTAATTAAATATGTTTTTATTTAATTTAATTATTCGATCTTAATAACATTGTACATTCAAATAAATATATCTCATTTAAATTGATATAAATATAATTTCATATTTAAATGTATTTTATATTATAGAATTATAATAATAAGGATATCTAAATACTTAATAAATAAAGATATCTTACTGTCATAAAACAAATCCTTAGATTATAAATTCAAAAATTAATATTGAACAAAAAAATTAAAAACTGACTAATTATTTTCAAATAGATAATAAACTAATAGATTGACATATCATATCGATTTTTCCAATTGGAACATATTCTTTTAAAGCTGTCAATTTCAAATATAGTAATTGAGTGAATTATTTCAAATTTTCATCAACAGGAGTTGTTCTTAAAATTCTATAAATTATTATATATATGATATTTACTGATTTAATTATGGTAACATCTCTAATATAGTTTCTAATGTATCACTTGTTTCTACAATCTAACAGATTACCAAAAGATATCCATATAATGGTATTTATTGTTCATAAATAAATTTCTTTAAAATCATCAATTATCTATTTCCTTCATAGGATTACAATTCTAAAAGAAGAAACAAAAATAAATTTTCATGATTGAATGAAATTAACAAAATCTTACATACAAACTACAATAAAAATGTAAATTACTTCATCCAACTTATAATTGTAAGCCATTTTGATAATTTATCTCAAAGAGTAAGGAATCACATTATTAACTTCCATTTTTGTATTTTATTCAATTAGATAAAAAAATAATTCAAAGAGATGTTTAATATTGATAAGTTCTAATTTAAATTGTGATTCTGGTTATAGTTGTTCTAAAATTTCAGATACAATAATGAATAAAGATTTATTATTTTCCACCTTCCATTAATATTTATACTAATTATTTCCCATAACTGTATCTTTAATGAATTATATTGAACATGTATCCATTTACACTGAGATCATAAAATAAGTATGAAATTTAACTAATTACTTAGCTAATGATGAGGGAGGTATTGTACATATATTATATGATTATTTACATAGATCAATTGATAGACTCTTCTTTGAGGCTATATATTAATAAAGTAATTAATATAAATGATCAACATTTGCAGGATCATTTTATTTAATGCATTTCTCAATAAAATTCAATAAGAAATAATACATATGTTGATCTAAGGTAGGTTGATATTCTACAAAGAAGTTAATTACTGTCTAGTAATAGTAGATTTATTAATTCCTTATACATGATTCTAAAATTGAATAAAACAAGACTGAATTTGAATCAATTAATTAGTATGATTCTTCAAGAAGGGATTTTAATTATTTACATAAATTAATTCTATTTTCTTATTTGTTATTGCTTTGAAATTCTTTTAAAAATAGTAAAGTTGCAGTAACAATACCTGATTTATAATTTTTTAATAAATTTTAAAATAAAATTGTTTAAGTTTATGGTAAGATGCCAAATTCTAAATTTAAGAACATAGCTAAATGTTACAAGGTTTAACTTTCTTTAATTTAAAGATTTGATAATAAAGTAATTAATGATCCAAATTATTTAGACAATTTGATATCACTAGCAAAATGAGGAATTATCAATAAAATCATCTAAAAAAATTCATCTAAACAAACTTCTTAATATTTTGTAATGTGTTAGACGATAGTAAATATTAATTAACATAAGTCTAAAATATTGATTATAAGATTATTGTTTAAGGTTTGAATTTGATCTTTATTGAAATTATTAATGCTCATTAATTAAGGAAAGTCTAGAAGCATTTAATTGATGTCTTTAATTAATTTAATAATGTTCTATTGATTAGATGCTCTAAGTATAAGATTAAATTTGAATTGAAACCATTAATAAATGAGTACAAAATTGATTGTATATTAAGATATATTTTAATTTAATTCTTTAAGTAATATAAGAATATCAGTGACAGTATGCATTAAATTGTTATCTAGAAATTGTTAAAACATTTTAGTGACTTAATTTTTAACTTTTTCAAAATCAATTTCTGTAGATAGTTCTTTGAATTTAACAATTAAAATAAGTAATTAAATTTCAAGTGGAGTAGTTTTTTATAAATCATATTATTTACTTTATTGTATGAAATCATTAATTCTGTTTAATTTGTAGTAAGATAATAAGATACATTGATTACATTGGTTGAGATAATTATGATCAGATTTCTTGAGTTCTTCTTTAATATTAAGACATATAGAAATAACAGTATCAAGATTGTTATTATCTTCAACTAATTAACAACATTATTATAAGATTAGATAATATGAATATAATATTAAGTTGGCTTATGAATCAACTAATTTATGTTTTTTTTAGTCAAATTTAATAATATATTGATAAAATTGATCTATTTTTTCACTTGAATTAAATTAATTAATTTTATAAAGAAGCATGCTAATTTATGAGATTTTGTTACAATCTATGCACTATTCAAATTTTGAGCATTATTCTAAAGCATTTTAGGTTAATTCATTAGGTGAATAGATTTTAAGGTATAATATTTTTTTTTATAAGACTTCAAATAGATAAAAATATTCTTAAAGTAAATTTTAGTTTGAAATGTAAATGAAAGAATTGATCAACATGACTTGAACTTAAATTAAAGGAGTAATATAATTGTCATTTTCATCTTATTTAATTGATAAATGATCTTCAATTTAATTAAACCAATTGATTAATAATCTAATAGCAACTATTGACAATTTGATACATAGGATCTTGCACTATCTTTCTTTGATCTTGTTGTAATACTTTGTTTATGTCGAAATCTAAAAATTGTTACACTTCTGAAACAAGACCATCACATGGTTATTATAATTGTAGTACTTCAATAAAACATTCAATCGAATTAAGCATAATATTTAATTTAAATAATGGGTAATTTTAATCTGTATATATATATATTAGCTCATCTAATTTCAATGAAATATGAATCCATTTTCATTTCCTCTAAGAGCATGTTAAATTTTTGGTTAAACACAAGCTTCAACACAAGTCACCAAATCTCTATAGGGATACATCTATTTCACAATTATTATTCAATATTGTACACAATTCTTTTCAGGATCTGCATTTTTCAAAGACAAAAAAGCTTTAACACATCTGTCATATTTGTCATCATACCATTTACATTAAGGCCTACAATATTAAATTAGCAATTCTTTTGGATCTTTACCCTATTCCAACATTGTCTTTATAGCTGAAGGATAATTCTCATTAATTTTTCCCTCTCCAAAATTAACTTAATTAGACATCTCTTTATAAATTAATTTAATAAATATCTTTCTTTTCTTTTCATATTACTAATAATCAATTAATACTAATTTATATTATATAATATATAATTCATATATTTTTTTAAATATAACTTATTCTTCATATTTTTTCTATTTTATATGACTTTGCACTTTTACTCCATGCAACTAAATAATCAAAATTTGGACTCAATGTTCCAAATATTTAATTATCTTGAAAATTTATAGTATTCAATTTTTAATATTAGTCTCCATTTCCTTTCTTCATTACGAAAACCATATTATTTATTTTAATAGAAAATAATCCTTTTTATTCATTATATTAATTAACAAAAAAAGCCTTGTCATCCTGACAGACTGGTAAATCCAAATTTACATTTTTCTTTTCTATATTCTTATTGTATGAAACTTAATATAGTTCTGTACTTGCTGATTCTAATGGTTAATATATAAATTGATCATTATCAATAAAACTAGCTCTAAATCCATTCTTTTCAAGTTGAATACTTTTCTCTTCCTTCCAATTTCCTCCTTATGAAGAAAATATAACTAATTTCTTATCCCAACCTTATGTTAGAATTGTATTCTAAGAATTATTCAAACTTATGCTATATATTTAGGCTTTGTGAGAATTAATATTTTAGAATTCTGAATAACTATTTCCATTTTTTTAGAAAATTAATAATCGACCATCCCAACATCCAATAAATAATTAAGAGTCATCTTTTTTCAATAATGAAGATAATATCCAAGATTATGTCTAAAGTGCTTATTATTGTGAAAATTAATTATTTGCTCCCAAACTCCAAATCTTTATGGTTTAATCATCTCCTCCAGACACAAACATATTCGTCTATTTACTATAGCATAATGTGTTTATATCTTATTGATGAGCTTTCAAGATAAATCTCTTTTTATCATAGCTTAGGTTTCCTCCTTAAAATTTCCAAATTTTAAGAAATTTCCCTGAACAACTTACCATTATGTTTCCTTCATTATTAAATACAATAGAATAACACCATTATTCTTAATTCAAAGGATGACTATCATCTATATCGAACCAAAGATCATCATTTTCATTTACGTACATAATTCTATTATATATTAATTTTTTTTTTAAATTATCAAATATAAATCTTGAAATAATAATTGTATAAATTCTTTAAAAACCCATTTTATTTTATTTTATATTTATTTATCGTTGAATTTTTCATCATAGTAATTAGCATAGGTTAAGGTTTCTCTTTAAATTTATATAAATATATTTTTAAAGTTTTTTCTCTTTTTAATTATCAATTGGTAAATTTTTGTAGATAAAATCTAAATCCTCTTAAATATTTCCCACTTGATGTAAAAATTTCAATAAATCTGATGTAGAAATAAATCCTTTAAAATCAAGATCTAAGGTTTTAGAAGGAAAATTGAATAAATTTAATAATTTATGAACATAATCCAATGATTCAATCTGTTAGAATAAATATTATGGTATTTAATAAAAATATTACTTTTACTTAGATTTTTGTAAATTCTGTAAGATTCTGTAAGTAACTTTTTATATATAAATGATATTGAATATTTAGACATAGGAAGTTTTTGTTGTAATTTTTATTTGCTTTAGTAGAAAAAGATCTAAATCTATGATATTTTTGATTTGATTGACAATCATATTGATTAATATTTTGATTATCAAAGAAAATAATATGAAAGGGATTTTATTGAATGATTAAACATAATTGTTTGATTTTTATTTAATTTTAGGATGAGAGCATTCAAGTTTAATTTCTAAAAGTAGATAATATGATGATTGTGATTATATGGATATAAAATTGGATTGATATTTTTATGGAAGTCTATTATTTAATAACCAGAAGTGACAAATGTTTTTAGGCTCTTGATTTTACTTTTAGAACATTCAAGATATTTTCTTGGAAACACTTTGTAAGAGCATAATTAAGTAATTCATTCATGATTATTATTATTTTAATTATTTAGTTTTTATGCAAAATATTTATTTCTTTCCCTATATACGACTCAAAATCTAGTCTTGTTGTTTTTTTAGTTTTAAAATTTCTTTTATCACTTGAGATTTATCATAGTATTCGTATCCAAATTTATTTTTTAATGCTCTTCCAATTTTGAGAGTAAAATTACGACTATCACTAAAGACATGTTATCCAAAAGTTTCTTATATAATTTGAATTTCCTTATTTGATATAAATTGACCTAATATTCTAAATCTATTTTATGCTGCATTTAATTTCTTAGCATATACCATAATGTTAGCTCTTCTTTTTGTACGCTTTTGTCTAAATTATTCTGATTTCTTTTTCCTTACTAAATCTTGGGTTTGACTATGGATATTAATCTCAAAGGCTCTTCTTTTTTGTTTGTTTTCTAGAAGTAATTCAAATTATCTTATCACTTCTATTTCAGACTATGTAAAATTGTGAGCCTCCTTAAAATGCATGATTTACTCTTGTAACTATTTAATCATATCCTTCTTGCTTGTTATAGATTCATTACCAATCATAAATTATTCTGATTCTAATTATGGATCTGAAAGAGTTTTTATAAAAGAAGTTAGAGGAGGACGAAACAAATTCATTTTTTATTATTTATGTAAAAAAAAGTAATTAAAAAGTCTTCTACAGTCAAATAATTTGATGCAGCATCTCCAGCAACCAAATTACTTGAAAAAAGAAGAAAGATGTATGAAATACATGAAGCTTATGAACATTAATAAGATGAATATAAGAAGTATAAAATTCTATAAGGTTTTTTATTAGACAAGAAGAAGAATTTAAGAAATAAGAGGAGTAAATAAGAGAGAAGGATAAATAAATTTAGGAGGAACTTATAAAGTTTTGTAATTTTCTTTAAGAGAATGAGGCAAAGAAAAAGAGAGCTTTGGTTCGTTTTTAAGAGGAAAAATCATATAAGGAATAGAAGGAGAAAGAAATATAAGATTTAACTGCATAATGGACTGATTTGCAAAGACATTAATAGCGATTAGAAAAGAAAGGTAAGGAATAAAAGTTCTTATGTCTTAAGTTACATCTTTAAAGAAGTATGAAGATTATTTGGATAGTATCATAAAGTAATATCCAGAGTAGTATCATGATTTGTAATCAATTTTGGATAGATATGCAACATTGACAAATTCTAATTCAAAGTTGGTAGAAGAACATTAGAATATGGAAAAGGAATTTGAGAAGTTAAAATATGAATCAACTTAATATGAGAAGGAGAAAAATCATGAGATTCTTCAATTAAATAATGATATTAAAGATTTATAAAAAAAGTTAGAAGAGAAAGCAGCAGAGAGAAATTAAATATAAAGTGTTTATGAAGCTACAACTAATGATGCATCATCTAAAAATTTAAGTTTAGGTAGAATTTTAATGGCAGTTGATAATTTATTTACGCGTTGTTAAGAAGGAACATAAAGAATGAAGTAAGATTTCGAAGAGTACAAATAAGATAAATAAAATAAAGAAAAAGTAAAGGATAAAATTACAAATAATAAAATATAGAGTTAGGACTTATAATTTAATGATGAGGATAATTATGAATTAAAAAGTATATAATTATAATATTTAAAATAGGTTAATAAGCAGCTTGGAAATTAAAATAAATAGTTTAATTTATGTCAGATTTTAAAAAAATAATAGATAATTGTAAAGGAGAATTAGGGAAATGGAAAGAGTAGAAAATAAAATGATATTAAATATATTTATATATATTATTAATGAATAAATAAGAGAAAAGGAAATTACCTAATCATTTATAATATGACACAGTAAGTCCTGCAACTAAATTACTAGAAAAGAGGAGAAAGATGTATGAAGTGCATGAAGCATTTGAAGCATAAAGAGAAGAATTTAAAAAGTATATTAATATTTAGATAATAAAATTATAGATAAGAAGATAAATTTAAGTAAGAAGAAGAGAAGATTAGATAAAAAGATATGGAAATTTAAGAATCTTTAATTAAATTTTGCAAATTTTTATAGGATAATGAAGCAAAGAAAAAAAGAGCAGAAGGTAGATTAGAAGAGGAAAGGAGATAAAAATAATATAAAGAAAAAGAAATTTAAGATTTGAATGGTTAATTATAGGAATTAGAGAAAAAATAATAAAAATTAGAGAAAAAGGGTATGTTTAGGTTATTATCAAAACAGTTACTTCAATGAAAAAATATGAAGAATATTTAGATAGTGTAGCAAAATAATATCCAGAATAATATCATGATATGGCATCAATATTAGAGAGACATAGTACACTATCAAGTTAGAATTCCAAATTGGTAGAAGAACATTAATCTATGGAAAAAGAGTATGAAAAATTAAAATATGAATCAACACAATATGAAAAGGATAAAAATCATGAAATTCTTTAATTAAATAATGATATTAAAGAACTTTAAAAAAAGTTAGAGGAAAAGATAACAGAGAGAAATTAATTATAATAATTGGTTGAAGCATCAGCAAATGAAGCTTCATCTAAGAATTTGAGTTTGGGAAGAATTTTAATGGCTATAGATAATTTATTCAATAGATGTTAAGAAGGAACTCAAAAAATTAAACATGAGTTAGAAGAAACTAAGTAAGAGAATAATAAAAAAGAAGATAAAAAGGTTAAGAAAGAGGAAAATAAGAAATAATAGAATAAAGATGAGAATAAAGAAGAAGAAGAAGATAATTATGAAGTTAAAAGTTAATAGGCTATGTAAAAATTAAAAATTATATCTTTATATTTAAATGATTTTAAGAAGATCATTTAAGGATGTAAAGAAGATTATAAAAAAGCATAAAATAAATGATTTTAATTATATATAAATAAATAAACTAGATCATTCCAACTTTTTGGTTACAGCAGCTAAAAAATATTTTTTTTATGTTTGTGACATAGGAAACCTTCTTGAAGAACGTGCTGTTTCAACTAAATTAATCATTTTATTTGGTGACATAGCTTATTTTTAAGGTGTTTCATAATCACAACAATCATCTAGTTAAACATTTTTAGATGTCATTAATTCATTAAATTCCTTTAGTAATATTTGCATAATACTTCGCATTTTTGCTAAGTATTTTTATTTTTTTTATTTTATTTTTTATTTTTCTTCTGAGATTTATTCTGCTGCTTTTGTATAATGTTTATGTATTTTTGGAGCTTCTTGATAAAATTTAACTAAAGAATTGAGTTCAGTTTAATTAAGAGTATGTAAATCATTTTTGATAGTTTTTTTAAAAGGTTCTAATTCATTATTCATATTTAATTAATATTAAGCACTATTATCTGATATTTTCATAACATCAATGTCAATTTATCCTTTAAGATCTCCTTTGATTGTATTAAATTTTTATTTAATACATTCCATGCAGTTGTCTAATTCTGTATCAATTTGTTTCTCTAAATCCTTTTAAGGAGAGTTTGTTGATTGTTGAATTTCAATTGAATTGATTTACTAAATTGATTCATTTACAAAATCTTTAAATTGATTAGTTGTTTTTCTATTATGAGTAATATGATCATCAAGAAAACAATCAGCACAACCTAGATTTTAAGTATTCAATACCTATTTTCTTAGGAATAGAACATTAAGGATCAACACATACATATTTTATGCGTTGAGAATCATGGTTTGGATGTTAACAATTAGTGATATCCATAAATTTAATATATTATTCAGCCGCCAATATATTCCCGGTTATTAAATTCAAATTAACTTGAATTCACCCAATCAAAAAGAACAAATTCTTTTAGATTAATTCTTGTTTACTTTCCTGAATTATCAATCAATTCATTCATAAATCATACAAATTCCAAAAATCTTAAGTTTTATTCTATTCCAAAGGTTTTCAGCAAATATATAAATATATATTATAATATATTTATTTATATTTGTTTAAGTTAATTAAATCAAAATCATCAATATCAAAATAGATAAATCATTTTTAAACATATTGAAATGTACTTTATACTCTATTATGATCTGAACGATTTTTTTTATTTTGATTTTCAATTTCCTCCTCAGATTCACTACATACTTAATCATATAATTATTAACTTGATCTCCTTATATTGATAACCTAAGTAGAAATTTGATATGAAAAAATACATTAGGATTTTTAGTTGGAATACCCATAATAGGATCTAGTTTGTTAGGTACTTTAATAGATTTTTTAAAATTAAATTGATTTAAGACTTTTAATTTAGTTACAAATGCAAAGAATTCTTAAAGAAGATTATTATTAATTTAACACTATGGAGGAGGTTTAGTTATGTTTGATGTAAATTAATGAAATTGAATTAGATATTCATAATGTTTTATACTCTCTAAATATATCTCATAAAGACTAAGAGTATCACTATTTGGTAGAGTAGCATATTGATCGATGATTTTTTCAATTTCAGTACAAATAAACTTTTAAAATCTCCATACATCAGCATATAATGCTACTTAAATTTCTATTAAATTTGGATTGAATTAAATTAATATTAATCCTGAGTTAATTAGATTTTATATTTTATAATGCCATAAGAACATAAGTTTAGCTTCTATTTGTTCTTTATCTGATATATAAGGATAATTAAATTTTAGAACTGCTCTATAAAGATCAACATTAGCTGCTAACTTTTATAGATAAACATAACACAATTAAGCATATATTCTAGCTGGTTATGTTTTATCTTCGAATTCAGTTAAAATCTTTTAACTTTATTAATTCTTTTATTAATCAGGTTCTGTTTAAGTAGAATACCATTCCTATTTTTCTAGTTGTACCCAAGGCATTTTTGTTTCTCTTAATTTGATTGCTACATCTTATATTAATTCATTATATTAAAATTGTTAATGTAAAGCTGCCAATAAATGAACTATTTAAACACCTTATAGATCTTTAGACTTAGTTTCTAGAAACTAAAAAAGAAATTCAATATGTTCTAAAACTTTAATTTATTATATTATACCATCTCTATCAATTAAATATTATGCTAAGACTTCACCCTTTTATTTTAGATCCAATTTACCATTCTAATTAATAATTTATGCTAATTTCTCTTATAATTGTTGATTTATGGGAGTACTTGATGCCTAAGTAGTTTAATTTGATCCAAAAATGGATGTAAATCTAGAAAATATAGACATTTATATATATTATATATATAATTAATGAAATATATTTTGATGTCCATATTTTTTATTAGTTTTCTAGCTAATGATAAATATGATTAATAGATGTGTCTATATAATAATATAAATGAATAAACATAAAAACATTTTTATATGTATTTAATGTAATATTGTATTGTATCAATAGACATTTCCTTCAAAGGTTTATTTAAACCATTCAACTGCTTCTTTTTTAGTTACTCTTTATTAAGTTCCTAATCTAGAATTTCTTGATTTTCTTTAAGCAACTCTTAATCCTGGTCTAGATAAGACTACATAGAAATCCATACCGAAAATACCTAAAATAAATAAATAATTAATTATACCTGTGTATGGATCATATTTTAATCCCAAATCAATATGTTCTTGAATACCAAAACCAAAGTTTCCTGAATCAGAGAAATTTCTCTTTTTTAATTCCATTTCTTTGACTCTTAATCCTCTAACAAGAATATCTCTAGCTTAATCACCTCTAATTGTGCAAAATACAGAAATCTTTTCATTTCTTCTAATACCAAATGATCTGACTGTATATCTTGCTTTACCAAATACAGGCTTTTATCCTGTAAGATCTTCTAAAACTTTAGCAGCTTTAGTTAATTTATCACCTGATTCACCAGCACATATGTGAACCATTAATTTTTCTATTCTAATTTTTCTCATCACATTTTCTTTAGTTTCTTATGGTTTAGCTCCTTTAGCTTAAGTTGCAGGCTATTATTTAGCATCAGTCTTAGGTTATTATGCTTTTCCACCTTTTGAAGCTTATTAAGACATCTTATTTCCTCAAATTAAAATAAAAAAAAATCTTTATATTTAAAATATAAACAGTTTGAAAATATTAAATATAATAGATAATTTACTAATATTATATATGTACTATTTTATACTGTAATAATATATCATTATCATTCTTTTTATACTTATTCTTCTTATTATTCTTTATCAATTTATCCTTACTTAATAAGATTAAGAGCAGTTTAATCTTCAGCTTATCCTTTTCTTCTAACTTAAGCTGTCTTAGATCTTTATGAATCATCATAAAATTCTCTTAATTTTTAAGCTAAGATATATTAATAAAATAATAAATACCATCAACTTTAGGTCTTTTGACTAACTTGACTTTTCTCAATGTAATATTTTATAATGGGAAAATAGCTTTAGTAGCTTTTCCAATTTCTTTAGCAAGACTTTCTTAATTAAAGAAATTAAGTAATTAAGTGATTGATTTTTTAGAGACTTCTTTAAGAACAATTTCAACAATCTTCTTTCTAATATCTTTAATTTAACTTCTTTAAGCATAAGTTGTCTTTCTTTATTAATTTTTAATTGATTTAGTGAATGCAATAACAAAGATTCTAAGAATATATCCATCTTAAGATCTAGCTTCTACTTAAGTCTAAAATGAAATATAATAAATGTAAAGTACTTCAATTAAAGTTTATCGCTTTTTAATCATTCCAAAGATCTTATCTTTAGTTGAATCAAGCCCATAGAATGATGTTCTACATCTTGTACCTTCAACATCATCTATAATTAATTTAACTTTTCTCCATGCCATCTAATCTGATTATCCTTAAAGATCAGCTAAAGATGCTTCTACTACTCTTCCTTTTATAGCTTCTGTAGCAACAACTATTATTATTTATTTATAATAATATACCTGTTCCTGCAGATTTATTTATACATGTATAACCAAATCCACCAGCACTAAATGGTACAGGTGCTGTTAATTCAAACCATTCCTTTCTAGCTAATGGGTCTATTGTTTTCTTTTATCCCTTCTTCTTTCCTAATTTCTTATTCTTTCCTTAAGTCATACAAAAAGATTTTGATTTTTTTTAATTTTTTCAAAAATTTATTATCTCTCTCATCCAAACCCTCAAATAAATATATATTATTTTTATATTATGAAATAAGACAGTCCACGTTTCAGAGCAGCTCTACTCCATTCCATTGAATAAGAAAGATCTAAAAAATTAATCGACTTCAATGAACTCCTCAAATCTAATGAACTTACATATCTTAAATTTGCATTCAAAACTGAAGAAAGATAAGAAAATATTTATATCAAACAATTTTAAAAAGCTTCTAATTTCCAAAGAACAGGTTTCATATTTTATATATATTTAACCTAAAGGAACTATGAATATTTGTGATCTATGGTCTAATGCATAAATCAATAGGTATTTAGATATTTCTCGATTTACCAAAGATAAATTCTTACTCTAAAAACTTGCTAAACAAAATAATAAATTTACTTATATTAGAAAACCCACAACTTTTCTCTCACAAACACCTAGACCACTATCAGTCTAAAAGAAAGACCTTAAATCTATTATCTCAGAATTAAATCTATTGCATGAACAAAATAAAAAACTCAAATCTCAAATTAATCGAAAAATTTATTGTAAAACAGTCTAATGTTGAAAATCATTATATATTCAAACAAATTTCATAAATTTCATAAATTTCTTTATCAATTTCATCTACTTCTTATTTAGTTCTTTCTAAAAGCATTTCTTTTATGCACATACCAATAATTCTTCTGCTGCTTTGCTCTTATTTATAACACATTGTTGAGCCTATTTTCAAAATTCTTAAGTTACCTCCTTCATTTCTTAGACAGTGACGTTTTCTTAAGGAGCACATTCAGATATTGCTTCAAAACATTCATAATCTTCAAAACATTCATTAATTTGAACTCCACATTTTTCATTTAAGCATTCATTATCTTCATCTAAAGCCTTATGTTTCTTTGAAAAACATAAAATTAAGACTAAGGAAATTAAAAAAATCTTATTCATTATATTATATAACTCTAGAAATGAAAATTTAACTTGTTAAAAACTACTTATTATTTTTATTCTATGGAATATAGGTACAATTATATATTAGTATAGAATTGAAAATTAAAAAAATTATAGAATTATATAATAATTTAATTCTCAAGTGGTAATTATTTTATATCAAGAATTGCATAAATTATTAAATATTAGATTAATAATATAATTTAATGTAAAAAGGAATATTAATCACACATCTTCAACATGTACGTTAATAAATAATGAATTCTACAAGTTACAATGTAGATTAATAAAAAAAAGATGAATTTGTAAATAAAAAATATAATTTAACAATAATAGATGAGAAAAATGAGACATACATTGGCAAATGGTATAATATCTTCATTTAAGGAACTCACAATTTAGAATCAAATAGAGAACTATGATTATAAGAATTATTTAATTGAGAAATACGTAACTTAATTATTTAAATTTATAAATAGAAACGAGGACCTCTTCATTTGGTTTGTGAAAATGGAAGATTAACTCTTGTAAGATATTTCATCGAAAACAATTTATATGATATTAATGAGATTTGTGATGGTTTTACACCTTTGAGTTTGTTAACATTATATTACATATAAACTCCAGAGAAATGTACATCAATAGAGACATTAGAATTGATGTTTTCTTATGGTGCAGATCCATTGTTATATGTAGATAAAAATGGTAATACTTTAAATGATTATTGCAATTAATTAAAGTAATAAACAGGAGAACCACTTAACTTTGTTTTATAATATATATAGGATATGTATTTTAAGAAAGAGAGAGAATAGGCACTAAAGAATGCAATTTTACTATCATTATGTGATAATTAAGATAATAATAATAATCTAACACATTTGTTAACAATAGATGATATGAAGCAAATAGCAGAATATCTAATTGGTCCCATATAATAACAAATTGATTAATGACAATATATTAAAAATATCGATTATTTTTAATTAATAATGATGAATAATTTATATGCATGAACAAATGATTGCAAAATATTACAATGATAGGCCTGATATTATTCTATTCTCTTTTTATTGAATATATTTTTTAAAAATGAAAGTAATTTAAATTGCAATTATATTGTCATTTTTGACAATTATTTTGAGCAAAAGAATACATGTAAATGAATAGATATAACAATGTATTAGAGAAAAATGTCCATAATAATTAAAATAATGTTATGATGATATNTATCAAGAATTGCATAAATTATTAAATATTAGATTAATAATATAATTTAATGTAAAAAGGAATATTAATCACACATCTTCAACATGTACGTTAATAAATAATGAATTCTACAAGTTACAATGTAGATTAATAAAAAAAAGATGAATTTGTAAATAAAAAATATAATTTAACAATAATAGATGAGAAAAATGAGACATACATTGGCAAATGGTATAATATCTTCATTTAAGGAACTCACAATTTAGAATCAAATAGAGAACTATGATTATAAGAATTATTTAATTGAGAAATACGTAACTTAATTATTTAAATTTATAAATAGAAACGAGGACCTCTTCATTTGGTTTGTGAAAATGGAAGATTAACTCTTGTAAGATATTTCATCGAAAACAATTTATATGATATTAATGAGATTTGTGATGGTTTTACACCTTTGAGTTTGTTAACATTATATTACATATAAACTCCAGAGAAATGTACATCAATAGAGACATTAGAATTGATGTTTTCTTATGGTGCAGATCCATTGTTATATGTAGATAAAAATGGTAATACTTTAAATGATTATTGCAATTAATTAAAGTAATAAACAGGAGAACCACTTAACTTTGTTTTATAATATATATAGGATATGTATTTTAAGAAAGAGAGAGAATAGGCACTAAAGAATGCAATTTTACTATCATTATGTGATAATTAAGATAATAATAATAATCTAACACATTTGTTAACAATAGATGATATGAAGCAAATAGCAGAATATCTAATTGGTCCCATATAATAACAAATTGATTAATGACAATATATTAAAAATATCGATTATTTTTAATTAATAATGATGAATAATTTATATGCATGAACAAATGATTGCAAAATATTACAATGATAGGCCTGATATTATTCTATTCTCTTTTTATTGAATATATTTTTTAAAAATGAAAGTAATTTAAATTGCAATTATATTGTCATTTTTGACAATTATTTTGAGCAAAAGAATACATGTAAATGAATAGATATAACAATGTATTAGAGAAAAATGTCCATAATAATTAAAATAATGTTATGATGATATGGCTTGTTAATTGTAATTAAATAAATGTAGATAAAAAATTGATAAACCTCAAGAATAACAATAAGGTAATAAAAGAAAACCAAATTAAAATGTGTTATGTAATAAAAAATAATTATAGATACATTAGCTTGTTTAAAAAAGAATAAAAATTCATATAATTTGATTGATTGTGCATATTAAAATTGTGAAAATAATTCAAAATCCGAATTGTATTAGTATTTATTAGGTAAGAATTGATGATGAAATAAAGATGAATGATAGATATATATTATTAATTATATAAAAATAACAAGAAAGATATGAATATGATAACATAACATATAAAAAATAAAAAATCAGATCTATAATTATTACAATTCATCTCTACTATCTCTACTTTGTATTGGATGTACTTTAGAATTACCTGCACTAATATGATTGATTTAATGATAACTTTTGAGTGGATTACTATAATAATAATATTGAATTACTGTTTTGCACTAGGTTATGCAGTTTAAATGGTTTCTGATTAAATTTTAATCCATTTTTCTTTAGCTGCATCTGCAGTAACAGGATTACGACGATCATAATCATCATAAAAAGTAAGAAACTTTTCATCATATGATTCAACCGTAGCATTATCAATACCAAGATCTACAATGCATCCACATATTGATTAAATAGGAATTAAATAATGTAAAGTTGAGAGACCTAATTAAATCCAAGTTAGAATATGTATTTCATCATAATTAATCCATTCCCATAATGTACAACCTAACTAATATTTATAATCAAATATTTATTACTGAAAAAAGTAAGAGTATTAATTCAATATAGAAATCTATCATAGCTTCAGCCATTGCACTACCAGTTGGTGCAGGTTTAGAATCTCTTCTTAATAATAAATATTTCTCTGTCCAATAAATACATACAATTGATCCAAAAGTAAAACATATACCTAAAGGTAATAACGCAGCATAAAGAAATGCTAACATTAGAGTCTTAGATAATTAAGCATATTTCTATGATAAATCAATTGTTGGACCTTCAAAAGCCCTTATATTTTATAATAAATAAAAATACTAATTAGCTTCATTTTGTGTGTATTTACAATTTATTCCTTATTTAATAATTTTATTTCTAACATATAATTTGTAAAAGTAATTAACGTCAAATAAAAGAGTAAACCATGGAACTATAGAATTAGTAATGAAAATAAGCATTATGTCTGAATTTAACCCTCCAATTTACCAAATTGCTTAATTAAGTGTAACTGATTTATCCTTTATAACAAGATTAATAATTAAAGTAAGAATTGCAGTATTAAGAAATTAAGCTACTCCCATTTTATATGCAACACTTACATTATAATCAGTTCTAGTAGCTTATTATTCTAATTCAGCAAATTTTATAATCATTTTTGCAAGTACACTATTAATTATAGAAATTAAAATTGAAGAGGCAATTCCTATTACATTTACTATTATAGAATCGATTAAAGATCCTTCTTCTGTATATTTATTTATAATAGTTTGAATATAAGATAATCCAAAGAGACATCCAAATCCTAAAATAAGAAGAAACAATGTCATTCCATTTGTTACTAATGTTCTTTTATATTACTCTTTTATTGTTATACCCAAATTACCCCAAATAATATCACCAGGTTCTGGAGCTTTTTTAACAAATAAACTATTATTTTTAAATTTTTGATAATGTTTTTATTCGAAGCCTAATTATTCAAGTAGAATTTGAAATTTTGTAGATTTGAATGTTTTACACACATTATCAGCTTATTTCTCATAATTATAAGATATAACGCACACTCCACTAAAATCAAAAATATTCTCTTTATGATCTTCCATATAATCCAATTCTTTTGATATTTTATCTATTTCAGATTCTAATTCAATTCTAGATGGAATAGATTTTGGGATTGCCTTACCTTCTGCTTCTAATTCTAATACTTTTGTTAAAACAGATTCTTTTAGTTACTTTTATTTATTTAATTTTAGATAAGGTTATATTTCATATGCAATACATAATTTTCTTAATTCTACAGTTTCATTTTGAAACAGTTGTGTAAAGAATTAGTTTAATTCATTCTCTTTTGCATCTCTAGGAATATTTTCAACAAAAATAGAATAATCAGATGCTAATATAGCTGCATCATCTAATTCCATAGCTATTTTATTAATATGTCTTCTATAGAAAAGAGTAGTAAATAATATGCATACAAGAGATATAAAATTTAATAAACTTCGAATATTATCCAATTAGCTAATAATAATTAAATTTATCTACCCATCATCATTAGTAAGAGAATATTAGTTAAAAAAATCATTTTAACATTTTTCACTTCTGTTATCTAAAAGATTATCGCATCTTTGTCCATACATATTGATATATATATTATAGCCACAACTTATAGCTCTGCATAGATTGCAATACTGTACATATACTGAAAAATAATGACACCAGAAAAAACAAGGAAGTCAAAATACAAGGCTATTCCAGAACCATTAAAACTGAATTCATTTCGAGATGAACACAGTGGCAACTCTTCTATTACTGTAGGTAAACCACAACATGGACAAACATTTGTTTTATCAAGATCAATATTTGGATCAGTCTTTGCAAATTTTGTAGCAGCTGCATGCATTAATGCAATATCGATTTTTGGAGGTCTTTGGAAATCGTTATAAAGTGCTTCCAATTGTTATTCTTCATTTTATGTCACACCAATAACTTGTAGTACTTAATTAAGCATTAATAAATTAATAACTTATTTTCTAATTAAAAACTTTATCAAAATATAAATACTAATATATTTCTACCTACTATTTATTAATAATCTTTTTATTATAATAAATTTAATAAAATTTGATATTTCAATATATAGTATCTTTACTTTTTTCAATTACCAAAATGTATTCAAAGAGAATCAAAAACTTTATTATAAATAAAGTAGTTTCTTAATTTTATCTGGAAAATACTTATACTTAAATAAGTTTAATCTTTAAGAAAATAGTCAAAGCAAAAACAAATTAACTGTAATAGGTATAGTAATTATGATTTCAAAAAAAAGTGGAATTATTTAGTATGGTCTGGAAGATTAATATAATTATTCCCTAAAAATCTGGTATTTCTTTAAATTAAACTGGTTAAAATATACGATTCACCATAATTATTAGAATTTTTATAGTTAGTTTTTAGATGGAAATTAAAAATCTTTTATATTTAAATATATTTAATTAAAATTAGCACATTATCATCTATGAGATTATCATCTTTCTACCTTAGCATTTTAACTTAGATATATTTTGCCTAATGTAACTATTAGATTTGGGTAATTAATGTTTATAAACCAAAATCAGATAATGCAAGAGAAATAGAAATCTTAATGTAGCTTAAATTGATAATCTTTTCCTCTTATTTCAATTGTAACTATTTTTTCATATTAATTTGTATTTTTAAAATAAAATAATTTAAAAGGGCATGCTCTTCAAATCTGTGACAAAAATCAGAAAAAAGTGAACACATCTTCTAATATTTATGCAGAATTAGGATGAAAACATTTTAAAATCTGAATTTCAACAAAACATCATTAAAATTATGATAATTTCTACGATTGATAATAACTCTTTAATTTTATTATTTTTAGTTATCCTACTTCTATTACTCTAGGATTATTGTTTAGAAAATAAGCAGAGATTATTGACTTGTTACCATTAATAAGTATAATTTATATCATAAATTATTTAATGAATTAGTTATTTATAACATATTATGAATTCTAAATATTTTTCACCAAAGGCAAACTAACAATTTTTTGAAAGCTTTCTTAGATCACCAAGAGAAGTTAAACTTTATAGAATTAGATTTGATTCTATTTTTAATGAATATTTACATCGTAAGGTTGAACATTTATAATTGGAACCAATGATGCAGACGGATATAACAGAATCATTAAAAGAAAAGCTTGAAAAGAGAAGAAAAATTTATGAAAAGAGACACACTTCAACATAGTTAAGTCCTCTTTCACATTTTCATATTCAACCAAGTCCTAAAGTTAAAAATATATAAAGACACATTTCTAGAGGAAGACGTACTAGATTTGATGTATAATTAAATTCATCATATATATGAATTATTTTTATTAATAATTAATTTATGATTGCAAAAGAGGAAGCTAAATAACAAGATTAAAGTAAGAAAGCACAAAAGAATAAAAATAAGAAGAAGGAAGCAAAGGGTAACAACAAAAAGAATCAGAAGGATGTTGATTCAGATGATGATTTTTTAGATTAATTAATATAATAAAATTAGGAAGCTTAGAAATAGTAATAAATTCAATAATAACAACAATAAATCGTATAGGATAAGAAAAAGTAATTGGGGCCAGATTATATAGAGGGAGATCCAATAGTATAAATTGATAAATATTTAAAAAGACAAATTCAAGATTTGTGGATAATTCTGGTATAAGAAAATTAGGAAATTGGGAAGAGAAGGAATGGAAGTAGACTTAGCCACCAACAATAACAGTTCCAAAATAGTTTACTTAAGGTGTATATCCAAAAGGATAAGAGATTCCATATTTGGGTGAGAAATCATCAAGAATCAGTAAAGATGAAATGAGAGAGAAAGATTAGATTCATGAACATTAATTATAATCTTTAAGAAAGGCTGCTGAATGTCATAGATAAGTGAGATAATATGCATAAGCAAAATTGTTGAAACCAGGAAACAAGTAAATAAATAAAGTATAAAAATAGATTGATTGATATTTGTGAAAAATTGGAAGATATGAATAGATATTTAGTAGAGGAAAATGGATTGAATGCGGGTATAGCATTTCCAACAGGTTGTTCATTAAATTTTTGTGCAGCTCATTATACACCTAATAATGGAGATAATACACTTTTAGGATATGATGATGTTTGTAAAATAGATTTTGGAACACAAGTAGATGGATGGATAATAGATTGTGCTTTTACTGTAGCATTTAATCCAGTTTATGATACATTATTGTAAGCAGCAAAAGATGCAACAGAAACAGGAATAAAGAATTCAGGAATAGATGTTAGATTAGGCGATGTTGGAGCAGCAATTTAAGAAACTATGGAAAGTTATGAAGTTGAAATTGGAGGAAAGGTTCATAAAGTTAAATCAGTAAGAAATTTAAATGGTCATTTAATATGCAAATATCATATTCATGGAGGTAAAAGTGTTCCAATAGTCAAATCAAATGATAATACTTTGATGAAAGAAGGAGAACTTTATGCAATAGAGACATTTGGATCAACTGGAAAAGGATATGTTAATGAAGATTTGGAATGTTCTCATTATATGAAAGATTTTTATGCTAAACCAACAGCTGTTAGAGTTCCTAAAGCAAAACAACTTTTGACACATATAGATAATCATTATGATACATTAGCATTTTGTAGAAGATTTTTAGATAGAGATGGTTAATCGAATTACTTGTTAGGATTAAAGAATCTTTGTGATCTTGGAATTGTTAACCCGTATCATATATATTTCAAAATAGTTATCCTCCACTTTGTGATATGCGAGGTTCTTATGTATCATAATATGAACATACTATATTCTTAAAGCCAAGTTGCATAGAAGTCTTATCTAGAGGAGATGATTATTGAATTTATATAAATATATACAAATATATATTTTTTTAATAATAATTAAAAATGCATTTGAAAATATAATTATATATAAACTTAATCATAGCTCTTCCTTTTTTCCAAAGCTACTATTTTCATCTATAAATTTAGTTAAAGCTTCAACTGTTCTAGCAGATTCATATTATATTTATTGTGGTTTATCTTATCCTTTTTTGAAGAATATCAATGTTGGAAATCCTTTAATATTAACAGTACTTGTTTAATGAGTTGTCCAATCCATTTCAGCAATAAGTATATTATTATTATCTTTTAAGTTATTAGCTAATTCTTTATAAGATCCTGCCATAGCTTTACAATGTCCACACCAAGGAGCAAAGAATTTAACCAATACATCTTATTTACTATTCAATACAATATGATCAAAATTATCACTAGTTAATTCTATTACTATTCCTTCATTCTTAATTTCGCTTTATTCATGTATCTTTATTTCTTCATTTTAAGTTTTCCCTATATTTCTTTCTAAGAATGCCTTCATTCCTGCTAATGATCTATCTCCTTAATATTCTTTTCTTGTCTTATTATCACCTTCTTATTTAAAAAGATATAAAGTAGGATATCCTTCTATTGGAATTTCATCAAATTAATTTGCTGTATGATCTACTTCAGCAATTACTAAATCATCTCTCTATAATTCTTATGCTAATTTTTCAAAAGTTGGTGCTAATGTTTAACAATGACCACACCATGGAGCATAAAATTTAACAAATACATGTCTATGATTATCAAATACTTATTCTTTAAAATTCTCTGTTGTTAATTTATGTACTTAACCATCTCCTTTTATTAATCTTGCTAATCTTTATGCTTCTCTTTTAGGTCTTGTTACTTCTTCTATCAAAGATTCTACTACCTTTTTTAATGCTCCTACTGAATCATCACTAAATGTTGTTGTTGTTGTTTTCTATGTTCTAAATTATTATATTATTATTCATACTCATAATCGTAATAATAAATTGTATTCTAAATCACAGGACTTTATTTTATTAAATATTCAAATCTTCTATTACACAAATCCATTTTTGGATCTATTATTACAAATCTTGTAGTATTTTAATATTATTCTGCTACATATTTAAATCTTTTATGTAAAACACTATTCTTTTATCCTGCTATTCCAATCAATGGAATTTTATCACTTTCTGCTTTCATAAATTCTTCTTCATTTAATGAAAATACTAATGGATAACCTTTTTTTGAAATAAATTCTGACAAACCATTTATTTCTCCATCATAATGCAATGGTTTCTCAATATCCTTATTAATCAATGTGTATTTATAAGGATAACCATATCTTAATCCATCATTTTCTATTATACCAATTCTCACTTGTACATGTTCCAAACTTAATGATGATAAATCATCCTAATTATTTACATATTTAAGTAATGCTATATTTGATCTTTTTACAAATAAATCAACCTAATCAATCTTAATATATGTTTTTACCTCTTCTTGATTATATAATTTAGTGATTGGTCCATAAGCATGTTATAAAGCAAATTCAAAGAGCATTTCTAAAGAATCAGAAGAATTTATAAAATCATGAGACTCTCCATTTCTAAACAATTTCAAAGTTGGATAAGCATTTGCATTATGTTTTGCTGCCAAAGATTTACTTTCTTATGCATTTACTTCTCCTAATACAAATCCATATTCTTTCAATCTTTAAGCTAATTGAATAAAGACAGGCTTCATTTTTTAACTTAAGTTCAATTCAAAATCAATACCAATATCCACAAGTATCAATATAAAATTTGACCAATAATCTAGGATGTGTATCCAATGCTTATTAGAAATTTCTACGGCTGAGTTACAATATTCCATCAATTTCTGGAATTTGTTCTGTTTAAATAATTACAAGTGTTAGAGCTAGTAATAAGAAGAATTTCATCTATATTTTTTTAAATATTTAATTTTCTTGCGTGTATTTTGCTGTTAAAATGAAGAATTTTCTAGATTCTTTATAAAAAAACAAAAATTATTAATTAATTTTTGTATTTATCAAACAAAACCATCATAATTTATTCAAACTTTAAATTAGAGTGACCCTTTATGATTAACACTTCCAATATTTGATTTTTAATATTATTCCTCTTAATCTAATATTATTAATTTAGATACATACTTTTTTTTAATTTAGGTTAGATTTGATACATTTTAATTTAATTACTATGAGGAATATCACCTTCTTCATTAATATTGTAATCATTTTCTTCAAAAATGCATTCCTAATTTTAAACTTTTAATGATTAACTCTATTATCTTGAAGTAGATGAATTTTATTATTATTCTTTTGAATTATCTGTAGTATCAGATTTGCTCCTTATTTATGATGTTACACTTAAAGGAGTAGAAGTAAGAGATTAATTCAACTCCTATCCCATCAAAGGAGTTTTAGCATATAAATAAGAATTCTTTTTATGTCTTGGGTATGAATCCGCACTAATTTAATGATGTATAATACAGGAATAATTTATAATCCGCTTGCTTCTAAAACCATGGATGTTAAATAGCTAATTCAGAACTTATTCTTAAATCTGGATTCTTTTCAAGTAATGAAGTTAAGAGATGAACAGCTTCTTCACTTAAAGCTTAATTTTTAATTAAGTTGAATTCTATCTAACAATGATAATTTTTCATCACAATTTCATCATATGATCTGGCTTTAAATGGAGATTGTCCACTCAACATAATGAACATCAATACTCCTGCACTAAACATATCAATTTTGTAATCATAAATTTTATCTTGAAGTAATTCTGGTGCCACATAACCAGGTGTTCCACAACGTTTAAACATATATTCTCCATCACTATTATAATAATCAGCTAATCCAAAATCTGCTATTACAACATCAGACATCTCTCTTTTTGATCTAAGAATTAAGTTCTCTGGCTAAATCATAATTACTTTTCCTTACTTTTATGTCTCTATGAAGAATCCCTAAAGAATGAATGTAATCAATTGATTACAATATTCTATACATTATTATTGCTACTGTTTTCTCAGCATATGCCTTTCCTTTCATTTAATTAAACAATTCTCCTCCTTCTAAAAATTCACAAACCACAAATATGTAATTATCATTCTCAAATACTTCATATAATTTTATTACGCCCACAAAATCCATTTTTCTCATTATTGATAATTCCTTTATCAAAGCAGGCTATATAATCTTTAATCTATAATTTACCTTATCAATCCGAATATCTTAAAATTTTAGTTTGTCAAAGGCCTTTACAGCATAAACCAACTGATCACTCTTTTTTAAGGCACTATAAACCTTAACTTAATCAATTATACATTACCTTTGCAAAATTACCTTTCCCAATCAATTTATTTATAGAATATACATTATTGAACCCTCTCTGAACACAAAACTATCTGAGCTAATTATACCACATTTCCAATGCTTATTCATTATGACTTAGCAACTCAACTGACTTCCGATTCTTTGTCAATTTAAAACCTATATTTTTTAACCTCTCCAGAGTCACATTTTGCAGATCTATATATTTCTATTTGCAAGCTAATTTTCCATCTTATATAAAGTAGTTGCTCTCTTTTTTTTTTCCTTATTTTGAATTCTTTATCAGATTTCCACTTATTATTGGATCTTAGGCTTAAATTACTTCTTTTATCCATAAATTTTATTAAGGATCATCAAAAAATGAAACTTTTGTTAAATTCATCGAGTTTTTTTAATTTTGTAAAATCAATTTTTGTTAAAATAATTAAGACTTAAAATGAAAAAATCTTGTTAAATAGTCATTTCTTTTCTTTCAATATTTTACCTGAACTTCTCTCTGATAACATTTTCTATCAATTTACTCGAATCATTCGTCTAAAAATAGCCTCTTTATATATTATCAAAAATTTCTCAAAAATTCACCGTACTTTTTTATATAAAAACTCATTCTTATTCTTGTATTTTTGAATTCTCAGTAATTCTCTAAAAAATTCATTGTTATTTAATACTCAATCAGTATCATAGGAATTGATTATAAATAATCAAAGATGGTTAAAAATTAAATTTTATTTTAAGAAAAGTTTATGAAATTAAATTAATTTTAATTGATGATAATCTAATAGAAAATATGCAATAAAATCAACCATTTTAAAATATATATTTTGATTTTTAATGAAATTATGTAGTTAACACATTTGTTCAGGTAATAGAAATTATCTTAACAAGTATAAGAAATTTATGATTATATTTAATTAAAAATATAACTATTTTATAAAATCAATTTTTTGATGGATTTCATTAATCATAATTCATTTTATGAAAAAATTAAAAACTTTTTATTTTTGGATCAAATTTAAGTTATAACGAAAAATTGAAGCTTTTTTGGTATTATATTATTTTAAAAATAGAAAATATGATTGTTATAACTATTCTTACTAATTTAATAGAAAATAATCAAAGCAATCATCAGCCTTTTGCAGGAATACACTTAAAGATTTCTTTAATTAGATGATATATTGTCAAAAGTTTCTCTGAGACCCAATCACCCAGATAAGTCAAATAAAACCAAACTATTATTTGACTGTTATATAATTACAAAATCATGTAATAGGAATCTAAAAATTTGATTATATTTTTAAATAAAAAATTTATATGGGTGGCCAAAATTAAAATTTTTCTTTTAGTTTGGGTTGGGTTTGGGGTTGGAGTTTTAGAAAAACAAGTTTAAAAAGCAATTTTCATTTTATTTTGCTAGCTTATTTCAAAAATCTCATATATAAAAAGATAATACAAGGAGAAATAAAATAATTAGTTGATATTAACATCATAAATCTTAAAACTTATTAAATTTTATCCTTTAATAGAAAATTATGGAAATGTTCGACTATTAAGAAGAGAATAAAAAACTAAAAAGAAATAAAAAAAGAAAAAAGGCTAATCATGAAATGGTAAACATAAAATGTGATGTATAAGAGGAGGATAAACTAACAATAAAACTAAAACAAGTTAATGGTGTATTCTAGAAGGATGAAAAAGTAGAAAAGCGAAAGAATTATGAAGAATGAAAACAATAATAAAGTTTTCCTTAAAATATTTTAGTTATTTAACTTGTTTTCTTATATTAGACTATTGTCATTTTTGACATAGAAAGTCTTGATAATTATAAATGATGCTATTTCTATAGAGTAATTTAATAAACTAAAAGAAGCTAAAGGAATAATAGTGAAACAAAAAATAATTACAAATTTGAATAAAATAGTGTGTGGATAATATAAATAATATTTATTAATTAATTTAATGAATTTAAGATTAATGCTGGGTATGGCATCTAGAATGATTAGTGTATCTAGATGTTTGTCTTGGATGCAATACCCATAATTACATTTGTATACAAATTTGTTAAGTATGGGTTTCACAAAACCTATATTGCCTGACACATCAATATTGACAATAAGCACTTTCAGAAGAAAACCAGCTAAACTTAAGAAACACAAAAGAAAGTAAAAAAGAAAGAAAATCAAGCGTATGAATAAAGCCAATAGAGAGAGACGTAATTATTGATTAATTATTAAACACATATAAATATTATTGTACTTATATCTAAATATAAATTTATCAAATTTCTAGACGCTTTTCACTAACATAAATTCCATCTAAGAATTGTCTAATATCCTTATTCTTAACAGCACATGCTTAATGAATAAGTGCACAGGTAAGTGAAACATTATTCAAATCATTACCTTATAGTGTTAAGACATCTAAAGAATTGATATGATTATTATAATACTCTTTTCTTCAGCTTCATTTCTGGTGATTGTTACTCCTGGAAGGCATTTGATGGTTCTAATGATTTTCTCACCAAGGAAATTCTTAATTTCAATTCCTAAACCTTTATCCAAGAGATTGATAATGATTGGAAAGTGAGCATATGCCAATACCATCTTGAATTTATAACCTGTGGTCACACCTCTAATCATATTTTTAATTGAAGAGGCAACAGAATTAACTTGACATCTTTGTTTTCTGTATGATTGCCACATTCTAACACTGACTCTTGATTTAGCAGCATTTGTTTTCTTGTTCACTTTTTTTTACACTTAGATATCTAAAGCAGCATGTTTAAAATTTTTAGTCAATTCACCTCTTGGTCCTAATATTCATTAATTTACACTATTACCTTTTACTTTAACTTACTTAGATTTGGCTGTGATTTCAATCTTTTCAGGAATAGGAACGTGCTCCTCAGTCAGGATATATTTCATATCTTTTAATTCTTTTAATTAAATTTTTGAAGTCTCAACCCCTAATATTAATTATTATTATGATCATTATATAATAAGAATATTATAGTTATCTATCATATATTAAATCACTCCTTTAAAACTAATTTATCTTATCTAACAAGTAAAGATCACTAACATCCTTTTATAAAAATATAATTATGATCAATTAAATTCATTTATTGTTATTCTATGAAATACTTTCTTTTTTTTAAGAATAAATAGAAATTTAACTAGAAATTGCTTATTATTTGACTTCTTCTTAAATTTCTTTATAATTTTAAATATTAATATCAAATTATATGTTTGCTCTTTTTTTTTAAATATATAAATAAAAAATGAAAAAAATTGAAGGCACTTTTGAAAAATAAAAGTAATACCAATAAAAGTTAGAAAATATTAAAGAATTATGTTAAGAAGCATCAAAAAAAATAAGATAAGGTTTATTAGAAGGTAGTTCAATAAAAATAGCAAATTAAGACATAATGAATATTTATGAGTATAGAGTTTTTAATTAATAAGTAATATATATAATTTGACAAGTGAAGCTGGAAAAGCTCAAGCATAAAAAAATATGACTAAAAATCAGAATAATAATAAAGGTGATAAAGTGGAAGAATAATTGATATAATTTTTTAAAGATTTTTTGAATGAATTCATTGTTGATATTAATGAAAAGGTTAATGAATTTCTAGGAGAGAAAGAGAGTGTAAACAATATATAATGATATAATAAGGTACTTTAAATTGTTTCTAAAACATATCATGATTACAAAGCTTATTCATATTGGCTTTATAAAATGTTCTATTATTTAGATAAGTTTGTAATACCATTTATAGGAGCAACTTTATGCAGCACATCTTTGAAATTATTGAAAGAGAGATATTTTGATAAGTGCAATAAATTAATATTGAATACAATCTTATAATTTATTTATGAAACAAGAAAGAGTGGAATTTTATTGAATAAATAAATAAAATAACTAGTTCAGTTAATATTTGTGATGGGTTATAAAGAAGTAGAATTAAAGTTTTTAAAAGATATTGGAGAATATGATTATATATGCAAAAAGCCAGAAGACGCATAGAGATTCTATAATGAATAATTTTAATAATATCTTTTAAAGGAAGTAAATAAGTTAAATAATAAATAAAAGACATAAAAATTCTATAAAGATGAGATTGATGATAGATAAAAGTTTACAACTCCAGAGTTTATAAATTGGGGAAACTCAATTTTTATATTAGAGATGGATATGTGTATAGAATGTTATCCAAAGAGTAGATAAGCGATAGAGAATAAATTAAAAATGATGTTAGTTAAAGATTAAGCAGCTAGATTGAGTAATTCAACAACAGGAGTAGGTTATATGTTATAGTATGACAGAACTGATGAATTAAGATAATTATTTTAGTTTATACTTAAAACAAAGGAATGCATAATTCATATTGCAAAGGCTTACTAAAGTTATTTTGAATAATAAGGTTTAATAATTAATAATTCAATTGAGTAAGAACAATAACAATAAAAAGATGGTCGTTAACTACGTAATTTAAATATTATATTATAGATGAGGCTGAATTATATTTTACTAGAATAGGGAATATTATGAATAAAGCATAAAACATATTGAAAAATTAATTATAAGATGAACCAGAAATATAAAAATCTTATAGTGGAGCATTTATGTTTGTAATAAATAAAAATGAGAAATCACCATTATGGTTAGCCATTTACGCTGATATTGTAATTAGAAATCAAAAAGGAGTTAATGAAATGGAAACTGAAAAGAAGTTTAGCAAAATAGTTTCTCTATTTTAATTGCTTTATTAACGTGATGTATTCTTTAAACATTATTAAAAATTCTTATCCAATAGATTACTTAATAAATAGATTTAAAATTTGTAATTAGAAAAATAATTACTATAAAAATTCAAAGGAGAAACTGGAACTAATGTGCTGTAAGATATCAAACTAAGCTTAGAACATAATTGTCCAGCATGATTAATGATATTGAATAATCAAATAGATTAGTTATTGATTAGTCAATCAACAAAGACATAAAATTTGAATTTAATGTTTATTTATTATCTCAAGGTTGTTGGCCATTTAATGTTATTTAAGATAATATCAATAAACCATTATTAATTTCAAATATTTTGAAGTAATCTACTTATACCATTTAGAAATTATGAAGATCTATATCTATAAAGACATAATGGTAGAATACTTACTTGGTGTTTTAATTTGGGTTAAGGAGAATTAGTATATAAAATATAGATGGAAAAGTATTACTTAAATGTAAATACAATGTAAATGATTGCTTTCCTATAATTTAATCAATCTGATTCATTTTCAATTAAAAATATATTAGAATTAACCAATATAGATAAAATTGATTTAGAAAATTCATTAATTCCTTTTGTTTGTCTAAAAATTATAACAAGGGAAAAATAAGATATTGATGATTTTTCAGATGAAAATGAAATACTTAAATTAAACCAAAATTTTAATAACAGAGCCAAAAAATTGAAAATGTTGCCAAATTAAAAAATGCAACCTCAAAGAGCTGTAAGAGTGTTAGATAACATTCTTAGAGTAAAGTCAAGGAATAAAATTAAGAAGAAATTCAATAGACAGAATAAATTAACAAATAAAGAGAGTTTGTTGTTGATTCTTAATTAGTTAGACTAATGAAATCAAAAAAGACTGTTAAACATCATGAACTACTTGAAAATTGTTAATGTATGATATCAATATTTAAACCTGATATACTTTTTATTAAAAAGAGAATTGAAAATTTAATAGAAAGAGAATATATTAGAAGAGATGAAAAAGATTGGTAAATATCGATCATATTATAGGAATATTTATCATTATTTGAATTGAGATTATATTATATCAATAATAATATAATATATAATTATTTTAATTAACTTAAGAGAATCAAATTCAAAAATTATGTCTGAAATACCTGAAACAATACCATGCACAGAAGATTTTACTCCAATTAGGAAAGGTACAATCAATAAATATCTTTAGGAATATTTGTTGAACTATTCATTCTCTATTTAGTTTATATGGTAATTAGTATTGCATCATATTACTAAAATCCTGAATAAGATGTATCTTAACCAGGATAATAAAATGATGGAGCTGCTCCTCCAAATCAACCTTAAGTAATTATTCATAAATAATTAATGAGGCCAAACCTTCATTCATTAGTGTTGAAGCATTGAACAAATTCTTTACCATTTTTTTTGGATATCATGTTATACCTGTCGGAATGGCTTTATTATATTAACCTAGAACATATTCAATTGTAATCTGTTATCTTCATTTCGCAGGTAACCTTCTATTTTAATTATTAGCCTATGTTGTAATCTTAGTGGCTTATTAGAAGGATAAAGAATCCATTTTAAAAATAGGTTATACAGCTTCAGGCTTATTTAATATACTTCTTATCTTGGGAGCTATTGTTGGATTATCATAAACTGAATATGGATGTCTTTGATCATATAATTTTCATTTCATTAATATTATATTATATTTAAATGAATATTCAATTTAAATTTAGTTTTGAATCATTACATTATATTTATATCATATTAATATTATGATAAATAAAATAAAAAAGTCAAATATATAAATATTAATTATCATACCAATTTTTATTAAAATCCTGTGCTATTTCTTAATTATTAGTCTGTCTAATAATATTATTTAATGAATTTAGTTATTTAAGCAGATACATCAAATTCTGCCAACAGATTCTTGCTTACTGAAGCTCTATTTGCATTAACTTTTCTAATTATAGAGGGTTTCTCTGTTTTCAATTTTCTATCAGGACTGTTTTAAATTGATTAAGTTTAAGAATAATATTATTTAATTTTGGTTGTTTCTGGAGGAGTTCTATTTCTTTTTATAATTGTTCCTTGAATTTCTTTTTTAATTAAACATAATTATAATTGTTCTTTTGCTTAAATGATAATTTTTGAATTTTCCAACAAAATATTATTTGATATTGATCTTAGAGCATGTAATTCTTTAAGGATATTCGATAATTTAGTTTTGATTGAAGAAGGTGAATTAAATCTATCTTCTTAAGCAATAATTTTAAGATGTTCACTTTCAATTGCATATGTTTAAAGTTAAGTTTAGAATAGTATAACTTTATCTTTTAATCTATGAATTTTATCTTATGCTTTCTTTTTAAGTGTTTCATATTGTTATCTATAATAATCTTTATCTTCTTTTTTTTATCGATTTAAGTCTTCATATTTAGACCGTTAATCTATTAACTTTTGCTATAGTTCTTATTTTTGGAATTCAATTTATTAATTACATGCCTTGAGTATTAGAAACTCAGCATTAAGGTCATCATAATGTTATTTCCATTAATCATTAAGAAAATCTGATGATTAGTCAAAAAGTGATTATCTATAATAAAGATCAAATTTACTTGGAACAACGATTACATAAGTTAGGGATGGAATTGTTGATTTCATTAAGGAAATGTTTGATAGTAATAAATAGAGTTTCAATGACATGGTTAAGTTCTAATTTTAATTTATCAGATGGTTCGAATTCCTTTGATAAAATGAGAAGTATTTGTTTTGGGAATTGCTATTACAGCAAAAGAATGCCTTACATTTAATTATTGAATATTTTAATTTATATTCTCATTCAATAAAGGGATATACCCTATTCTTACAAAGACCTAATAATTGATTACTCGAAATCCTGTAAAGCAACTTTACCATCACAATCTGTATCAGTCATATCCATCCAAGCTTGAACATCTTAAGGTGTAGGTTCAAACTCAATATTCAATTGTTTATAAGTTTCTCTTAATAATCCAGGAACCTAACCTTACCTCTAATTTGTATACTTCATTTCTAGTCAAGTAACCACATTAAGTGACATCAAATTTCTTGAATAATCTTCTTGCAACTTCCAATCTTTCCTCAACCATTCTATTATATTATCTTTAAGGTGGTAATTAAATACTGTAAGATGGTAATGGTTGAATACCAGCCTAAAAATGATTATTATTAATACCAATATACGTAATGCGTAATTCTCCACATCTTAATAGGTTATCTTACCATCTCTATTTACATCCAAAACTTATACGAATGTATCTACATCTGCCTAAGAATATTTAATAATTTGACTTGTGTTGGATTGAAGGCTTTACTCATTCCTCGATACGCATCAATAAGCATTGGTGAAACTATAGTAATAACTTAAGTTCCATACCTTCTTAACCATCTATAATGCCGTTTCTATCTCTGTCGTACAAATCAAAGAGTTTCTTAGCTATTGCTTTAGCTTGTTCTTAATCACAAATTCCTTAAGGAGTTACATATTGGCTAGTCATTACTTATTCTTATCTTCTATTATTTGTGGATCTCATGAATAAAAAACGATATTAAATTAATATATTATAACAATTAACTAGCATGTTCTCTCTTTGATCAATTAAGAATGATTATATATAAATATATAAATTAATTTATAATGTACTCTTTTAATTTCAATAAATTGCTATCATTTTCCGACAAAACCTTTAAGATAAGTTTCTTTCTAAGCTCTTATTACTTCTCTCTTATCAGTTTTTCTTGACATATAGATTTTAGTTTTTTCAGATCCTCTTGTTTTCTTTAATTTTGATTTAACTTCCTTCCATCCTTTTCTACTACCATCTCTCTTTGGAATAATCCCTCTTCTTCTTAATCTAAACTTTGGCTCAAATTTCAAAAGATATCTAATATTATCTATCTACTCATTACTATTATGTGTCATATATCAAAGCAAATCCTGTTGTTCTATTACCTCCAAATTATGTTCTTAATCCATAAACAACAACATTTCTCTCATCTGCTTTGTACTTTTAAGCTAATTCCTTTACTATTGATTCCTATGATGGAGTGGCCTTATTTGGATGTAACAATTCAACACTCTTTTATTTAACTCATTTCTTACTAATTATCTTCTATTCAACAATTTATTAAGTAACACTTTTCTTGTCTTCACTATAAATGTCATTCTCACTATTTTTTATTCAAAATTAATTAAATCTTTTTTTATTAAAATAAACTCAATCCATTCTCATAAAATATTACATTATACATTTATATTTATAATCCTTTCATTTCATAGATCATCTAATTTATTTATTCATTTCATAATATAATATAATTACATTTTCTCAAAATATACTTTATTAATATTTTATTGATATTATCATATTAAAAACATATTAAATGTTTTACAAATAAATAAACAAAATCTCTAGCTATAAATTTTAATATCAAAAAACAAAAAAATATTTTTTTTAAAATGATTCAACATATTTCAATTCACTTTTCTATTGCTCTTCTGTTGATATAACTTATGATTACTGCTAAATGTAAATCAGAATGTCCTTTCACCAAATTCAAGGATGCAATTTTATCCATAGAAACTTCAAGCTAAACATACACATAATCCATTAATAATAACGATAACCTAAATACTTTTGGATTTGCATTTTGGAGCATCAGTATTCCATTAATAGATAAGCTTTAAAATGTTGATAGAGATGCGCCGTTTAATAATGATGTCTCAGAAGATGGAGAATTATTGTTTTTAATCAAAGATTTGAATTCAAATACTAATTTTTGTTATGGATTCAAATCCTATGATTATTAAAACAGACAAGTTAAACACACAATTAAATTTATGAATCAAGATTCTAGTCAGATTTTTGTATTCCCATTTTAATCCTTAGAATATGAGGGAATATGGATTTTCCATTTAATTTTATTGCAGCCTACTCTACATACCATTAAAGTTTAAATAAGCAGTTAAGATAAATAATCAACTAACTTTAATTTATAAAATCAATTAAATTTGTAAATAAGTTTAGGAGGAAGAGGATATGTAAATAACACTATAATATATTTAGATAGATGATTTAAACCTTAACTCAAATAAAGGATTAATGTCTAAATTAATTTATTTACCTGCTTTTGCTTATTCAACAAATATATATTCAGAAATGGAATAAAATTGCAAAATTCCACCTAAAATTATTAATGAATAAATCTTAGACATTGTACCTGGCATAAGAATATTTCAAGGTAATCAAGTATTATAACTTCTTGTGGATCATTATGGAAATAGATACTGTTTATCTGGGTGGGTCAAAATTTTATTATCAACTATTGATGAGCAAAGATCTACAATAATTAAGATGACAGGTTAATAAAACTTTGAATAAGAGATTGTGCTTGGTGATGAATTATTTAGATTAGAAGTTATTATATCAAAAAATCAACCTGAATAAACATAATTAATTGTAAATGCTGATGCTTATGGTATGCCTATCAAATAAAGTTTTTAATAATAATATGATTTATTATTTTAGGGATCTGTAGATCCTAATTATAGTGTTCTTCAAGTGAAAAGAATATATCAAGACATAAACAGTTAACTTTACTTTGAAGGGTTGTAATAATGGCATTTTATTTAATATGAATATGGAAGAAACAAGTTCGATGAAAGAATGTTGTTAAAGATTTAATTTTCAAATGGTTTAGGCCTATTATAAGAAAATTTAGGGAATGATATTTTTAGTGGTTCATTTACAAATTCAAAATTTAATTTATTTATAGGTTCTGATACTATAAATAATTTGAATAATAATTTTCTTTAAGCTTAAATATATGATTTGAAAATGCAGTTTAATTATAACGAAGATAAAGAATTTAATTAAAGTATCTATATATATAAAATAAGATTGCCATCCCACATGTTTAAGTTGTAATGGGCCATTAGATATTAATTGTTTAAGTTGTGATTCTGATTTAAATAGATTTTATTAAGTGGAATTAAGGATGTGTAAATGCAATGCTGGCTATTATGATAAGGGATATTAGAAATGCGAAAATGAATTTTATTCTTCAATAAAATTAGAAGAACTTGAAATAGATTCAAAAGTGAATTGTCCTTTTGGATATTTTAGATTGCCTAAAGAAGATGGGAATGGTTTTGATTGTTTAGAATGGTATTATTATATTATAATAATAATTAGTCCATAAGTTATAAACTTTAAAGCAGTATTATGTGTTGATTGTTATTTTTATGCTAAAACTTGGTACTTAAGACCAGTATGCAAGATGGATTATTATACAATAAAATAAGTTTTTAATGATTATGAAGCTTATCATTTAATAACAAGAAGTGAAATCTAACGTGATGTTTATTCTATAGAATCAGATAGATTATTACATATAAATCCAGGATTCGCAGATTATTGTAAAGAAGAGAAGGAATGTTATGAATTTTTAAACTTTCATCTTGGATAACAGATTAAAGCATATTGTAAACCAAATCATTATTTTTCTGAAGATATCTAGAGATGCATTAATCCAGGTATGAATTGTTTAAAGGTAAACATATTAAAGAGTTGTGAAATATGTCCTATAGGAACTTACAATAATTATTATACTGGATGTAACAATTGTCCTTCAAATTGTTATGCTTGCTCATACATTCTATACTAAAAAGTTATATGTGAACAATGTGTTTAATATTATACCTTATAAAATGAAGTATGTAAATAATGTGGGCTTCGTTGTGATGTTTGTAAAGATTATTATGATACTAATTTGGGATTAAATTATCTAAGATGCTTAAAATGTATAGATGATTCATAATACTTAATTTCTTTTGATGGTATCAATTGTGTTTTTAATAATATCCAACATTGTAAACATGCATTTCAAATTATTAATGATGATTACACTATAAATACTCTTGATATCAATTTTACACCCTAATATGATTAAAGTAAAATCAAATTATTTTGTGCTAAATGTGAACCAAATTATGTTTTTGTTTTTGAAACCTAATAATGCGTTTATAATGATTAAAACAGTATATGTGATACTGCTATTGGTTAACTTAAATCTAATGATTAATCTCTAGAATCAATAACATGTTTAAAATCATTCTATTATGAAAACTAGGTTGTTGAATTTATGGAAAAATGTAGTCTAATTATTAATAATTGTTAAGTTTGTCTAGAAACTAATATTCTTAATTATTTTATTTGTTTAGAATGTTATAATGGATTTTATGCAGAATAAATATCTGGTTAATGTGTTTAATGTCCTATTCAATTAAATTGTTATTCATGTTATTCATAAAATTCTATTTCAAAAGATCATTGGAAACAATAAATCAGAGCATTTTATAGAAAATATATTGAAATAAAAAATACTCATTAATATATTTTAAATGCTTAAAGTCCAAATATTTTAGATTATGAAGTAGTTTGTTAGGAATGTAAAGATGGATATAGATTATATAAGAATAAATGCATAAAATACTGTTCAGATTCTTGTATAGAATGTTTATTAAAAGATGATCAATATTATTGTGTTAAATGCTAAAATGATTCATAAGGAAGATAGTAATCCACTTATAATAATGAATGTATATAATGTCCAGAAGATTGTGCATTATGTAGACCTAGAACTCCAGATGAAATTAAAGAAATTAATCCTTTATTTAATAATACTAAATACGAAAAGTATACACATTAATGCATTCTGAGTTATTAAGATTAAAATTATAATTATGATGTAGATTTAGGTGTCTTTATAGAATGCAAATAACATTAATCAAATGGATGTTATAAATAATTAGTCATCTAATTAAAAGCTTATGGAGATTCTTAAGAATATGATTAAGATTACGCTAAATTAATTGATGAATAAAGCTAATTATAATTTAAAAGACAAAATATTAAAATGGATTCAATATTTTATTATTAAATAAACTCTATTTTCCAAGAAGTATTATTTATTTTTATTTTATATAGTATGAAAATGATGAATTTTACTTTTTAGCCAATGCTAATCATATTAAATCTATTTTGATCTAAATAACTAATACTTAACCTACTAATTATGTAGGAGTATATTTATAAAAAGGAGGGATTACTTAAAACTTTTCTTAAAATATTTTCTCATTAATGTATTATTCTTTATTATTTTAAGTAATGTAGAAATTGAATTAAATTTCCTTGAAAATACATAATTGGCTTTAGAAAGAGATATGCTAATTTCATTTATCAATTTCAATAAAGTCACTCTTTAAAATTTGAAAATACTTGGATGTAAGTATTGTGAGGATGAAAATTTCATATTTAAAAGCATTTATCCTTAAAGTATTATATTAAAAGAGATTTCTGTTGTACATTATAAAGAATTTATTTAAGAGGGTGGTTTTAATTTTACATTTGAAAATGCCAAAACATTGTTTGTAGATGGTTTAACACTTATAGGATTCTAATATGAATAATTAGGATAGATATTTTATGTTTAAAACACTTCCTTTTAAAAATAAATAAAAATAAATAATATTCAATTTATTAATTGTGAATTTAACAATCACATCTTTTTTCATTTTCAACTAGGATATGATGATACTTTGATTTTCGATCATATTTAAATTAATGGAAATTATAATTCTGTCAATCTTATTGAAATTGAATCTGAAGATTAAAAAGGTGGTCAAATTGAAATAAAAAATGTAATCATAGAAGAAGCAACTATTATTGATTCTAAAGTTTTTTTAAATTTTGAAAAGGTTAGATCACTATCAATTTCTAATTTTAAAGTAAATAATGCATATATTAAATCAACAAATCTAATAATTCTTAATCGTAATGCCTTCTTAGAAAATTTAGAATTTTTAGATAGTTAAATTATGGATAATTCATATTTAATTTAAAATACTGACTTAAAAAATAATCAATTAGATATTAATTATAAAATTAATGAAATAAAATTTGAAAATAATTAATACAATAGTTTAATAAAGTTCATAAATTTAAAGAAATACTCTAGTCTTAATTAATTAATAGAAATTAAGTAATTAAACTAAATTAACAATATTTTAATTGTAACAAACATAGAATATAACTTAAAATAAGAAGATTCTTCTTTAATATTTATTTAATTTAATAAAGTATATATTACAGATTTCTTAATTAATCGTGGTTTAGGTATTAATGATATATCTATAACAGAATCAGAATTTATCTAATTTTAAAATGGTATATTACTTTAAGATAAACAGCAATTTTTAGGGTTGCATAAGCATATTGCTTGTTAATTATTATATGTTGAAGGACAGTAGTATTCAACATCTTTAAATATCTTATTTTCTATTTCGATTGTAATATAAAATGTCACCTTTTCAAAAGTAGAATCTTATAATTTTCCATTTATTTTTATAAATTCTGCTGATTTGATGAAAGAAATTCAAGATACAAATATAATTTTAAAAGATTTAGTTTTTTCATAAAATTTAGTTTTATTATCAAAATCATTATTTTAAACATCAATTGTTACAATATAATCATCTTAATAAACAGTTATATAGATATAGAATGTTACTTTTAAGAATAACATATTACATGTTTATATTGAAGATGGACTAATAATTGCATCAGGATTACTTTTAATTAATTGTCCTTCTTGTATAATATAAATTTAGTATTCTACCTTTTAAAATAATTTAGTGACTAATAGTAGTTCAAGTATAATGTATATGAACAGTCAAAAGTTAGAAATTAACAATTGTATATTTGAGAATAATAGTATCTTTATTTATAATGTAATTCAACCTTATTTAATATGGGCATTTTCTCAAACTATAACATAAAAAACAATAAATTCATTTTTTTAAGTTAAATCAGAATCTGGTATAATGTAAATTATAGTTTAACAATTAAACATATATAATAATAGTTTTTAAAATTCTGCTGGATAATTGGGAGGATGTTTTTCAATTCATACCCTTAGATCCTCAACAATAAATATTAAAAATAATATTTTTTCTCAGATTTCAACATAATTTGATTATGAAATAGAATAAGGTGGAGTTCTTTATATAGATGGTTCATCATCATCTTTACTTGAAATTGAGATTTCTAATATAACAGTTTAAAATGTTTATTGTAGATAATATGGAGGTTTCTTATATTTGAAATCTAATACATCTCAAGCTCATCTTACTTTAAATAATATAATTTTACATGATATTTATGCATAATAAGGATCTGTTATTTATGTTTCCTATTCAAGATTAGTAAAAGAAAAATAAACGATTTTTCTATAAGGATTAGAAATTGTCAATTCTCAAAGTGGATATCTATAATTCTTTAATAGATTTAAAGAACTTTCTAATTCATAAGAAATTAACAGTTTAATTAATAATAGAACTTCTATTTTTGTAGAGTATGGTTCTAAAGTTTTGATTTAAAATATTTCAGTTAATCATTTAATTTTTGAATCTTTGCTTAATCTGTAAAATATAAATTTCATTTATATTTCAGATATCAAAATAGAAGAATGTGAATTGAGTAATAATCTAATTTATATGACTCCAATTACATGTAATTATTATCATTTAATTATTATTTAGTTTTTAATTTGATTCGAACCCAATTTCGATAGATAAGAATTGGATTTGATATTTAAGATTTTACTTGTAATTCTTAACCTTAATCAAATGAAATTATTAATTATTAATGTTTAAATGGATTTGGAGGTGCTCCAATTTCTTTAGTAAATGATTTAATTGAAAAGGATACTCAAAGAGGAGAATGTATATCTAAATCTTTAAAATCTAAATTAGACTTATCAAATTCAGGTTTAATAATAATTAATAATTTAAATTAAGGAGTCAATTTAAAAATAAGCTAATTAGATCTGAATAACATATCATGTACTAATTGTAGTAATGGATTACTCTATATGAAATTTATAGGTTTCAAATAGTTTTTATAAACTTAATTAATTATATATCCTAAGGTAACAATTTCTGATTGTGGTCAAAATGGATGTTTAGTTTTTGAAAAATAATATGATTAAAATAGAAGAATTCTTACGGAAGAATAGAATATTTTTAAAGGATATGAATTACAAATATCTGATTATATTTGTGAAAATAATTAAGGAAAAACAGGAACTTGTTTGATGCTAGATTCAATTTTTACTTTAATATTAAATAGTGTTCTTAAAAATAATACTGCAAGTACAAAAGGAGGAGCAATTCATGTAAAAGGATAAGAGTAATTAATTCTTGAAAATTCTCTTATATAAAACAATAAAGCAGAGGTAGGTGGAGGATTGTATCTTGAGAATGCATTTGCCCTTAATTATGAATTATTAAAAACTAGAATTATTTTTAACACTGCTAATTTTTATGGAGATAATATAGCTTCAATTCCTGAAAAGCTTGCAATTCGAATTACTTAAAATGAATTATTATAAAAGAAAATAATTGTTGATAATTCAAGTATAAAGATTGAAGAAATTGTTATTCAACCTTATACATTAATAAATGGAAAGAGTTCTAAATTTGTTTAATTACCTACTGGATAGAAAATATCAACTTATTAATTTTTTAATTGGAAAAACAACAATTATATTAATTATGATTTAATATTTAGAATTCATGCTATGAATAGAAGAAATAATTAGATTTAAGATCTTAGTAATTCTTATTGTACTATAAATAGTAGAAGATATAATATTTCTGAGAATGATGAGAGTTAAGAATTTTAAAATAATTATACTAATAATAATTCTATTTAATTTAATTCTTAATCATAAGATTACAATCTTGATAATTTAATTGTATATTTTGATAATGAAGTTCCAGAAGATATTGTATTATAATTAGAGTTTAATTGTGATTAAGTAAAAGTTCCAATTTATAATAATACATATCCATATTAGACTTACAGTTATCATAGTAATTATAAATTGAGAATCAATATTAAAACATTAGAATGTTAATTTGGAGAAATTAAGAATATAACTGATTAATCTTGTGAAAAGTGTAATTCAATTTAAGGACTCTTTTCTTTAACTTTAAATGCATAAAAATGTGATATATAAGATGATTTATCAACAATATCAGTAACATAAAATTAATTAGAATTAAGGTCTGGATATTGGAGACCTTATTTTGATACAATATAAATTAGTTATTGTCTTAATTTACCTAGTAATTGTTTAGGAGGTTGGTAAAATGGTGATATTTCTTGTTATATAGGACATATAGGAGCTCTTTGTGAATAATGTGATTTATATAATATTAGAGGTGGCGGATAATTTAGTATTGTAAATAGATATTCTTGTGGAACATGTTAAGATAAATATTAAAATATTGCAATCATTATTGGAATCATTATTCTTACTTTAATACTTCTACAAATCTCTGTTAAAGGAACTTTAAAATCAATTGAAGAATATACTAAATTTTAACCATTTAAAATATCTCAATATTCACTTATCAATAAACCTTAATCAAGTATTCTAATTAAAATGTTAACTAATTACTTTTAAATTGTGGCCACTATTACTACCTTTTAATTATAATTTCCCTCAGGATTTAATGTTACTTTAGATGCTGTAGGAAATCCTATTTAAACAGCAACTTATTCTCTTGATTGTTTTTTAGTTGATATATCTAATACTTAAATATAATATAGTAGAATGATATGGCAAATTATTTTATCAATTCTCTATGTAAATATATTCATGGCATTATTTTTTATTGCTCATAAATTAAATCTAACAGAAATTTCAATTAATAGAAGTGTTATTTCAACAACTTTAATATATTTCTACATTTATTTCTAACCTAATTTAATTAATGGTTTTGTATAATAAGTATCATATAGAAGTATATCTGGCTTTTAATGGATTAAAGCAAATGTAGCTGAAAGATATGATACAAATGCTCATTTAAAATGGATGCTATAATTTTGTCTACCTGTTTTAATTATTTTATCTATTGCTGTTCCATTCTTCTTTTTATATGGTCTATTTACAAATAAAACAACACTCGATTCAAAATAAACAAGACTTCGTTGGGCGTATTTATATATAGAATATAAAAAAAATGCATATTTCTGGGAATTAGTTAAAATCTTTGAAAAAGAACTTATTATCTTATCTCTTATATATTATGAAGACAATATTGTTATTAAAGGAGTTCTTGTACTTCTTATTACTTATTTTTATTAAGAATTAAATCAAAATTATGAACCATATCAATTGAATAGTTTGAATCAATTAGATTATTATTCAGCTAATATTTGTATGATAACTATTTGTTTAGCTGTTGGAGCCTATATATCCTAATAAGCTGATTTAAAAGAACTCAAAATATCATTTTTTGTTATTATGGCATTCTTAAACTTTTTATTTCTTTAGTCCATTTTATCTAAAATTATATCTGAATACTCTAAATAATATGAAAGTATTTTAGATTCTATAAGAGACTTTATTAAATCAAAATACCCTTCATATAAAAATTCTACATAGCTTAGGAGGATTTTGTAAAATAGAACTGAAAGAAGACAAAAAGCAATTTAATCATTTTAAAAACTTAAACGATTGGCCTTTCCATTAGTAAGATTGATGATTTAAACCAGAAACCAATCTTTTGCAAAAAGTAGTAAAGAAAAATCAAATAATGTAATTGAAATTCATACAAAATAAGATACTTTAGAATTTGAAAAGTCTTCTTAAAAAAGATTGCTCATTATAAAAAATAATAAATGAAAGAAATCAATTTCATATTTAATATTAGATTATTTCAAAATATTATTTTATTAAATTACATTGATTAATAAATTAGATATTTTATTTAATATTTTTTTATTACTCTAAATACCATAGATTAACCATGATGTATTGATGAGTTAGAATATAAAGTGAGGGACTTGTTGAAATAACATTTAAGAAATTTTCAAATCTGATATATTCATCTATTATTTATATTACTTTTCGTTTATCATTTTTAAAATTCTTTTATTTTAGATTCTCATCTAAGAATTTAGTTAATCAAAAATTCTGATATTCAGTAGTTTTAATTGTGATAAAAAATATAAATCTATATGATTAAAAAATTAATTAAATTTTGCTGATTAATGGAGTTTCAATTAATTTATTGAATTAATTTAGATCCTGAAAGAATTTAGGTTTCTCAAGATTGATTCAAATTATTCTTTTAATTATCCCATCTCTTCATTTATTTCGTTTATTTGACCATCATGATTTTTTGTTATGATACAATAATTTCAAATTCAAAAAAATAAATATATTTATACTTTCATACAAAATTAATTTTTTCTTCAATTCCAATTATTAGTATATTTATGGTATTTTCTTATTTTATAGAGCATTTGTAATATATTTATTCTTCTTTCATAGATTTTATGTCAAGAAATACCTATTACAAATTATTCATGTAAAAATATTATTTAAATTAGAGTTTGTAATTTATAATTACAGTATCTAATTCAAAATTATTAATTGAATAATTATATGGGGATCTTCGATTATATTAGACAAAAGACAACAAATTAAATAATAGTAAAATCTAAACTGTTTAGAAGTTTTTTGACTAATCAACAAATTACACTTAACAATATATGTAAGGGAATTTATCCAATTATAATTTAAAAAGAAATATATTGATATTGATTTTATTAGAATAAAAATTAGTAAAATTAAGTTAANAATTGAAATTCATACAAAATAAGATACTTTAGAATTTGAAAAGTCTTCTTAAAAAAGATTGCTCATTATAAAAAATAATAAATGAAAGAAATCAATTTCATATTTAATATTAGATTATTTCAAAATATTATTTTATTAAATTACATTGATTAATAAATTAGATATTTTATTTAATATTTTTTTATTACTCTAAATACCATAGATTAACCATGATGTATTGATGAGTTAGAATATAAAGTGAGGGACTTGTTGAAATAACATTTAAGAAATTTTCAAATCTGATATATTCATCTATTATTTATATTACTTTTCGTTTATCATTTTTAAAATTCTTTTATTTTAGATTCTCATCTAAGAATTTAGTTAATCAAAAATTCTGATATTCAGTAGTTTTAATTGTGATAAAAAATATAAATCTATATGATTAAAAAATTAATTAAATTTTGCTGATTAATGGAGTTTCAATTAATTTATTGAATTAATTTAGATCCTGAAAGAATTTAGGTTTCTCAAGATTGATTCAAATTATTCTTTTAATTATCCCATCTCTTCATTTATTTCGTTTATTTGACCATCATGATTTTTTGTTATGATACAATAATTTCAAATTCAAAAAAATAAATATATTTATACTTTCATACAAAATTAATTTTTTCTTCAATTCCAATTATTAGTATATTTATGGTATTTTCTTATTTTATAGAGCATTTGTAATATATTTATTCTTCTTTCATAGATTTTATGTCAAGAAATACCTATTACAAATTATTCATGTAAAAATATTATTTAAATTAGAGTTTGTAATTTATAATTACAGTATCTAATTCAAAATTATTAATTGAATAATTATATGGGGATCTTCGATTATATTAGACAAAAGACAACAAATTAAATAATAGTAAAATCTAAACTGTTTAGAAGTTTTTTGACTAATCAACAAATTACACTTAACAATATATGTAAGGGAATTTATCCAATTATAATTTAAAAAGAAATATATTGATATTGATTTTATTAGAATAAAAATTAGTAAAATTAAGTTAAAACATTACTGATTTTAAATTTAACTATCATAAATCCATATTTATAGTTCATTCCAAAAGATAATAAAGCTGGTATTATTCTTCATTTCGAATTTTGGTATCTACCCTCATTTTTTCTCTGCATTGCCATAGCTGATCTAATTCAGCTTAAATGAATAAATTATAAAATAAGATAGTTAATTTATAGATGAAACTAATACCTTAAATAATTTTGATATTAAAATAATCAAGATAGTGAATGGTAAATTCTTTTTCATTCAACGATTATTCTTATTTTTTTTTATAATTTTCCCTTTCTAATATAATTTATTCCTTTTAATTTCCCAAAAATTGTTATTTACTATTAATTTGTTTTAACTTTATAATTTAAATAATAGCCCATACCAGTTAAATTAAATTCTCCAATTTTATAATTTTCTAAAATTACATTTGATTTACTTTAATATATTTAGATGTTTACCGTTGTTATATATTTATGATAGTTTTATTGTATATTTAGTATTTTATGGTATTATTTTACTCAAATTTATTTCTTCTGTTTGATTTAAACATAAAATAGTGTAAATAAAAAAGCAAAATTAGGGCTTAGAGAATTAAAGTCATATAAAATTCAAATTTAGAAACTGGTTCTCTCATATCTTATCAAATTTTGTTTATAAAGTTTATTTAGAAATAAAATTATAATCGAACAATAATTAAATAGATATAAAATTGATAGGAATATTAATAGATATTCTAAAATGAAAATAAATCTTATAACTCATTTAAATTTTTTAGAAGTCTTAGAATTAGGATACTTTATAAATACTTTTTTACTTTTGTAATGAAAATAATTATTCTTAAAAAATTTACATGAAAACAAAAATAAGTTTTTAAAATTTAGAGCATTATTTTCTAGAATTTTATTTCTAAATACTGTATATTTTATATTTAAAAGAATAAATAATTATATCATCATGACTATTTATAGTTTAAATTATAGAAAATTTTTGAATGAATACAATATTCGAAAATTTAGAATATTTAAAATTTTTGAATGGAGATTAAATTTTGTAACTTTTACTATCAATAGATTTTTTAGAAAAAGTTTATTAATTTAGATACAATTGAAATATCTAATTAAATAAATATTAATAATTTATATATTGAATTCTATAAAATGTATTCTTTGTTTAGTTATTTAATTAGAATATTTATTTTAGTCATGAAAATGGAAATAATTTTCATTATTAATAATTATTTATAATAAATAATTTACATAAATTAAATGAAAGATGACACATTAATAATAAGAATTACTACTTATTCAAGTATGTTTGCTGGAATTATTGGGAAAATAGTTTGCCATCCAATTGACACTATAAGAGCCAAGATATAAGTATTTGATATTTAAATTAAAAGATTAGACAAACTATGATGGTAAAGATAAAAGCTGATAAATTGATTTCAACATTAGCAAAAGAAACAATATAAACTGAGGGACTTCGTGGACTTTACAAAGGACTTGGAATAACAATAGTATAAATGATAATTCTATATAGGTAGGAACAGGACCTGCATATTCTTTATATTTAACTACATATGAGACATCGAAATACTTATTAAATAAATTAAATGTAAAATATATGATAAAGAGTAGTTTATGAAAGATAGTCCGAATTTAATATCATTTACATCAGGAATGATGGCTGAAACAATTAGTTGTATTCTTTGGTTACCAATAGATGTAATAAAGGAGAGATTATAGGTGTAAAGCAATTTAAAAGTTTTTGATTATAAAAATACATTTGTATAAGTTGTTTATATAAAATAGGATGCGATAAATAAAATTTTAAGATCAGAAGGAATAGTAGGTTTATATAGAGCTTATGGAGCAACAGTTGCTTCATATGGTCCATTTAGTGCATTCTATTTTATGTTTTATGAGAAATTAAAAAGTATAAAAGACTAAGAAACTAAATAGGAATATTGGATAATCCATAATAACCATCATTTTTAGAAAGTCTATGTTTATCAGGAATAGCAGGATCAATGGCAGGATTTATTTGTAATCCAATGGATATAGTAAGATTAAGAATGCAAGTATAGAGAGCATCATTAGCAACTCATTCAGAAACAGGTAATTTTGGATATAAGAATTTGGTTCATGGAATTTTGAAAGTAATAAAGAATGAAGGAATATTATCTTTAACAAAAGGATCAATGGCTAAAGTATTATATACTTGTCCTAATACTGCAATATCAATGAGTGTAGCAGAAGTAACAAGATCTTATTTTATTAATAAATATCAGAATCATTGAATATAATATAATAGCTAAAGGAATAAAATTTACATCAGATTTAATTAAAAAATTCATGTTTTAGTAATTCTTTAGCTTCTGATCTTTATGATGGATCATAAGCTAAACATTGTTTAAGTAAATCGAAGAGTTAATTTTATTTGGCTAGTGATAGATAATTGCAATTCTATCTTATAATTGAATTCAATTATAATTACTATTATTTTTGTATAATTCTAAATTAATTATATAACATGAATACTTGCTTAAATCTCTACCTTTAACTGCAAATAACCCATATTTAATTTAAGGTCTTCCTTATCTCATAATTTTGCCTTTATAGGATAACCAATTAGGAACACCATGTAAAATATCAAGTATAATTGCCCCTTTATTTATTTATAAAAATACCATAACTCCAAACATCTATTTTTGGAGTTCCATGTAATAATGTAAGTGCTTCTATTTATGTACTGTATTGATTAGAATATTTAGTCCAATTATGCATAATATCAAGTGCTTCCGGAGCCATATATTCAGGAGTAATCATACCAAATTGATCCTTATCTTCATTAGAAAATGCAGATCCAAAATCAATTATTTTAGGTATATTATTATCAACTAATATATTATCTGGTTTTAAATCAAAATGAGTAACATGTTTATCATTAATACATGAAATTCCATTCAATATTCCATACATCAATTCAATTAATTTTGATGGATGTTCATACATATCTAACAATTATTAAGTCTCGCTTATCTTACAAATATTAATGTTTATACTGCATATACTCTCTCTCCTTTATAGAATTCCCCTTTCATAGTGTAGAGTACTTTACTTAATGGTTTACCTCCTAATTCTTAAATAATCCAAGTATCTTTATTTGAATGCTCTACTCCCATTATCTATACTATGTTCTCTGATTTTATATAACTGAATTTAGCCTCCTTACTTTATTAAGGTTTGGCTATTTATTTTAATGCCACCTTCTAATTACCTTTTGATGCCAACCAAACTAATGCAAAACCTCCCCTATTAAATAACCCTATATCTATTACATACCTTCCCAGAAGTTCCAATTTATCAAATCCTAATAATTGCCTATCTCCATAAGTTCCTTTCTCTTCCTCTGTTAATCCATAATCTTTAAGCATCTTAAGGGATGGCAATCTATTTGGTTTCAGTGTGAAGCTACTGTGCTTTTATAATTTTAACATTGTATTCCCAGGTGATTGATTTTATTCCTTTTATACAAGATCTATTATTATTCGTTAGTGTAACAGTGAATCTAATCCTACTATATTGTATATTTTTAAATATAATATAAAAGTGTTGTTAATATAGACACTATAGATAATATTATATACTGTTTGTTGAAATTGGAGTTCTCCTTGATTTCTATGACAGTTGTCTCTAATAATGGATAGGCATCATATTAATTAATTATATTTATACTCTTAACAAATTATACAATAGATAATTATTTATATAATTTTTCAAATGTAAGAGTGGCCTAAGAAATTGTTTCTTGCTATTGCATTCATCTCTTGTTTCACCTGTTATGCAAGACCAGATTATAATCTACCATTATTTGCTTTTGCATATTTGCTATGGGATATTGACAGACCTGTAAATTAATCATTCATTCAATTTAGGTATCACAAAAGATTAGATTAATTTATCTATTTGTTTATTCATGGATTATTGATTTCGTTTGGCTTGTTTATTGGGGTCCATTTTGGAATTCATCAACTTTTAGTCATAATTGGGCTGATGGAATTTAAACATTTGTATTAGTGTTGTCCGTTATCAACTTTATCCTGAAAGTAGAAATTGAATTTATAATGTTTAGTTGGGTACAATTGTAGTGTGCATTTTAGCAGAAAAAGAATGCAAAGATGCATTACATCCTGAAAATGCAATGGCACATGCAAAAAACATATTTAGTAGTGATGGTTAGCATTAATGAATTACTTAAATTTTTTTAAAAAAAATTAATATCTATTTTAAATTAATGTCTTAATAAGTGCTTTGGGAAGTAGTTAAGGGTAACAATGCTTTTTTGGTTAAAAGAAACGGATTGACACTCTCAACTGATCCATTCAATAACACAGGTGTATAAACATACAGTAGCACAGGTAAATGAAAATTAATCTAAATTAAAAAGGATTCATTACAAATAATGCTATTGGTGTTGTACCAACATAAGCAAAGGTAAATTAAATCAATAATGTCAATTTGGTTACAAGAAAGAGTACAAAATTCTAATAAGCTGACAGAAAGACCAAAAATACCTAATCTGTTTATGCTTCAACTTTGAGTGTTAAACATGGAATTCATACAGCATCAAGAGTATCTTGTCTTATGAACTCTAGGTAATCAGAAAGAGATTTGGCACAAGAAGACTGGGATTGTAGAAAGCAGCTCTTAGAAAATTAGTCAATTTGAACAGAGCAAATGCTGTAAGAAGAAGAAACGAAATTGCTGCAACTAAGGCATAAAAGAAATGATTTGCATTATCAAACGATGTACAATAAATAAATAAATATATATATATAAATGGAAACATTTTCATATATATCATAATAGTTATGATCATATTCACACACATCATATATTTTTTATATCTTCATATATATGATTATTGTTTATTGTTTTTTTTATTATATAACAATATTATACCAAGAATTCGTTGTTGCTCAAAAACACGATGAAAATTAATTGTTTACAAGAATAACAATTAATTTGTAATAGATAGATATATAATATAAAACAATAAAGAAACAGAATCTTTATAATAAAAAAGGTTGGGTGTAACTTAATTTAATGATTTACAATATTTAATATTTGATGTAAATGTGTACTATACTTTAGAATTATCATTATTATTTGGTTTCTTCTTGGTGTTCTCTGGCTTATTTCTTTTCAAGAGCTGTCAAATACAAACCATTATCATCTGGGAGTGAAATTAAAGACTTCTTTCCTTTACCAATTGTAAAGATATTGTTGATTCTTGTAGAGAAATGTTTACCATTTGAATCCTAAACATATATAATTTAGCTTATACTTTAACATGGACAATATCAAAAGATCCAAGATGTCTTTCTCTATGTTGAATGAGACCCACTCTTCCAATGTTATTACCTCCAGTAATGTAACATAAATTTCCTAATTAAAATTTATACATCATATATACCTGGTTCTTCTTTAAGGAAATCAACAACCTTTCCACTTTCCAAATCAATTTTTAATGTATCGTTAACATGAATCTCAGGATTTGGATATCTGATTGTTCTTGCATCATTTGTAACAATGTAAGGAACATTATTTGGTCCAACTTTCTTTTATGTTACTTTGACCAACTTGAATTTTGCCTCCTCTGGTTTAATTGATTTTAATATGAATTTTCCTGAGACATCATATAATACTCTGTAATTTTCTCTTGTCTTATCAATTGTTATGACATCTGATCTCATTAATTATATATAATACCCTATAAACCAACTGGATATCCAAAGTCAGATCTTACTTTTCCATCAACTTTTATATTACCATCCTTATCAGCAAGAATCATTTAGACTTCTCTTGCATACAAGGCGTATTTCAATTTATGTTGCAATAATACAGACAATGGAATTGATTCTCTCAATTTATGGGGTCCTTATGATGGTCTTGTAGTCCAATTTCCTCCTAATTTTGACAACATCCAACTTTTTGGTGCTGTAATTCTTTTCATATGTTTCTTGGGTCCTCTTGCCTATACATAATAGTAATCACTATTCTTACCATGATTGTTTAAAGAAAAAATTAAAATCTTTTTAATTTAATTCAAAATGTTAATATTCATAACATTCATAACATTAATAAATGCAGAAACATGCTAATGTAATACTGGTATTTGTAATGCACAAATTTGCTACTGTCCTTATCCTTTTGCTGGAGAACACTGTGATTACATATTAAAACTAGGATATGGTATGAATTACACAGCAGAATTTGATCATTATATTGGTCATAATCGAATAAAATAAGATAATGATTGCAAATCAGATTGTAATAAATAAGGTTTGTGTTTATAATCTTAATGTTATTGTAAATCGCCTTATGGTGGACAATATTGCTAATTTAAATTGTTTTTTGTAGATGATAATGAGAATAAAACTTAGATTCAAACTCTGGATAATTTATTTAATTTTCATATGGATTTGTAGACTTCTAAGAATATAATGACTCAGATAAAATAATTTGATAAAAAAGAGATGTATAAGAAATGCCCAGTTCCTTGTAGAAATGGTGGTTATTGTGTATTTGGTTAATGTATGTGTAAATCACCTTATGTTGGAGATTACTGTTAATTTCGAATAGAATTTGAATAGGGAATGCCTGTAAAATAATAAAATTATTGATAGCATTATCAAGTTTACATGTTAATGATATTTTCATGTATAGTTGGTATAGCTGTGGCTGTGATATTATTTATGATATTGAAAATAATAGAAGATGAGAAAAAGAAATATGAATTAATAAGTGGTGAGAATAAAGATTTATGGGAAAAGAAATGATTATAATTAATAACAACAATGCAATTTTAATAATTAATGCCTATTGGATATCTGAAGGAGCCTCCTCTAAAAAGATTTGTAATAGCTAAGATAAAGAGAGAGAATACTGAGAAATGTATTAAGTTATACAAGCAAAGATATCACTAATACTTCTTTTAGTATGATTACTTAAAACTTGTGAAATAAAGTGAGGAGAAAGAATATGTATTGATGCTTTTTTGTTTTCCTGAAGTAAACTATTACTAAATGAATAGGATTTGGAAAAAATGAAGGGAGATTTTGAAGTTGATTAATTTTTAGAAATTGAATTACCTAGTATAGCACCTATACATAAAGATTAGAAACAGTTTTATAATTAATATTGGAATATCTTGCATCCTAATTATGAATATCCAAACAAATAAAATAAAGAAGCAGCTTAGAAAATGTAATAAATTTTAGATACAAAAATAACGAGAAATAAATGTATTCTTTATGATGAAGATAATACAATTGTAATTGAAGCAGAAGATGAAACGAATATCAATAATGCAAGACATTGTATAATGGTTGTTATGGAAAAGTTAGCTTTACATAATAAAAATGAGAATCAAAAAAAACACTTTAATGAAACTTAATATTATGCTAAGGATATGATTTTAGTAATCTATTATGAACCTTGTATTATGTGTGCTATGGCATTAATTCATTCAAGAATTTCATAAGTCTATTATTATTAAAAGAGAGTCACAGATGGAGGCCTTAATGATCAATTATAAATTAATAACATGAAATAACTAAATCATAAATATTTAGTATTTTATTAGCATTGATATTATTTATTATATTCTAATTCATTATGAAATTCAATCCCTTTTATTTATAAGATCATTAAGTAAATTAGCAACTTAAGAAACCTACTATGAAATAGCACTAAAATTTAATCTTATTATTCATACTCATAAAATTGTTAAGCATACTCTAAATTGTAAAATGCTTCTTGAATCATTTTCAATTGATTTTCAAAATCTTACTCTCCTTAATTAGCTATCATTAAGAATAATTATTTGTCTTCCAATTCTGATGCTATCTTCTCCAAATCATTTAGATTTATTGAATTAAACTAACAATTAATATTATTTATACAATAGCATCATATTCTGTCATTTTTATCTAAATTATCTTTGTAGCTTGTATTAGAATATTTTGTTCAATTGATTAGTTTGTACTCTAACCTAATCCTAAATCATCAATGTATTTTTCTAAATTCGCTAACTAAATCTTTATTAAGTCCATTCTATTCATTATACTTTCTACAGACACAGATAACTTCTTTAATGTTGTCAAATTCTTCCTATAGAAATTTTAAGACTCCTACAAAGATGTCTACATTTTACTGGCTATCATTTATTCACTATTCTATTCAATAAATAACAATTGATCTTTTATCCCCTTTATCTATTCCTCAGTTGTTCTATTTATTACACTAGCCTCTATTAGCTTTTTCTATAAATCTAATTATTTTAATAACATTTATTACCTTCAACCATTCTTCTGAAACTCTCTATCTATTATTATAATAACCAATGTCCTTGATATTCTTATGGCATTGATTATAAATCCAACTGATTTTTTATATTTATCAATTTCTTCCCTTATTCCTATTATAATTGATGGATCTTTTAAATCTAATTTTAACATCCTTTCCATCCTCCTCTATCCTTTATAAATTGAACTTTTTATTAAATTGATGGAGTTAATTTTAAAGATTCAGCATTTTGAAAAGAATCAATCATAAATTGAATATTGTATTAAGCATAAATAGAATTAAAATTATTTTGTAAATCTAAAAATTTTTATTAAGCTTAACTTTTATTAGAATTTATTTATTAAATTAATTGTTAACTTTCTATTACAAACTATTATTATTATGATTTTTTTGTGTTATCCAATGAATCTGGAGCTTTTGGTTAAATTAGATCTTTTTTAACAGGTAATTCTAATAACTCATATTCTTTTGCTATTGGGTGTTTAAATGCATTTTCATTAAGATATAGATACTCTTTTTTAAGTGCTTGAATTTGAGATAATTTCAATTATAGAAATTCATTTTTTAGTTTAAATTTTTTGAATAGTTCTGTAATAGGTTGTTCAGCCTTATTTAAATACGTTATAGCTTTTCCCATTCTTTATTCTTTTGGAATTTCTTTAGCAGTAGAAGCCATAAATTTAGCCAATTCTAGATTTGTAATAACAATGGTTGTAACTTGATCAGATGAAAATTATTCAAGTAATTAATTGTATATAATTGGTGGAATAGGTTTCTTATTACTTTATTTTGTTTATGTCAAACATCTTATGGTTTATTCATACAATTTAGATGATTCCTACAATAATCCTAATGCAATCAATTAGTCATCAGGATTTTTATTATTTTAGAAATGCTCAAATAATTTTTTATATCCATAGGCACCAGCCTAGTAATAAAAGGGGAATAATTACATAACAATTATGCATATGTATATGAACAAAGGATAGATCAGAATGTTAGTGAATGGTTCTTGAATTGACAAATGCTATAATTTCAGATAGTCTCTAGAAGCACCATTAAGAATTACGACTCTTACTAATTGCATCTTTGATTGTTGGAATGTTTTATCCTAAATGATAATATACAAGTCCAAGATTGTACATCTAACAAGAATATTCATAATGCCATTGATTGGATTGAGTAAATTTATTCTAAAATATTCTATCTTAATTACAGGTTCATAAGAATCATTCCATTAGAATGTAATATCAACTTTAAGTTATTATTCAATTACTTAATCCAAGAACAGAATGTATTGAGTGAGTAAATTTTCAAGTTAAAGACATGCATCCACATCTCCTTTGCTACAATCTTACCAACGAAAATCACATATCTTCTTTCTTTATTCCTCAATTTATATTAGCAATTAATTCTTTTTGGAATATTAATTGATATTACCTAACTTAAGGGAAATTTAATGGGTTTAGTTTATTTAAATCTAAAACCAAAGTTCATAATAATAATATTAATGAGAATTGTTATTACAAATAAATTTATATTTTCACATTCTTTATTTCCCCTAGGCTTACTTTAACAAATGTAACAATGTTTCTTATCTACGACTCTTTCGTTTCTTTGTTTGTCTCTAGAATACCATCCTCTTTTCCTGATACTACGAAAAAAAAGATTAAGAATATATATCATACTTTGGTGACTAATAATGTAATATTGTTATGAGGATGATAATTTGTGAATTCACAAACTCTTTCGAATTATTGAAACATATCTATGTGTTATCCCATAATTTTATCTTCATCTTCATCCTCATTATCAGAACTATCATCAAACTTTAATTTTACTGATTTTCTTCTGGCAACTTAATTAATTTATAATTAAGGCACTTACAATACCTATTAATATCCTTGTTCATTCATTACACATAAAGATTCATTACCTCCTTTTTTGCTTGGTTTTTCATATGGTACTTCCTCTTCTGGTAATTCTGCTTAAGATTCATAATTTATAGATAATTTTGTATGATTTTTAAATCCAGTTGTATTCACATATTAATTAGAATTGGGACAAAATCGAAAAGTACGAGGGGATGATTCATCTTAAATTCTTTAAGATTATGATGATTTGGGTTATAAAGGAGTCTACACATTTATTGGTATATGATTCAATGTAAATTAATTTCCAAAATGAATTCCATGTTATTATTATAATTCTTTAATTTCTTCAATCTAAACAAGATCTTCATTTTTCATCATATAATTTAACACACTCTCTAAAACAATGAAATGATGTTTCAATGCATACATTTTTCTAGTATGATTATGTCTAACATATCTACTTGTTCTATCAACTGGAGTAAACTTTCTATAATTATAGAGAGCCTTTATCCTATTTGGTAGACCAAATAAAATTGGACATGTATTTGTAAAATGATAATCACTTTAACATGTATTACATTTTATTTGAATTGTCTTCAAATTCTACTTAAATATTATATCATCTGTTATTTATTAATATATTTCCTAAACATTTATAAAAATTAAGTTTTTACGTAATCTGAAGGATGTTCCTTAAACACAAAATGTAATTACTCTCTTGAAATTTAAAGAACTTTTGTTGTCTTTGATGCTACTGCATCATATTAATATTATCTTTTTGAAAAGAAATCTAATTATCCTATAAAAGATGGATTATTTATCTTTTATAATACTCTTGGTTAATCTTTTAGAGTTATCACTAATTTAATCTCTCCAGTCACCAATACATATAATTAAGATGATTATTTATTCCTTCTGAACAAATATTCATCAGATTATATTTGTTTCTCTTCTAATTACATACACAACTTATTTAATAAAGGTTAACTAAAATTTTTAAAAAAAGATAATTAATTTAATATCTTTGTATTGACATCAACAATCATTTGATCTTTTAAACTTTTAGGAATCATATCAGAAAATTGTATTACTTTTTGAGAAGGTTTACTCCATAAATATTCAAAATATCTTCTAAATTTAATTTATAAATCATCAGACACATTTTAACTTTTCAAATATCTATTTAATTGATTCATATTATTTTTTAATTAAACTGATTACTTTGAAAAATCTTGGAATATACCTCCAATATTATTAACTGTATATGCAAAGGTAGCAGATGATATCATTGTCATAAATATAACAAAGATTCTTTCTGTTAAATTGACTGGAGTTATATCTCCATATCCAATTGTTGTCATTGTTACAATACTCCAATAAAATGAAACAACATATCTATCTAACCAAGATTCATTCTATAAATTAGCTATCTTCAACCATGTTTTGCCTTCATAATTACCCCATTCACCCCATTAACCTATTATATGCCATATACATGCTGAAAAATGAGCTACCAAAATCATAAATGATCTAATACATATTTATAATCAATACATCATTTTAAACAAATCGAATATTGCTGTTTATTTAGTGGATAATTCTAAACGATTAAAAAGAGACGAGAATAAACTCGACAACTAGAATACTTTCAATATGATCACAAAGTCAAAGTATCTAAAATCAAATTGCTGACCTATAAAAAAAGGTACTACTAAAAATAAATCAATTAAAAATCCTATCTAATATTCATATCCATCAACCTTCTATGCAATAATATTTCACTATCTTTCTTCTACTTGTAATGAGGATTCCCTTATTGTAGATACAAGTATTGAATTTTAAAACAATCTCTAATAGAAATGAATAAACAGGTAATTATTCAAAAAAGAATTCCTTACTTGCCAAAGGAAAATCCACTAATTCTGGAAATGAGATACGTAAAGAAACATAAAAAACATTTATTGTCACAATCACTATCAGATAAATATTCCATATGATTATGATTGTGTCATCTGGTTTCAATAACCATGTTCGAACAATGTTTCTAAATAATCGACTCTTTCGTTCTGCAATTAATTATTTACATTTACATAGTATACATGAAAACCATGTGTGTAATTTTAATAAGAAATATGAGGGTTTATCCTATGGTAAGAATCCTTTATATTTATAGAAATTATAGTCTGCTGCATAGTCTTGGATTAAATTGAATTCTTGTTTTGTAAAAAGACTTAAATCCTTTTTAATGATTTATTTTGTGATCAGAACAATAAATCTAGAAACTATCAGTATTATTTTGAATGCCCTGTATTTCCAAATAGGATTATCTATACCAAAACTATGATGTTGAGTTCTTCTCCCCCATAATAACACTTTAGAACTCTTATTCATATTTGTTTCTAAGGGTTCAGGACAATCCTCATTGTTACTTATTTAACTTATTATCATACAAATATATAATAATTATATACAATGGATAAGCTTGACAAAATTATTGAATAATTAGATGAATTAGAAATTAGTCAAAAACATAGAGAAGAGTTACTCAAACGGAATCAAACTACATTTCTACTTAAATTACCGAAAGTATCCAACCCAATTTTATTTAGGTCATTCTAATTTAGAGAGTATGTGGATTTTTAGATGATAATGATCTATATAGATTTACAGCAACATGTTCTACTCTTAGAAAAATTATGTTTTGTCCATTAGGATTTAAATTGTTGATGCTCAGTAGAAATGCTAATCATTTAGTTGGTGGACCAAAACATTAACAAATACAACTCAAACATGAAAAAATTGGTATAATAACATGTGGTAATTTGTCAACCAATAATAACACCTTTGAAACAGAAGAAGATGCTCTTTGTTAATTAGAAGTCTTAAAAGCAGTTAAGGATTTTTTAACTAACAAATTATAAGATTCATAGGCAACAATTAAAAAATTAGAAGATATTTTAGAAGATGCTTAAGCTACTCTTAAATATGAAAAATCAGTCAATCTGAAACTCTAATCTAAGATTAATATATTGTAGAATCAACTATCGATTTCAGAATTGTAAAGATAAGATGTTAAGGAAAATTTAGCAGAATTGAATTCTAAATACAATAAAATAGTAAATAATTTTTACATTAATTTTTATAGATCACATAAATGGAATAAGATAAAATAGTATTATTAGAAGATAAAGAGAAATTACTAGGACATAAGAAAGTATTAATTGAAGAAGTGTATAGATTGAGAGGACTTGTATCTTAGATGGAATAAAATTAAAATAATTATAAAGAAGCTTTAAGATAGGTTAAAACCTTTATGGAAAGTGTAGAAGTAAAACCAATTTGAAGGTGTTATCAATTGAAATATTAATTAATTTTTAATGATGTACTATTATCACAATTAATAAACTTAATTAAAATTGGATATTTTAGAGTGTGTATTTTTAGTTTAAAAATCTTATCAAATATTCCAATTTTAATTATTTATGGATTATTAATTACCTTCTTTAGCAGATCCCTTAACATGGGTTTCATATAGCATTTTAGGCATATTAGTCGGTTTATCATAAGCTGGTGGTATTGGTGGTGGTCCCATCATATCTCCAGTAATGATGGTTTTATTAGGATGTCCAAGTAAAAAAGCTATTTGGAATACTTACATAATGCTATTAGGAGGAAGTCTGGGTAATTTCTTAAGATTAGGTAAAGAAAGAGTAAAATATTATATTTATTTTATTTTAGACTGCTAATGGAAGTGCTCCATTGATCAATTATTAATTGGTTCAAATTACATTACCATTGTTATTAGCTGGAGCTATTTTAGGAGTAGCTACAGGTAAATGGTTGCCTAAACTAATCATTGTGATCTTTTTATTTGGTATTTTATTGACCGTCTTTTTAAAAACAAAAAGTTTATACTAAAAAACTAGAAGCAGAGAAATGAATGAATAACTAATACCAATTGAATTAAAAGAATTATAAGTTTAAAATTAGAGTAATCATTCAAAAGAATTGAATATAATGAAAGAAAAAGATGCAAGACTCTATCCAATAGAACCTCTCACAGAAATCAGTTTGACTATAATCATTATAATTGTTGTGACATTATTAAAAGGATCAGGAGCAGTACCTTCAATACTTGGAATTGATTATTGTGGCTTAGGATACCATTTCTTTAATTTTATCATCTTTGGAATAGCCTATTATAATGTTTAAAGATATAGAAAATATATAACAAAAGATGAAGAATATAAATAATCAATTGGATATGATTTTGCAGATGGGAAAATGAGCTCTGTATTTGATATTACTGTAAAATCCAGTCTATATGCTGGTTTTTTAGGTGGTCTAGTTGGATTAGGAGGAGGTGTAGTATTAACACCGCTTTGGTTAGAAACTGGAATTAATCCTCCTAGAGCAGCTGCTTCAGCTACTTTTACAGTTTTATTCACATCTTCTATTTCAGTATTTATTATTGCTCTTTCAGGAGGTTATTCACTTTCTGAATTCATCATTTTAGGAGTAAGAATTACTTAATAATTTAATAGTTAGTTTCTAGCCTTGGAAGTTATTTAGTTGCAGGATTTCTTAAAAAAATAGTAAAGAAATATAAAAGAGAATCTATTCTAATACAAGTGCTTTTAGGAGTTATTGCATTTGGATTGATGATTCTACCTTTTTAATCTATTAAAGATGTCTATTTAAATCCACTTGGAGCTATCTAATTTGGACATTTATGTTGAAATATACTTTTTGATAATTATTTAATTTATGTTTTATTTATTAATTAAATAAATCAGTATTTTTTTAATATCATTATACCTAAGTAGTTTAGTAAGATTGTATTTTAAAAGGAATATAGGCTTGCGAATACAACTTAAAACTTACATCTATTATAACAATCAATATATTACTGTTTTAGGAAATCATTAAATTTTTCATTATTAAACTATATTCATAAGCTAATGCTTTGTAATTTGAAATTAAATCATTTTCATAAAAAGACCCTTGAAAATTGAATTCTATATACTACTCCTATTTTATAGAAATAGATATATATAAATCATTTGAATAAAGCGCTTCCATTATTGAGATTAGAAAAAAACTAAAAATTGATGGACATGTTTGTATTTTCATTTACAATAAATTAGAAATAGTAATTTTTTTCTTCTAATACAATAAATGTAAACTTGAGAGAATTCTTTGAAGATCAACTATCTTTGCTTTAATTTATTGTTTGTTTAAATCTTAAATAAGTTTAATGATTATTAATTTTTTCTATATTTTTTCAACATTATATTGAGCTGTATTTTTATTTTACATCATTTAACATAATTTAATAAGTATATTAAGCAAATTTTCATATCTAGATTTCATAATTTCATTATTTCCTTGATTGTTATTAGAGATTTCAGGAAATACTAATAGAATTGTTGGTTTATTACTGAAATAAATTGAGTATTCGATTTAGATTAATAATTTTGAATGTGAAATAGTAATTGTTTTATTAAAAATATCAACAGAATTTTATTTAAAATTTTTAATTTCATTGTAGATAACTTATTCAATAGTTTTATCTTTATATTTTGCTATTCTTAAGAATTTGAGTGCATCTTCAGTATTAGTAAATAATCTTTCACAATTCAATATTTTAGCAATAGAAAATTTTAATTGTTCTTCATCAAATGTTATTAAAATATATGGGATATATTTATTGATTTATGTAAGTATTTTTTCCCATGATTGATCAACTAAAGTTAATAAAAATTGTGATCTTATAGCTTTGTGATATTGATATAAATATTTAGAAGCAAAAAGTATAACTATGATTGCTAAGGTTATAGCTGAATACTCAATACTAGTACTTTTAATAAAAATAATGATAATTCTAATGATTGAAATGGATACTAAAGAAAACATTGCATCAATATATTCTCCAGCAAGTATAATTAAAAAGTTAGATCCCATTTAATTTGCTCCTCGAAGATGACCTGATAATGAATCAGATGATTCTTCCACAAATAAAAAATAAATAGTAAATGCATGATTAAATAAGATTAACGAAGGTCTCAAAAGTTGTTTATATTTTTTACTTAAAAGATACTACACAACACAATAAATAAGCATAGCTATGTAAGTATATACATTAAAATAATTTTGTTAAAGTAGACCCTATACTATTCTAACAATAAGTACAACTACACAACCTAAAGAGATAAGTGTAAACATTGTCATTCTAATTTAACCTATGCTTGTTGATTAATATTTTTCTTCAATCAAAGGGTTTTTGAATGTTAGTAAATATTTGTTCATGTAATTATTACTATTAACTTATTATATAATTTTAGAGATGGGTTTTTAATAACTTAAATATTAGAACTTTTAAGTGTTATAAAATTATTTAATAAAATTGATATAGATGTTAGATTTTAACATGAAATAAAAAGAATAATCAATCATTCTAAAATCAATTAAGTTATGTTTTATAAAGTGTTTTATTAGTTTTTTTACGCCATTGATTATATGCTTTAATAATTGAATCATAATTAAAGGTTGGATAATACATTCTAAATTATTTCATCTTTTCAAAATCATTAATGATAAAAAAGTCATCATGCCATACTTTTTAAGAAGTATAATTTTAAAGCATTCTAACAATTGAAGCACCTTTGATTTTAGTTCTCATACTCTTAAATTCAGGTTTATTATTTTATTATTTAGGAGTAGCTTATTTATCAAAGAAAACAGAAATGGAATCTTTATTTTCATCTAAATAATGTCTTGATTATTCTAATTCATCATAAGACTCTTGTTTATTATATAAATCTTACATCACTATCATCATTTTTTGAGTTTTCATCTTCTTCATCACTTTCTTTTTCTTACATTTTCATAGTTTTGATTGTTCTCTAATAACATAGATTTGCACTTCTTCTTCTAAATTCTAATTCATGAAAGGCTTTACTCTTTTCTTTTCTTTTTCTTATATATGCTTTTTATCTTTCTTATTAAGTTGAATATTAATGTTTAGCTAAAATTAATTCTCTATTTAAATTAAAATAGATATCTTCACAAATCTCATGACCTTATTTTCTGCAAAGTAAACATTTTAAAAATAAATTATCAAAATTTTAAATCATAACTCTATCTTTAATTTAATAAAATTAATCTAAATCAGTATCTTTTAATTTTTTAAAGAAATCTCCTGAAGAAATATAATAAATTGTTGAAAATCCTTCACTTATTAAAATTAATTTTCTATTCTACTATTCATTAAACAATGATTTAAAACCTATACCATCTCCTGGTTTTAAATTTGCTACAATCCTTCTACTTTCCCCAAACATAATGTTAATATTACCTTTTAATAATATATATAATCCAGGATCATTAGGTACTCTCTCTTAAGGTGTTAAATTAATCTCTTAAACACTTTCAATTAATTCTCTTAACAATTTTAATGAAAAGTTATTTACAAGTACTGGTTGTTTCAATAATAACAATCCTTTATCTTATTCATTCAACTCTTACTTCAATTAGGGACTTAATTTACTAAAGATCTTCTTCTCTTAAGTAGATGGCTAATGCTTATAAACTAATCGGAGATAACTTAAATTAAATCTTTTTTTATTATTACTTTTCAACTCTCTTCTAAAGATCTGAATCAATATTTCTCTTTTTCATATAATGACTTAATATTTCTAAATCATGTTTCACCTTACTTTTATCTGCATCCAAATCTTTTAATATTGAAGTTATTGTATTAAACACATATGCGAAAATACATGAAGAAAATAAAGTCAAACAAATACTTACTAATACTTCATATGAATTTATTGGAGTTATATCACCATAACCTACTGTTGTCATTGTTGTAATTGCAAAATATAATCCTGTCAAATAAATTTAAATCCAATGAGAATCTTATAAACCTCTCTATTCTATCCAATTTTCATCCATTGAATGTTATCCTATTCCTATCCATACACATGCAAAACAATGAGCTAATAATACTACTGTAATTAAAAGTTTTAATAATTTTAAATGATTTTTAAATTTACCTTTTGGATCTATTTCATATTTAAATACCTCCATAAATGTTGATAATTCTTTTAATTTCAAAATAAATAAATATTTTAAAGGACTAAAACTATATAATAAAAATATTATTAATCCTAATAATCCTCCAAAATCAATTAAGAATTCCTTCCGAAAATATTATATTATTATCTTTCTTGTCTATGTTATCAATATTCCCTTATTGTAAATCTAAACATTCAATCTCATTATTATATCAATTGTCAATATAACTATCTCTACAAAAAATATAGGCATCTATATTTCTATAAATTCATCTAATTAGAATTTAAAGGAATCTGACAATGGAAATATAAAACATAAATGTAAAACTAAAAGAAATTTTAAGAAACTCCAAAAAATTAACATTGGATGACTTGCTTTTATACTATTAAAACTACGATGCTTAACCATTGTCATTAAATTAGAGACTAATACTTATAAACTAACATTCTGTTATTTGTATTAATAGTACTATTTTTCAAATTATGATGAATCTTTCTCCTTTTTTTATTACTAGCTATAACTACTTGAAACATCATTAAAAGCTTATAACTATTATTTACTAAGCAGAGATAGATTCTTTATTTTTGTATACTTTCTTAATTTCTGTACTGCTTAAATCATTACTTCTTTCAACCTAGTTTAAATATTAATCTGTCTTAATTTTATTTGACCTAAAGCATCTTGAAACAATATTCTTTGTTCTCCATTAGGAGAATGCAATTAAACATGATTTACATGAAGATCATTTAGGTATAATTAATTCATCAATTATTATTATTCAATTTAATTTTTTGTAGTATTATTCAAATTATTTTATTAGAAATCTAGTGAATTTCAATTATTTATAATCTTTACTCCTATTTCTACTCAAAAAAAATCAAAGTCATTTATTTTTTATAAAGAAGTTTTATCTCAATTTAAATATTTTTATTTAAATCTATATTCTTGTTCTCATAACAGATAGATTTTTATAAATACATTATTTATGATGACAGATTATCATTATTTTTTATCAATTAATATTTATCTAATTTTATTATATTATATTATAATCATATTATTTTAAAATAATATTAATAAAAATACATATAAAAAAAAAGTATTTCAGATAGATAAAAAAGATACTTCACAAAGAAAAAGAATAGAAACTCAAAATTTCCACATTGTTAGTGGAGAGCTTATTTAAATTAATCATTAATTATTAAACTAATTCATAAGAATGGTAATTAAAAACATTCTGTTAAATTATTGCAATATTTTTGATATTTATAGTAATAAATATTTTTGAATAAATGAGCAGCTCAAAAAAAGAAAAATTTAAGTAGTCTTAAATAATTAAGAATCCCCAAAATAATCAAAATAAGTTCTTAGATTATCAAAAGAATTATGATGAAAGCCATGTTAATTTTTCAAATAGTGACCCCATCTAATCTGATTCTTCTGAGTCATTATAAGTTTAACTTTATTAATCAGCCTCATGTCCAAAATCAATTCAATAATTTTGTGATAGAGAGGATTCAACCTACAAATTGAGATTTAACAATGAATAACTTAATCCATCACATTCTCAATCATAATAATCTTTGGCTTTGTCATAAGAAAATATACAAAAGTAAATAAACCCCGTAAAAAATCATCCTAAATTATTCGGAAGGTGTATTCTTTAATATCATTAAAAAAAATTCCCACACTATTAAATCAGCGAAATTCCATAAAAAAAAGAAGATATTGATGAATTAATTAATTAACCTAATGTTCGAGATAGTGCTGTCGAATATTTTGAATCAAACCAAATATTTTTTGATATAATAAACTCAAAAGTAGATAATTTATCCTAAGTTATATAATCATTTCAAACATATTACCAAGCTTTTAAAAACAATAAGCCCCTAGATATGAAAAGCTTTCAATGAGATTTATAAATAAAATTATTGAAATATAATTAAATTGCAGCTTTATATCTTAAAATAAATCAATTATTCTATTTGAAATTTTCTTATTAATTACTTATATATTTATTATTATTTTAGAATCTTGAAGCTTTGTCAATTTTTAAAACTCCTCATATTACTTATACTTTTTAATATTATGGATGATCATTTTGCATTACAATGATCTTTTAACAATAATTAAATTAAAAAATGTATCTTTAATAAGAAAATTTCAAATAGAATAATTGATTTATTTTAAGATATAAAGCTGCAATTTTTATTTATTTTATTAATAAATTTATAAATAAATTTCATAACTAAAAGTTCTAAATGCTAAATTATTTTATAATATGTAATTATAATATATAATTTCTCGTTATAAGACTTATATTTCTGTAAATAAAAAATTTATATATTGAATTTTAAATTAATTAGAATTAAAATACATTAATTTTAAATTATAAAATTCTTAATATTTATACATATGAACATTCGTTAGAACAATAAATATCTTAAGAAAATGAAATAAATTTAAAAGAAATTTAGTGCACTTTTCTTGATTGAATAAAAAATCAATTTTAATAATTTGAAGTTATCATTAAATCATTGATAAATTCAATTTGTTTCTTTTAGCTTATTGAACAGAAAATGTGGTTGATAATAAAGGTCTTAATAGTAGTTTTACTCCATTACTTTTAGGGGATGTATTAAATTTTTTTTTGCTTCCACTTTATCTAGTAGTAAAGGCTTAATCTTCAACTACAATTTGTTATTATTAATGTTTTTTTTAATAGCTATTTTTAAGAGATTTTGCATCAAATATTAATTTTTGAATAGCATTCTTTTTAAAATTCATTGACTCATTATCAGTATCAATTCCAAATAATTCCATAAAATCTGTAAATATTCTCATCTAAGATTTGAATTTCTTACTCATAATATTGATTTAATCTTCAAGAGACAAAAAATCCATTTGATTTGATTTTAATTTTAAAGCATCTTAGACATCATTTTTATTTGCTTTAATCTTTAAAAAGTCTTATAAACGATCTATTTATTAAGAAATATCTTATAGATTATAAAATTCCATTTATTTAATTACATTTTGTTTAATAGTATCTTCTATTTTACTTAAAATTGATTCTGATAGTTGTTTTGACATTATTACTCTTTATTCATCATAATATTGANTTATTTTAGAATCTTGAAGCTTTGTCAATTTTTAAAACTCCTCATATTACTTATACTTTTTAATATTATGGATGATCATTTTGCATTACAATGATCTTTTAACAATAATTAAATTAAAAAATGTATCTTTAATAAGAAAATTTCAAATAGAATAATTGATTTATTTTAAGATATAAAGCTGCAATTTTTATTTATTTTATTAATAAATTTATAAATAAATTTCATAACTAAAAGTTCTAAATGCTAAATTATTTTATAATATGTAATTATAATATATAATTTCTCGTTATAAGACTTATATTTCTGTAAATAAAAAATTTATATATTGAATTTTAAATTAATTAGAATTAAAATACATTAATTTTAAATTATAAAATTCTTAATATTTATACATATGAACATTCGTTAGAACAATAAATATCTTAAGAAAATGAAATAAATTTAAAAGAAATTTAGTGCACTTTTCTTGATTGAATAAAAAATCAATTTTAATAATTTGAAGTTATCATTAAATCATTGATAAATTCAATTTGTTTCTTTTAGCTTATTGAACAGAAAATGTGGTTGATAATAAAGGTCTTAATAGTAGTTTTACTCCATTACTTTTAGGGGATGTATTAAATTTTTTTTTGCTTCCACTTTATCTAGTAGTAAAGGCTTAATCTTCAACTACAATTTGTTATTATTAATGTTTTTTTTAATAGCTATTTTTAAGAGATTTTGCATCAAATATTAATTTTTGAATAGCATTCTTTTTAAAATTCATTGACTCATTATCAGTATCAATTCCAAATAATTCCATAAAATCTGTAAATATTCTCATCTAAGATTTGAATTTCTTACTCATAATATTGATTTAATCTTCAAGAGACAAAAAATCCATTTGATTTGATTTTAATTTTAAAGCATCTTAGACATCATTTTTATTTGCTTTAATCTTTAAAAAGTCTTATAAACGATCTATTTATTAAGAAATATCTTATAGATTATAAAATTCCATTTATTTAATTACATTTTGTTTAATAGTATCTTCTATTTTACTTAAAATTGATTCTGATAGTTGTTTTGACATTATTACTCTTTATTCATCATAATATTGATAACATGAATTGATCTATTTTTAAGTATCTTAAATTTAGACAAAGAGTTTTTAGAATTGAATTTGATTTTGTTCATGTTCTTTTTTTAAAATAAGGAAATCCATTTTTGTAGCCTTTTATAAGAGTTCATAATCAGTTGCTTTGATAATTTTACGAAATTCTGAAATTTCATGGACATCTTTATCTACAATTTCAGTAAGCTTCTTAATTTTAGGTAAAAGAAGATCTGACAAAGAAGAAAATTCGGATTTAGTAGCAAATATTTTGGTGGATTCAACAAATTCTGAAAATTCATGTTATTTGACAGTTGTAATTAAATCTGAGAGAATGAACTAAAGGGAAATTAATCAATTACTTAATACATCTTATTTATTAATTAATTCATTGATATTATTAACTGAATATCGTTTAAGTTCTAGAAATTGATCACTTAAGTGATTAAATCGACAATCTAAGAGATCTAATTATGAAAGTGTTTGATTTTTAGGTGCAAATGTGTTTTAGAGACTATTAATATAATCACTTATTTATTCTTAGAAAAGTGGTGTAAAATCTTGAGTAGTCATATAAGAATTGAGAGATTGTTAAATGGTAGTAAATTAATTATTGAATTATGTTTATATCTTCGTAATATCTCCATCATGGTCTCTTTTTATTTTCCGAATTTCAATTTATATGTCACATAAATCTTCTTGACTAGGTTTTACTTTAATTTACTGATCAAGCTGTTAGAGAGCATAATCTTGAGTATTAAATTTAAACATTATAGCATCTGTTTATTATATTTATTAATCTCTTAAATGATCAATTTTTAAATTAATTGAATTGCTAAGTTCTGAAGAGATTTAACTAATCAATTTAGTTTTAGGTTTGAATGATAATTTCTTAGGAACAAAGTTTTATTTACGTCTTAATTCAAATAATCTCTCTGTATCAAAATCAAAGATATCACTCAATCCAAGAATATAATCAATAAGTAATGATACTGATTCTTCTTCCATTATTTAAAGAAATTATTAATTTTAATTATCTAAATATTTAATATTTTTCTAATTAGAAAATAAAATAAAAAGGAGGAAATAATAAAACCCTTTTGATTTGATTATATAAATATTTAATAACTTTCATAATATATTGACTAGATTATGGAAAATAACCCAAATCATTAGAAATAATAACAAATCTGTTCCAATTCCAGAATAGTATGCATCATAACTTGATTTGAAGTATTCTTTAACTTTGAAATTCATTTTGATTGCTAAACAAGTACTTACAATAAAAAATATTGCAACATATATTCCAATTCCAATCCATCCATCTAATATTATTTATAATTATGTCTACCCATTCCCAATATACCAGCTATTACACCAGCATTTAATGATCCATATACTCTAACATTTTTTAGTTGAATTGTATTTTATTTTAATCTATCTTAATTAACTTCTAAATCATCTAATTCAACTTTAGGTTCTTCCATTAATTAATTTATATATTAAATTATTTATAAGTCATAAGTTAACTTCTTGCATTTCAAAATATTATTATTCTATACTAAATTTATTGTAAATTAAATAAGTATATATATATACTTAAAGATTAATATAAAGTTAGAGTTTAGATAAAAAATTATACTATTAAATGGAGAAGTAGATATATTAATTAGAATAATGTATTCAATAGCTTTAATTGAAAATGTTGACTGATAATATTCTTTATTCACCTGAGATAATTCCAGAACACTTAAGATTAATGGATATACCACCTTTCATTAGAGCTAAATTAAAGGCAATTCAAATTAATCCCAATTTAGAAAAATATGAAGCATAATTTTAATATGCTAAAAATGTTGGATTAAATCGTATGTATTAAGGATAATGGTATAATGAAAAAAAGAATGGAAGAGGATAGGAATATAATGAAAAAGATAAAAAATTTTTTTATGGATATTATAAGGATGGAGTTTTTGTTTAAGGATTAATTATAACAGAAAATTATTTATTTGAAGGAGAAACATAAGATGATTAATTTTTAAGGGGAACTCTTGTATATTTAGATGAAAGAGTTTTTTCAGGGAAATTTTAGTAAGGAGAATTGAATGATGAAAATGGAAATTTTCGTAGTAATACAGAGAAATACGTTGGAGGATTTAGAAATGGTTAGAAATATGGAAAAGGTAAATACGAAAATAATGATTTTACATATGAGGGTGAATTTGTAGAAGATAAGATTTGTGGTTAAGGTATATTGATTGAAAAGAAGAATGGATGGAGATAAGAAGGTCAATTTAAAGATGGTCTATTAGATGGAAAAGGTGTTATTATTAGAAGTTTAGGAGATTATTATGAAGGTATATAAATTCTATTATTATAATCTTATTAGGGTAATTCAAATAAGGATTGAGACATGGATAAGGTACCTTAAAGAGAGAAGGTTAAACTTATTAAGGATCTTTTATTGAAGGAAAATTAGATGGCTGGGTATAAATGACATAGGATAAGAGAGTTTATAAATGCTTTTTTGAATTAGGTGAAGAAAATAAAAATAAAAGATAATTGATTTCATGAATATAATAATATCATTTCGATTAATAATCATAATCATATATATTAATAATCATATATATTAATCATTCAAAATCTCACACAATTTGTAAATAAATATTTTACTATTTTCGAGAAAACTAAATTTTCAATATCCAAATCTTTGCCATCTTGCTTATCAACTTTAAGTAATTATACCAACTTTGTCATCTCTTCACTCAATTTTTCAAGTTTTACACGTTTTGAAAACTACTTTTATAATTTCTCAAATCTTAAATTAGATTTTACACTCAAATACATTAAAATAACAAGAACTATTCTAATATCAAATATATCTATACCTATAATATACAGAGGTAGCATCTTTTAGATTATTTTCCATATTTGTTTAGAATATTCAAATATTATCAACATCATAGTGTGATACCATTTTCTTCTATTTCTTAAATCTATACGCTTTTAGTAATTTTAAACTCTTAACTAATAATTTTATTCACTATGGAATTCTTATTTGATTAGAGTTTCTAACAGAATATTAACCTTAAACTAATTCAAGTATATCTAAATTGATGCTCTGCATATAGGACAAGAATTATAATTCTGATAAAAGTATTTATTGCGAACACATGGTTTACAAAATGTATGACCACATGTTAAGGTAATAGGTTGTAACAATGTTTATAAACATATTGGACAATCAAAAAGTTGTTGCATAATTAATTAATAATCAACTCATTTCTAAACACTATTTACATTTTAATCTCAAAAACAAATTTTAAAAACGCACTTCAATACTTGACTGTTAATATTAAATTGCTAATAATTATTAAATATCTTTTGATACAATTTACATTTTTATTCCTAATTCTTTATCCATCTAAAATAATAAGATAAAATTAAAAAAAGCCTTAATGAAAAATTTCATACTATCAGATTTAATGATACTTCTTAAACTAAATTTCATTAATTTTTGTAACTATTGCTCAATTTGATCATCTCGAGAATCCATTAATATTCTAATGAATTGAGAATTTTATTATATATTCCCTCAAATTAGTTTTTTGAATTTAAACAAAAAACTAAAAAAAAATACTACAAGAAATAAAATTGATTAAAATCTACTCCTTTCTAAAAAGTATGTAGATGTTATTAATCTGATTTAATAATTCTCTAAATTAGTTGAAATTCTATATTTATTATAATAGTTTTAATTCTACATTAGTTGAGAGGATTTAGACAATAGAAGATTAAGTGAAAAACAAAATAGAGCTTTTTGATAATAAAATATTTTATTTATCAATAAATTATAACTTTAAGAATTTGAATCAATTTCTGAAAAAATGAATTATAAAAATATGAAAATATTAAGTTGACTCTAAATTAGAGGAGTAGATTAGAATTTCTGATAAAATTCTTATCATGTTTCAGTCATTAAGAATCAGCTCTCTGAAGAACTGTATAAAATACACTTGAAATTTCGTTAATTAATCCTAAAACATCTTTTTGTTTAGGCTTAATAAAAATTGAAACTTAAAGTCTAATTAGAATAAGAGAATTGCAAAAGTAGAAAATTATAAGAAAAGTAGTATTCAGATTTATTGGTTTAGAAACATTTGAAAATAAATTAGAAATATTAATTATTTAAATGATAGAAGAGAGATATAGAATGATTTTAAATTTGGAAGAGAACTAGGGGAAAGGGATGGAGACTATTTTTGCATAAGAAATGTTGGTATATAAATTTGAAGAATGGATGATAATTAAATATTTATATATATATTAATAATATGTAATAAATAGGACATCAGCTCTTATCAAAATGGTAATGTAGTTTTTTTATGATTTTAGGTACTACACAAATTACAATTTTAGAGCCTTGTTTTAATATGAAGTGAAAGAGGAAGGTTATATAATGGGATAATTGATAGAAAAAAAAGAGGATATTTTAGATTTAGTAACACATACTATTCGTTTTACTTATAGATAAGGATTTTAGGCATTTTAATGTTAAGAAAGTAATTTGACAACAGATTCAGGATGGGGTTGTATGATTAGAATAGGATAAATGATGATGGCAGAATTATTGAAAAGACATTTAAAGTGTTTTTATAAAGTTGATATATTTTAATTTCCTTCTTTATTAGAAGAAGTGTTACAGATTTTTAATGATGATGTTCAAATGAAAAGTTAATTGGGAATAGTAAATGAATGCAAACATAGATTTTCAATTTAATAGATAATGAGTGTAGCATATAATGAATGGGGTAAGAAACCTGGAGAATGGTACAGTCCAAATTAAATTGTATAGGCTATTTAGAAAATTCTATCAGATAACAATATTTCATGTAATTTTAATAATTTAAAAGTAATAGATTTTTGTGGTCTTGGATTTGTACCATTTTATGAGAGTTAAATAGATCTAAAAGCAATAGTATTAGAAATGTGTATGATTGATAATTGTTATTGTCAAAATAGAGTCTTTTTTATAGATAAATTTTTATATGAATTAGAAAAACTATAAATTACAAAAGATAAAGAGGAAGTAGTTTAAGTTATGCATGGTTAAGATTCAATTAGTGACATTTGTTTTGAAGATTAATCCAATTAAAATAAGATAGATATTTTAAATTTATTTAAGAAAAATATTTGTGAAAAATGTTTTGTTCCTTCTAGAGCTGTAGCTGTTTGTATATTGAGTAGAATTGGATGGGATGAACCTAATCCAAATTACATTTAAGCTATTAGACAATTTATGAAGAAAAACTATTTTGCTGGAATGTTAGGAGGTAGACCGAAAGAAGCTAATTTTATTGTTGGATTTGTTGATAATAAATTTGTTGTTTTAGATCCACATTTAGTCTAAGAAACAAAAATGAATTCAGATGAATATGTTAAATCATGTTTTCCTAGTGAAGCTCTATTTATGAATGAAAATGAAATTGATTGTTCACTTGGATTAGTCTTCTATCTCAATAATTTTTAAGATTTAAATGAATTAATCTATGATGTTAAAATCCATTAATAAATCAATTTCTTCTCATTTGTACAAATTAATGATTGGACTTACTCAGATATTAATAAAGAATAATAAATTAAATAAATTAAATAAATGTAAGATTCACTTAATGATAATTATCAATAATAATAATAATTATAATAATAAATTTTGAATTTAGAAATTTCAACGTATCATGACGGAATTTCCAATGAAATTAATTCACTCAATAATCAATAAACATCTATTAATGAATTAGACTCTAGTTATGAAGAAATCTGACAATTATCATATTTTACTTATAAAAATTTATATTCATTATTTTTAATTGCTAAAAATATTTGTCAAAAAGGATAACAAAATCAAAGAAAATTCTATTGATTAAATCAATTTCTTGTCTTCCATGAATTGAAATACTAAATATTGAGACAATACAGCCAAAGTTAATGCTATAAAGGCTATTGGAATATTATCCACTATATTATCATATGTTGTCTATAAAATAATTACATTAAAACTCAATATAAACCCAAACAAAATAAATTACACTGACAAACACAGTAATTTTAAGATAATATTACCATAAACAACTCCCAATAAATTTAATGCAATCATCATCTCTACTTAACATAAGGCAATAATTGTGTTAATTTTGTATGGCTATTTTAAAAAGATTGGTAAAAATGATCCTATTGTTGTAGATATACCCATTACACAATATGTAATAAAAATATACTCACCTTCAGAATTAATATAATTTAGACTTCCTATAGCTGGTGTGAATAACATTATAAATTAGTACATTATCATATAAAAATGTTCATCCTTATACATTCTCTTTTCCTAAACTAAAAAAGTATTGTGAATTATATTCTTAGAATTCATACCATCTCTTAAATTCTCTTTTGAATCAAACTCTTCCTCTACTGTTGAATATCTTGGAAACCATAAATAACTTCCTATTCCTCCTAAAACCAATATCAAAATCCCATAAATTAAACAACCTCTTTTATAATGTAAATTCTCAGAATCTGTGAGATCTACAATCTTTGGATTTATCAACAATTAAAGTGACAATCCAAATATTAACCATCCAAAAGAAATCCCTCCTAAAAATAAACAAATACATTTATCTCTATGTAGATAATTCAAACATACCAAAATTAAATGGATTTTCATTTAACATTTAATCCATTGGATCCAATAACACCAATCCTAACAAAAATATATATATATTTGGCAAGATATTTAAAATCAAAGGCATTTCACTAATAAATCCAAAAAGAAGTAGACTCCCTGAATAGATCACTATTAATAAAAGTAGAACAATCATTTTTAATTTTCGATTAAAATATTGATTTAAGTACAACTACATTATTTCGACAATTTCATACTCTAATCAGCATTCCTAAATTCAATTCTAATATCAAAAAAAATGCTTCTAATTTTTCTAAATGTGTTTCAGTGTTCTTCTCTCCTAATTCATTCAAAGCATATGTTTTTAGAATTGTCCAGTCTATTCATTTAATGTCATTATACTTAATGTTGATCCCATTATCATTTCAATAATAAAAGCCCCTATAATTTACATAAAAAATATAATATTAAATATCACTAAAGCATTTTATTGTTTTAATATTGTTACAACAAACTCCATAATTTTTCTTTAGAAACTGAGTCTTATTCATCACTTCCACTATAATTGATCATAATTTCTATATCTCTTTCAGATAGTTATAATCCTAAAATAATAATTTAAATTGATTTAATTTACCCCAAAAATCGCTTTATTTTTTTAATTCATCTTTGCTTAATTTTCCTGAATCGGTTGTGTCCATGATTTAGAATATCATTTCAAAATTTTCATAAAGATTATAATTGAAATTAAATTATTCTGTAAATTGAGGTAAGTCTAATTAATGACCTCTGAGATTTTCTAATTTTTTTACTAACAATTCACAATTTCTGTCAAGTCCAGTTGTTTGTAAAATTTCCAAGAATTCACTAACATTTAATTGATTAGTTTCTGTTGATTTGAATTCATTGAAGATTTCCATGATTTCTTATTATTACTTCTACAACATAGGTTTATCTTCTTAATTCATATGTTTAAATATTAAAATAAAAATAATATTAATAAAAAGTAAATAAATGTATAGAGAATAGATTAATGGTTGTCTGCTCGTAAATACGTTTTTAAATTATAAATAAATCAATGAAATATTATAAGAAAGGAGAATTGCTTTGCTTCATAGGAACGTGGGTGCCTTTTGGTATATTAGTCACAATATTTTTATTCTTCTATGGAGTATATATGAAGGTAAGAGAATATTGAATAATATTAAAGACTTATTTGTTACCATTAATATAATAAGAATATTATCAAAGACCAATAGTAGAATTAAATACATATTTGATTCAATTAGTACACATAAATGACTATGTCTTCAGCAATTCAACATTGGTGATAACGATATCATTACATACAATCCTTATTCTTTTTTTAATATCATTAATAAGTACAGTAATAATAGTACCTGGGAAAGTGCCCCAAGAATGGTTATAAAAGGTGGATGCAGAAATAAATAAGATGATATAGAATGAAGAGAATATGATTAATTTTTAAAAAAAGGGTTCACGAACATCAACTTCATTTTCTTCAGAAATAGAAGATGAACAACGCATATAATTAAATATTAAAGCAAGAAAAGAATTTATAGATAAGTCAGGTCATCGTTTCTGTAAGACATGTTAAGCTTTTAAACCTAAACGATGTCATCATTGTCGTTAATGTAAAACATGTTGGTTGAAAATGGATCATCATTGTTAATGGCTTAATAATTGTATAGGTTAAAACAATTATAAACTATTCATCAATCTACTTAGTTATTCCTGTAATGAATTCATGTTATTTAGGGTTACTACTAAGTTTCATAATAATCACTTACAGTCGATGCTATTATGACACATTGAATTCATATTCTTCAGATGGCAAACTATTTCTAGTATCTTTTACTTTTCTATTATGCTGTTTCTTCTGGATCCTATTAACAGCTTTCACTTTATTCCATTTATGGTACTCAAATGCATTATAGTGAGATAAATAGGGCGATAATAAAAAACATCACAACCCTTGAATATTGTGAGAGTAAACCAAAAGAATCAATTCAGAAAAGTGTTCTAGACAATGTAACAGAAGTGTTTGGTATCAATCCTTTAATTTGGCTACTACCAATTTAGCCAAACACAAAACCAATAATGGATTGAGAAACACAATAAATAAATTTAGATAATAATATAATTATATTATTTATATAATGGAAAAAATAGATATGTTGGTTAAAGTAGTAATAATTGGAGATACAACAGTAGGAAAGACAAACATTATGACTTAATATTGTGATACTAATTTTAAAATTAACTCTCTTCCAACAATAGGAGCTGATTCTAGAGTAAAGTTAATATAAATGAATGAAAGAGAGACAATAAAAATGATGATTTGGGATACTTGTGGTTAAGAACGTTTCAAATCTATAACAAAGAATACATTTAAAGGAGCATAAGGTTTTGTTTTGGTGTATGATATTACATCAAAAAGCAGTTTTGAACACGTAGAAGATTGGTTAGAAGTAATAAGTTAAGTTTATAAAAGTCAATAAAAGATAATATTGACACAAATTCTGTTTCAATTGTTTTAGTAGGAAATAAATCGGATCTCGAGGATTTGAGATAAGTTTCAAAAGATTAAGGATAAGCATTGGCAAATAAACATAATCTTCATTTCTTTGAGACTTCAGCTAAAATGGGAATAAATTTAAGTGAAGTTTTCGTCTCTCTAGCTAGAAATATTAGAAAAATTATCACTTCTGCTAATAAAGACACTGAAATGTTAACAACAGATAAAACTAAAAGTTAAAAAAAGAAAGGATGTTGCTGACATTCAATATACTAAGTTAATTAATCAATATTAATGAATTTTATCTCTACAAGTTGGACACTCTGCTTTTATTATCAACCATTCTTTTATGCATTCATTGTGGAAATAATGATTGCATTTTAAAATTTTTATTAAATTTTAGTCATTTATATCTTCTAAACATACAGCACATTTTCTATTCTTTATTTATTATATTTTTACTCTGACTATGCAATTTCATCAACTCCTACTAATATTGGAATGTCATCAAACCAATTTTTTGGCTTTCTTGCCTTCACTATTTTCAAATTTGTTGGGATTGTTATAGGTATTTGCATAGAATTCAAGTCCATAAACATTTTATAAAGAAGAAACCTTTATTTATTACACTTTATTTACATTGGTTGCCAAGGGAATCGTGGTTATTGAATTTAATTCTTCTGAATCTTTTTTTTTATCTCTTACACTCTCTCATATGCATTCTTAAATTGCTATTGTCTTTTTTAATTCATTTCTTTATTTATTTCTTATTTTTTTAATAGATTTCAAACTTGATTTATACCAATAAATCTTTTATATTTTACATAGTTATAATCATAATAATTATTATAATTCACTAGACAAATCCAAAATTTTGGATAAGTATTAAATTTTTTAATTATCCATATATTTTAAAGATTATTATCTATGTTGTTGTAATTCACTACTCAACTGTTCAATTTACTTATCTCTGTTTCTTAACAAATTCTAACAGTTTTAAATATCTTGTGCATATTAATTTTTTAACTTTGTTACTTCCTAATCCTTCTCCAATTAGAGAGCTTGCAAATACTCCTTTTAATATTGTTTCTCAGCTTCTAAATCCTTCAAACTTTACTCAGTTTTTGTTTTATTCACTCCTTAATTTTATTAACTATATTGCATTATCTCTTAATCCTTCTTACTTACTTCCTTTGTTAATAATTGTAATTTTGTATTTAAGTAATTAATCTAAACTTACAATCCAATATCTTACTTTCTATTCATAAACCTATTGCATTAATTAAATTTCAGCTTGCTTTAACTCTTCCAAACGAGCAATCTCTGAATTCATCTTATCGTTATTTAAATTAAATAATTTTATAAATCAAATATTTATAATCATTAATTAATTCATCAAATTTTTTTTTGTTTCTCAATTGCAATTAGATTATATAAAAAAATTTACATTATTCATAAATGATAAAATATTAGAATCATGTTATAATCATATAACTTTCAAATTAATTAAATATAATCAATAACTTCTTACCTTTTGTTCTTATTTTTGAACTAAAAACTTTTGATATCTTACATTCAAGAAGGAGTTTATATCTCTTTATCAAAATTTGAAGACATATATATGAGCACAAACAGATTATAGACTACAATCTAAATAAGCACATTATTTTCTTTAGGAATTAATTTCTTATTCCTTTTTTTCTTCTAAAATTTAATAATATATCTTCATATATGTTATATTCTGTTTTTTTTAATGAATTTATCATGTTCCACCTTAAATATTGATAAGTATTTATGAGCTAAGAAATCCTTTATTTATGTAAGATTGGCTTATGATATAATATTCACTTAATTTTACATTGCTCAAAAAGTCACATTTAGAGATTGTTTTTTTTATTAAAAGAGCATTTCGCTCATCCTTTAATTTCTCTTATACTTCCACCTTAGTATTTTGAGAGAATCTGATTTTTATTCATCGTCTCCTTCTCTTTAACTTTTAGTTTTTAAACTTGACCTCAATTTGTTTTTAACTTTCTTATAAATCAAATTTTAGTTAAAAATATATACTCTATCTTTTTAGGTTAATCAATATTATATTCATTAACCTTTTTAGCTTTAAATATTAATATCTATTAAAAATAATAAATATAGATTTAATATTGATATTCTTAGAATAAAAATAATATTTAAAATAATAGATAAAGTGCATGAATATAAGAAACAAAAAAATGTTTAATGAATAATATAAATTTTAAATATGTTAAAGGAATTAGAGAAATATCGTGTTCCAGATAATTTTACTGGAACACGTCTAAAAATTGCTTGTACATAAATTATTGAGAGTTGGGTAGCTTTAAAGCTTGCATTTGAACATTCAACCTAAACTATTCAAGAGAATCCTGAGAACATCAGAAAGTTGTTGGCTTATTAATTAGCAGCTTACATATACAATTGCGAAACTGAAATAGAGGATTTAGTATAGTTTTTATCAGTTTATTTGGAAGACTACTTGTAATTGATAATTTAGGATAATTCAGATCGATATGTAAAATATTATTTTATGATAGATTGCGGAGAGATTGTTAGATGTATTTAATGATTTGGAATAAGATAGAGAAGGAAAGTATTTGCAATTGCTTGAAGATGTGAGGGTTTATAATGAACAGAATTAAAATGTTAAACATGTGGCTAATATTTAAGATTCAGATAATAGTGATTCTGAAAATGAAGAACCTCCTTAATTAGTATAATAATAGCAGCAGTAATTGTAAGTTGAAGAGGAGGAAGATGATATTGATTCTGATGGATATGAAACAGTCAAACCTAAAAGAAGGTACAATAAGCGTAATTGATTAATGTTGACTTTATATATGTATTGTTTAATTGGAATTAATAATTGTTGACAATTTATTTTATAATGTATTTTTGTATGTTAGAAATAAGAATATATATTATATAATTTTATATGTAACCATAATCTAAATAGTCATCAAAGGAGGATGAATAATGTTAAGTGGAAGATCATATATTAAAAAGGTTTGAATTGTAGGAATTCAAAGGGAAAGGAGCTTATGGTGTAGTATGGAAAGCAGTAGATCGCAAAACAAAATAGATAGTAGCTTTAAAGAAAGTATTGCATAAATAGGATGTAGATTTTTGATGCATTTCACAATGCAACTGATTCATAAAGAACATTCAGAGAGGTGATATTTTTAGAACAACTAAAAAACCATGATAACATAATAAAATTGACATCTGTAATAAAGGCAGAGAACAACAAAGATTTATATATGGTATTTGATTATATGGAGACAGATTTGCACAAGGTATGAGTATATAATAAAGTAATAGGTTATAAGGGCAAATATTTTGGAGCCGATTCACAAGAAATATATTGTTTATCAAGTGTTGAAGGGTTTGAAATATATACATACTGGAGAAGTGATACATAGAGATTTGAAGCCATCAAATTTACTGATAAATTCAGAATGTAAAGTAAAGGTAGCAGATTTTGGACTGGCAAGAAGTGTGGCAATGCCAGATGATAATATAAATCCAATATTAACAGAATATGTAGCAACTAGATGGTATAGAGCACCTGAGATATTGTTGGGATCTCAATATTATTCTAAAGCAGTGGATATGTGGAGTTTAGGATGCATAGTAGGAGAGATGATTGTAGGAAAGGCTATATTTCCGGGGACTTCAACTTTGAATTAGATTGAGAGGATAATTGAGCTTTGTGGGAGACCAAAGCCTGATGATTTAGAAGCAATATAAGCTCCTTTGGCAGAACAAGTGTTATAAAGCATATCCACTTAGAAGAAGAAGAGTTTTGGTTAATATTTCTCGGCTGCTTCAGAAGATGCAATTGATTTTCTAAAGTAAATTTTAGAATATTTATAAATATTACAGAAAAACCCTGGTTTATAATCCAACTAAAAGGATGACAGTAGAACAGGCATTAGAACATCGCTATATTAAAGAGTTTAAAAATACTGAAGAGGAATCTAAAAGAGGTATTTAATTGTTAATTGAATGAATTTAGATGCTCCTCTTGAAACTTTCATGGATGATAATCACAAGTATTCCATTAAGGAGTATTAGAATACTTTGTATAATCTTATAGTTTAAAACAAGAGGATAGAACACAAATCATAAATCATGAGGAATTCCAATAATGGAAGTGTTAATTTAAGTGTTGACAAATCCACATCTCCAACTAAGAAGGAGTCTTCTATAATTAAAAAGGAACCAGAAAATAATAATATAGATAAAGAGTTTCAACATCCTGGTCGTGCTTTACATCAGAAATCTTAATCTTATTCTTAAGGGTAACTTATGGTTAGGAAAACCACTTCATAAGAAGATATTTAATATTAGGTCTCGACCCATTAAAGTCCTACTTATAAGAAATAATAATAGATGTTTCCTATGGTTGATTCTAACAGTCCCATTAATAAAGCCAATAGAAAGTCTTCTTTAGATAAAAAATTGCAGAGTAATTTGACTGCAGCCATGTAAGCTACTCTGTCTCAATAATAATTCTCAAGAAAAGGATCATAAGGCTCTATATCCAAAACTACTGTTTTCAATAAGTCAATGACAAGTACACAATATAGCTCCTTGTTTCAGAAAAAAAAATGAACTTATATATTAAATATCTACATACCAAATTTAGAATATCATTAATATAATAATAATGAAAATTAGCATTATTTTAAACCTAATCAAGTTAAAAAAAGAAAGAAGATAAATATAAAAAATATTGGACAGCATCCATCCAGAAGAATAACACTTTGCATGCAATAAATAAGAAGAAATTCTATATTACAATATATACATTTTGACCATACTTCCTATTTTGAGAATATTAGAAATAATAAAGCATGCCCTTATTGAAAAATTCATTATCAAAATTCCAGCATTTCATCCTTTCACAAAACAATAGGTTGAAGAGGAATCTTTACATATTTTCAATGACTTTCTGGATTCATTATCATAAAAGGGATAAATGAATGTAAATAAATACATACATAATGTCATTAAAAAGTAAATCACCTATTAAGAAGCACTCAAAATAGCCACGGCTGCCAAAACCCATCTATTACAACCTAATGATTTCTAGAGGCAATCTTCAATATAATTAAAGCATATCAATGGGAATGTGAAAGTGAAATCTAAAATGTCTGATTTTTATGAAAATACAGCAGATGATCATTTGCAAAGGAATTTAACAGAAAATAAGACATTTGATTTTCTATATATATTTATAGGTGATATCCATTATCATAAATTGTTGGAAGATCCAGATTATTTATATAATCAAATCTAACACATGAATCCAGATTACTGGAAAACTAAGTACACTCCATTAATGCATAAAATAAGTGAATGTATTGATGAAGATTTAGAAGAATTTATAAAGTAAGAAGATAAAAATTAGAATAAATAAGAATAATAATTGTAGAAATAAGAGTATTGTTGTATATTGCGAGCAATTTGTCAATATGCAGTGGACGTATTGAAAAGCGTGAATGTTGCCACTCTGTATTATTATTCTGTAAATTACTCGTTTCAGAAGTTTGTGAATCGTTTGGATGGAACCTAGGATTTGCAAAGAATTTTATATTTGACCCAAAATCATAATAAAGAGAGGAATATGAAATAACACGTAAAAGATTTCTTGAGAGGACGTACGAATTTCATAAGAGAGATAAGAAATAAGTCTTTGGTTGATAAGGGAGAAAGAGAGTTGATAAAAATAATTTTAAATTTCTGATTTATTTAATGTTAAAACCACATCAAGTGTTACTGCATGAGTTTGCTGAACTGATATTGAATCAGAGAGTGGAGTAGAAACCATCGAGTTTGAGATATTCAAATGTGTTAAATTTATGGTAGATAAAAGGGATATGGGTGCCTGAGACTTAAGAATTAAGATTACAGATGAATTTCTACATTTAGAAATGGAATACTAAGATTCTAGTTGAAGTTTGGGTCTTAGAAGTAATCATAACAAGCGAGTAATAGAACAACACTAAAAAGATAATTTAAGATGAGTGATTAGGAATTTAAGAAAACACAACGGTTAGCTCTTCTCTAATCAAGGAGTATTTTAGGAATATTGGCAAATCTTCCACTTTCATAAGAAATCCCAACTTTCAACAAGCACATGAAGATTATACACAACATTTAGAATGGATCAATTCCTTCACATTTCCAAACTATCAATTTTCCAGTCATTCCTTGTTCAAGTAAAAAGGTCACTTACTTGTACATTCAAGTCCACTACTAGAAAGAAATTATATTCTCTCCTTAACCTAGAATAGCATAGAAACCAATAATCTAAAGAGAAGATGCTGAAATGAGCACTTTGCATCAAATTCAAAATGGCTTTCGCAAAAAAACAAAGGCTTCTTCCCAAATTGCAGAGACTCTTGAATACTTTAATTTAATAAATTAAACTGTAAAATGAATTATTACTATCTGTTTATATATATAATTATTAATAACTGAATGATCATTGATCTCACTTCAATATTCAAATACGCTTTTTATACAAGCATGGTGAGCTTTATTTCATTAACATTCACAAGCATTCTATTTGGTTAACCTGATAAACTGACTAAAGGTTTTGATCCTGATGGTAATTTTATCAATTTCATTCAGGTATTGCATGTGGTGCTGATATTGGATCAAAAGAATATCCTTATATTTATTTTAGTAATCCAACTCCTACTACTCTTCATTAATCAGTTTGTGTGAAAACCTGTCCAAAGCCAGATAGTAAAAGTGGAAGTATATAAAATTCAAATCCCTTAGTGCCTAAAACATTAGAATGTGTACCTAACTCTATTGTTACAAATTGCTAAGCTAAATTCTCCATTGATAATCCTGAAGCTTAATTTCTAATCTATGATACTTTTCTTTATAAAGGCAATATTTGTATGCCCAGAAATTTAGTCTATTACTAAGCAATTAAGGAAAAAGCTAATCCTCCTTCAAGTTTAACCAATACCAGTGATGTATACTAAAATAAATGGATGCTCCTCCTTTTTATATTCCTTGCTGGTATATCTTCGAAACTTTTACTTACTGAGTTAAAGGTTAATACTTAATATAGTGTTTGGGCTTTGACTTTAGGATTATTTATGTTTGTTGGTAGTCTCGGAGTTATTTTTGCATCTTAAGTGAGAGATGCTATTTAAAATTCACTCGACACTAGTTCTATTTCTACCTTTTAGGTAGATGAAGATTATATTTTAAAAATGACAAGTGTTCCTGATCCTTCTAAGTTAACCATTTTATCCCTCATATTTGTTATCCTCACATATTATGGAGCCTATTTTTTATACAACAATTATGATCGTATTAAAAATCTATAAGAGCTTTTTGAATAAGTTGAGAAATTTATGGCTGATCATGAATATCTTTAAGAATTAACTTATCCAACTATTGCAGTATTCAATTTCTTTTTGTTCTTAACCATCTATACAATTTTGTATTAATATTAAATATTTACAACAAATCAATGAGAGCTTGCTATGTAATTGATTTCCAATAAGTTAGGCCTTATGAAAAAATTTAAAGAGGTTTTCTCTATTATTTTCAGTTCTTAATAATATTTTTTTTCTTTTGGGGAGTCCCAATAATATTCGGATTGAATAACTACATAGTTTCTTCCTCCTTAGTATAATGGGTTTAAGCTGGTCACAGTAAAAACTAAGACAATAATTAAGAACTTTAATACAACCACAATAATTCCTCACTTGTTTTAACCAGATACTTTTTTCAAGAAGCCTTTTATCTTATAGGTAAAATTACTTAGGCTTCATTTCTATTATTAATCTCTCCAATTAAGTTTTTATGTGATGCTTTTAAAGATTGGGCTGTCAGAAGACAAAACCCTAAGTTTAAACATTTCCTCACCAATTATTGTTGTTTACCTTTTATTTCTATTTACGATAAAACTAGACAAATTGAAGAAGTCCTTTATATTGAATAAGTAAAAAATAAAAAATAAAATATTACAGTTAATGAATGCTTGAAATGTATCGATGATTACTTAGAACTTTCAGAAGTAGATTCAAACGCTGTTGAACTCTTTGAACAATTAAGTAATTTTAATATTTTTTAGTCAAAATCAAAAGATAGTCTTAAGATTTGTGTTAAATTTTTTGTTGTTTTTCTGAAATAAGCTTTTTAAATGCATTCTTATAAAAAAATCTAGATACTTCATTTTTTTCATTCGCATTAAAAAAGGTTGGATCTAGGTAATTTTTAATTAACATACCTATTAGAACCAACATTAAATATTTTGCATTTGATTTCGGTCAAGAATAATTTTGTTTTTAATACTAAGAGTTTTTTTTTCATGCAAATATTTCAAGGTTAAACTTCTCTTTCAAAGATTGTAAAAATTGAATTTCCCCTTTTTTAATCATCATTTAGATTGAGAACTCTTTTAGCCTTCCATTTTTATAAAATTGCAAATGATTGCTTTACATCAAATTTTGACAAGGGATATAAATTTTGTTTAAATCATTAGTATAGGAGTAGATAGATATTATTCTTGTGAAATTTAAATTTCAAAAATGAAAACTTTTTACAATGACTTGAAAAAGAGGTCCCAACTTGATTTATTAGATTAGAAAATCTTACAAATAATTGTCTTTTGAATAGTATTTCAATTTCTATTTTATCAAAGAAGTCATAAATGTATGACATAAATCTAAAATGATAAAATATGTTAAGACATAGTTTATTTGGTTACTTTCTTTTTACCTAATTACTTCTATTTCTAAAATTTTTTTTTAGCCTAAAACTATGAATTTATTTGTATAATTTTCAGAATTACTTCTCACGACACTATTATTAAATTATTTTTTAAACCAACATTATTTATTTTAGAATGCATCAGAATAGCCATTAATAATTAATATGATTACGAAATTATTATTATTTTAATGTTAAATATTGACTTTGTTGGTATTTGATACTTTATCATTGTGTAAAATCTTGAGTGAACAGAATAAGCGTGATTATAAGAATCTTCTTTGGAAAAGCATAAGAAATCAATTATTAAAGTTTTCATATACATCTATGATAGTAATATAATATAAACATAACTCATTGTTTCATTTTGAATATGTCATACTTAAATTGAAAACTTTATTTTTTAATTACTAAGTTGAAGATACTTTTATCTCTTCTTCTAGATTTGATGGTTCAAATAATTTTTTTTCAAAATTTTATGGACGAAGAGAGTAAAACATATTAATTTATAAAGTATAAATTTGTCTTAATGTTTCATCATCATCAATTTATTATTGCTATATTGATTAAGAAATTTAGTTTATGAAATAGATATAAATTTTCTGGAAATTATCTGTAATGTTATTTTCAATATTCGTTTAAACAATTTAATTAACAGCTTTAATTAATTCTGAATGTGAATTATTGGATATGGAATTGTTAGTTTGATCTTTAACAATTTCATTAAATTACTTTAGACAATTATCTGTATACAACTAATTCATTTATTCATATTATGTTTTAAAATAGTTTAAAACATTTTAAAATATAACTTTATTATTCCTGAAAATTTTTATGTTGCTCTCCTTCAAGCTATTATTTGAGTTTTCCACAGAGTAAGGAATCTAGGTAATGATATCTATTTTATACCTCTCCTTCTAAAATCTACAGTTAACAATTAAACTCATTCAACAACTATTTGGTTGATGTGACATTAAATAATATTTACAAAGTCTGGCTTAATTTAAGTTTTGGTTACAATTAAAAAAAAAATTTAGTTGTGTTATTATGAAAAAATGCAATTAATTTTGAAATATAAAGGAAGTAGTCTTTAATTTTATTAGTTTTCTATTTCTTTATTTTTTCGATACACTAAAGTAAATCCTCCCATTTGATTCTCATTTCTGGATCTACTTTAAGCATTTTTTTTATTAAATATAAATAATGTTAATTTATTTTGGTATCTTGTGGAAATATAAGTGGTTCAGTCGTTATTTTCTAATATAATTTCTTTGGGTGATTTTCCACATAAGGAACAACTCCAAAAAGCATTTCATAAAAGATAATTCCTAATGACCAAATATCAACTTTATATGTGTATTTTGAACTAACCATCATTTCTGGGGCTTAATATAATAAAGTGCCAACAATAGTATGATCATTTGGCAAACTAATTTCTTTTACTAACTTAGCCAAACCTAAATCAGCAATTTTTACAATGCCTTTAGTAAATAAAATATTTTCTGGCTTTAAATCTCTATGAAAAGCATTATTTTCGTAGATTGAATTATAGCCATCCACTATTTGACTGAAAATATAAAAGGCATCTTCTTGATCTAACTACCTTTTTTTTTTTTGATTCAACAATCTATTAAGATTTCCCTCTTCGCACAATTCCAATATCAGGTATGTCATTTAATTACAATTTACATCTTCTATCATCCTAATGCCATTTGATCAATTCATACTTCACAACATTTTTATTGTTTATCATTTTGTGCATTAGAATTTCTCGATTATACAAAGCCCTTAATTTCTCATATAATAAATCAGTTGTTTCGCAGGACTGGCTATTAAAAACTTTAATGGCCACTTTTTCTTCAACCTTATCTTTTACAAATCCTTCATAAACTTTAGAAAAAGCTCCCTAATCTTATTAGAGAATTATTTACAAAGCCTAATATGTTTTTCTTAAGTAGAATGTATTTATCTCCAATTGTTTCTGTATCTTAATTTTGGGGATTGAGCATAATTTTTTTTTAAGGATTATAATAAATATTTTAAAATTGAAATTGATTTAATATATTAATGTTAGCTATTCTATTTGAGTATTGTGTAAAATTTGAAATATAAGAGAGAATAAATCCCGAAGTAGTTTAACTATTTATTAAAAATAATGAATTTAATCCTTTTCAATTTGCTCATTCTTAAAAATAGCTTAATAAATAAAGTAGTAAAGTTATTCACCTAAGAAATTGAGAGATTCTAAAGTGGAACTGAATTAATTGAATAAAAAAATAGTTTTGAGAAATTTAATTTGGAAGTAAAATGCGATTAAGTAGATAAAAAATGCAAGTAACTTAATGAGTTTTTGTAATGAAGATATACAATAGGTTGTATGATGAAAATTTAAGTTTAGAAAATTTGCTTTTAAAATGTTATTTAGTGAATAATATGCTAAATTAAATAGTAAATTAAAAGAGTTGGGTTGGGACAAAATTTGCTGCTTATACACACAGGACTCCTCCAATAGTTTTTAAATTATATATAATCATTCCAGACATAAAAAGGTAGTACATCGTGATTTTATTCAAGCTTTTGGTACCAATATTTAGAAAGGAATTGGAAGAGTTTGTGATAGCATTTTACTCTCAACTAAAATTTTTGAAATAGATAGTATATTTTAAAACATATAGATTTTGAGTTAATAAGCTCAAAGCATTTTATAAATTTAATAATAAAACTTACTACAATTCATTATATTATTCAATTTCTTCAAAAATAAAATTTCCATATATATTCTTACAATGTTATCAGTCACAATTGTTATATGAGAAAAAAATGTAAAAGATTTTATAGTTATAAACAATTGGATTAAAGAGAAATCTTTTACTTTCTTACAGAATTTAAAAAATTTTTTTTCTCAAGTTCAATGTCAACAGTATCGAAAAAAATAAAGGATATACAAATTTAATATTTAATTTGGTTGAACATCTTACCAATTGTTTTAGTTGTTTCTTAAACTAATAAAAGTCATAACTTTATTGTTATCTGCAATTTTTCTATTTCCATTATTCCATTGATTAAGTGGGGACCATAACATTAAGATGCAATACATAACCACTTGAACTTAATCTTAAGAAAAGCAAAAAAGAAATATTTAAATATAGATCTTCCTTTTATATTTTATATGATGGGAAAATAATAAAAATTAATTATTTCAAACTTGAAGTAATATTAATTGATCTTGATTATAATAGCAGGGAGGAATTATAAAGAAGATTTTTTTTAATAAAATACATTTCATAATGAATCCTTCATTTGATTTTAACTAAGAAAAAATAAATTTCTTCCGGTTTAATTGGTGTAATTATGACTATTATCCAAGTGGAAGATTGATATTCAATATTAGATTGATTTCAAAATTTATCTTATTCACTTTATCATTATAATTCATATTATAGTTGTTGCATGAAATTTTAAATTTATGGAAAAAGAAATTGATACTATTAATAACAAAAAAAGTTCCTCATCTTGTCTCTTAGCTAGAGCATCAAACGATTAGAAGAATGGGAAGTTGAGAATGAAAATAAACTCTTTTTTTATGTTATTTTAGAGTAATTAAATAATATCAAGATTTATGCTCCTAAACAGTTTCCTGAAACCAAAAGGAGAAAAATGAGCAAAAGAAAAATAATTGGCGAAAATAATAAGAAAGATAATTTTTTAAAAAACATAGAAGAAAAAATTTTAAAAAACTAACTTTGTTAAATAGAGACATCAATCATTTTAAGTTTATTGTCAATGATTTATAATTTTCTTGGTCTTTAAATTATCATCTAATTGTATTTAAATTCTGTAAATTTAGAAAAAAATTTTAAAATTCTAGAATTCTTCACCATAACTAAATAAATAACAAAGAGCTTCGTTCATATGATTTATGTGGGTATAAATCTAGATAAAAAATTAATATTCTTTTAGGTAATATAAATATATAATCCTTACTTCAGCTTTATCCTAATACTTAGTTATATGATAGCTTAAGCTATTTAAATAAAGAATTAAGTTTCAAAAAATTTGAAAGACGCTTTGAACAAGTATAGAAAGCATTATAAATAATATCAATTTAATAATATAATTTAGTAAAGTAACAGAAAATTTAATTAAAAAGAATTATTAACAATATTTATTATATAATAAATAGAATTTTTTTTTTCTGATAAAAATTTATTCTATTTAATTGATCTCTGGCTATTTAAGCATCACATTTTTTTAGATAATAATAATATTAAATAATGTAGTAACCAAATATTGAAGAAAAATAAGAAATAAATGCAGATGGCAGTCCTAGTTTATAATCTCAAAAGAATGAATCAAACAATAAATACTTCACAACTAAATGTAAATGGATATCTTTCAGTGTTTCATTCTTTGTGTTAGCAGGTATTGGAATCTTCTTAGGAATATATCTGAGTCGAACCAATAGTTCTGCTCCAACACTCAAAAAATTTTAAAGAGATGAATTCGAATAAGTTGATGAAATTTGTATGTACCATACATCCGAAAGATTTTCAAATTGTACTTAAATTCAAATTAAAACAAAAAGATTGGTTGAAGATGTTAATGAAAAAAATGGCTCAAGTATAGTGATGCTGACAGACTTGAAAGTTCAAACCTTCACTTAGAATTTTGATGGAATTAGAGAATATAACGAAATGATTGATTATTCTACAGAAATATAATAAGAACTTTAGAAATAATTTAGGATACTATAAAAAAATGAATCAACATAAAATGATTTATGTGAAGGAATTTCAAGAGAAGAATGTGGGGATATTAATTAGATACCATTAGTCACAGTAGTTACTGATTCACATACAGGAGCTATTTAGTCTATAGGAATACCAACTGGAATTTCAGATCTAATTCTTTAACCTTTAGTCTCTAATATTATACATATTGCACCTAACTTAGCTGAATCTATCAATAATGAAGGAATTGATGGAACTAATGGGAATAGACTTTTAGAAGAAGATATTTACTATATTGGTAATTAAGCATTTACTCCTAAGACAATTAAAACAAAATCATGGTTTGGTAGTACTGTAATAAAAAAGTCAATAGCTTAATCTGATTAAATTGATGGTAATTCAAAAGGAATCAATTTATTTGATATGTTTGAATAATCGTAGGAAACAAGTTTAGACAATAATAATTACTTGGTATCTTCGCATATAACAACGAATTCTCAATTTAGTAATTCTGTGAAAAATAATGATATAAATTAGGATACTGATGATTTAAGCGATAAATCAAAAACAGAAATAACAAATGACTCAAATTTAATTACTGTAGAAACCAAGTCAGATGAAGAGTTAACAAATCTCCTTTCTGAAATTTAAAAGAGATAAACACTTCAATTTTATTCAATGTAGGATTTATAAAATAAAATCTCAGGTTAAGAAGATTTAACACAAGATTCTACTTAAAATTAAGATTAATTGGGAGGTAATCGATTACTAAATGAAAATGGAGATGTTCAATCAAATTCTGAGACTGACTTTGAAGAATAAGAAGGTGAATGTCTTTCTAACATTTTCAATTAAAAAAGAACTCTTAAAGAAGTATCTGTACTGAAATAAAAAGTTGGATTATAAGCAGAATTTTAAGGAGAAATAAAAGAAGGAAATGTTTCGGGATATTTGAGATCTTGTGTTTCACTTAATGGTGCTTGTTTAGTTGATTTATACAGGAGAGATTTTTAGTATGAAGGAAAACCCTTAAAAACCTTCGAAATGAAAGGAAGTCAATCAAAGAGCATTTTTAGCACTGTCATCTTAATAATGGGTTATCCTTTAACTGTAGGAGCAGATTATAATTATAAATGGGGTTATATAGAATCTGCTATCAAAACTGAAAGTGATTTAGGTATTTCTGAATAAATTTATGCATCTTTGAGTGTAACAGCCTATGGAGAAATGAATATAATTGTAATTAGAATAAGAGCAGGAGTTTCAGGAGAAGTGTTCAATGGATCTGCTCATGGGGTTGCATAATTTAGAATTAATTAAATAGATAACACAATCATTCCCGATAAATATATGATATATTTAGATTTTTAAATTGAGGCTTTGAAATTTGATCTTTACGCCATATATTAACATCCAACAATAAGTTGGGGAAGAAGATGTTTCAGAATTTTTCGAAAAAAAATTTGCATTTATTATCCATAATTTGGTTGGTCTAGTTGGAAAGATGTTTATAGAAAAGCTTTCTAGTTGGCTAAGTTATAGGCAAGTAAAAGAATCTTTTAACTCACATCTAAGTGTTATGATTGATACATTTATACATATACAATTCTAAAGTAATTAATTTATTTTGATTTATGTTTTAATGAATCTTATTTAACTAAATACAGTTGGTGCTTGTTTAAAAGTGGGTTGTTAGCTACACTCTAAGCATGCGTAGATTGGGGTTGGGTTTGTAAAGCCTACATGACGTTGTATTTTTCAAATGAATCGTCATTCTAAGTACGGTTGGGGCTGTCAGCAAAGGTTCCTAAAAGTTGAATTGCAAAAAAGGCCATTTTTGCCAATTTTTGATACATTTTTACATACAAAATCCAAGGTTTTGTTAAGAAAAAAAAAAACAAAGGCCGGGGCCTAAAAGCACCTGGGGGGTTTCCCTAAGGGTTTTG